GAATGCTGACTTCATGTGGGTAAATTATGAGACTAGGTTATCTCGGTGCACACTTAATGGGGCTGGACGTTGCGATTGCACAAATTGTGAATTATATAGTCTTTATATAAGTCTATGTGTGTGTGAGAGTAAATTTATAATAATTGAGCAAATTGAAAAAAATTTGAATTCCGCCGAAAACTTTATATAGAAATAATAATAATAATGCAGTCTATATTTATTATATACAGTAGGGAGCAAAAGTGTTTCCATAGTTGACACTTTCAACTTTGTGAGTCGATAATTTCTAAACGAATGAAGCAAATCAAAAAAACTTTTTTTTCCAATAATATGTATTTAATTCTTAACAAATTGCCGTATATAACAAAAACAGAAGTTAATCAGTAAAATATTCAAACGAAGAAAACTGAAACAAAACGCATGTGTACAATTTTGCACCTTCAGTGAAAAAAATTAAATATGATTCTAAATCAATATTTTGTCCACAGGCCCTTATTAGCTATTACATTTTTTATTCAGTTTGGCATACTCTCGACCAACTTTTCTATGGTTTCCTTTGGAACTCGGTTCCACTTCAGTTCTACACGCTTCCAAAGATCGTCTAGGTTGGATGGCATTGATTGATATTGCCCGAGCCGTCGCTTCACGATTGACCACAGGTTCTCAATCGGATTGAGTTCGGGACTTTTAGCTGGCCACTCCATCAGCATAAAATCTTGGTTTTGTAACCATTCGCGGACAGTTTTGGCAGTGTGCGTCGGATCCCCATCTTGATGAAAAATGATTTCCTTTACGGGGTATGCACACTTGTCCAGAAAATTGGGTAGACAGGTTTTCAAAATATTGAGATGGTCTTCTTTTAACATTATACCATCAATTTTATGCAATGGTCCAATGTGCCACCAAGTAAAGCATCCCCAAACTTTGACATTGCCTCCTCCATGCTAAACGGTTTACTTCACATGGTGTTTTTGAAGCTTTTCCCCGGACCTGTGCCAATAGTATTGCGTGCCATTTGATTGAAAACGGTTGAACTTGGATTCATCCGACCAGATAAAACGTTTCCAATCATCTACAGTCCAGTTCTTGTGTTCCCGGGCGAATTTCAATCGACCCTTGACATTCTTCTCGGATAGAGCTGGTTTATTTTGTTTCACACTTGCCACATATCCAACCTTAGCTAGTGCTCTTCTAGCCACCCGCCGACTCACGTCTTTCCCTATGTCCATAGATGCCTTCTTCGGTGTTAGGAACTTATCAGTTCCCATTAGTCTGGCGTCAGAGTCCTTTAAGAGTCGTTTGCGGCCTTTAATAGTGTTTTTGGATGTACCATTGCTTCTTTTCTGGACTTCGGACACCGCTGAATGAAAAATATTAAGCTGATCTGAAGTACTACGAGTCGAACAGCCACTTTCAGTTAGGCTAATAATACTATTTTCGACATCTGACGAACGCTTCTTCATTTTTTCGCGGTACTTTGTAGACTAATTGCTAAAATTAACAAATCTACTTCAAATAATAAGAAACACGTGGATTTCTGGATCATAAAAGTGTAGAATGCATAAATAAAACATATAAGGGTAAAACTGCATGTGTATTGCCGATAAGAGAATTAAGAAATCAAACCAAAGTAAGAATATCGGAAGGTGCAAAATTGTACACATGCGTGTTGTTTCAGTTTTCTTTGTTTGAATATTTTACTGATTATTTTTTGTTTTTGTTATATACGGCAATTTGTTAAGAATTAAATACATATTATTGGAAAAAAAAGTTTTTTTGATTTGCTTCATTCGTTTAGAAATTATCGACTCACAAAGTTGAAAGTGTCAACTATGGAAACACTTTTGCTCCCTACTGTATACTTATAAATATATACACAAAGTCTTCTTTACTCTTTATTTAATATATTTAAATAACAAATAGTTCCTTGTTGAATAATATCATTCATAACTATTTTAAATGACTTTAACTTATTTCAAGGATTTATTGAACAATTTTTTCCCACATATGTCCGAGTAATATTTTGACAGTTCGTTTGCTGATAAAATTATGGTAAAAAGAAAATAAAATTTGGGATACAGCGAAATCGGGCAAACGTGGAGCACGTGTCTCGCTATCAGAATAAAACGATTTGGGTCCGCACAGCAACAGAGCCACACGTGACAGGGAAAATCGTAACGTTCAAATTTCCGGATCGAAACGGTCATTTAGGCAAGCGTCGCGTCGTGCTGTGCTCCCATTGGCCGGTGCCCAGCTGCAATGCGGGCAGCACCCACTGAAGGGCTACACGCAATTCGTAGCATTTATTGCGTCACTCGAACACGTGAAATGCGCTCTAAGCAGTTTAAAATTAAACTTAATTATTAAACGATTCAGAACAGCCGCCAAGCTAATTTGACTTACATGAATGAATGAAATTTCTCACTGATAAGTCGCACACACACAAACACTAATATGAAACACAACCCAACCCGCGGACAGCGCACAAATCGCACATTGAATATCAATTTGTGTGGTCGCGCGAGTTGGCGGCGAGTCGAGGAAACCGCAAACTCAGCAAGCTAAGTATTCGATCCGGTGACCATACAAACTGCCGACTAGGCACATATGTATGACTGCATACATACATTTATACATTTATACATATGTATGTAGTGCTAAGACGACCAGACAATGCGAGAGAGTCGCATAAATGCGCATAAACCATGTGAAACCGCCTATTATCGGGCATATCAATTATATAATCATCTTAGCTATGCTCTCAAATTGGCCAATCGTTTCATATTAGTACACTTATGATTGTCACGATTAGCCGTGCAATTCTTGGTTTTCGTTTAAGCCAATTTTAATTCGAATCTATCATATATATAATTTTATAATTGTTTAAATAAGTTTCGTTTCGATTATTTTTATGATCAACTCATTTGATTTAGAATTTTTTTCATCGTATTTCCTTATAAAATTCTCAAATTCAAATGTTGTTGATAGACTTTAACCTAAACTAAAATATAAACTGTATATCAACAGAATTGTATTTCTTATTTTTGCAATAAATTTATACACACATTTTAGGAATAAATTATTGCTACAATTACAGTAAACTATAGCTACCTCATTCTAATTTGTTCTTAATTGTTTAAAGAGCAGTTAAAAATTATATTAAATAATTAATAATTAATACTAAATTATACAATTAATTAAACTATAACTACCTCATTCTAATTTGTTTTTAATTGTTTAAAGAGCAGTTAAAAATTATATTAAATAATTAATAATTAATACTAAATTATACAATTAATGATGTTCAATACATTAATAAGTAAAATTAGTTTAGTCTAGTCTAGTTTTATTTAATGATTTATTGAACATGTTTAAGGTGGTTAAAATTTAAAAAAAATATTAAATTCGTGTCAAGTCTAGACAGCACTGAGGCAACACTGTACGGTGCCAACGCTGTCTGCTAGACTCTTTTTATGGAATGTGTGTGTGTGTATACTCATCATTTGTACACTGAACTAAATCCTAGCTATAGATGTTTATAAGTTGCCTCAAAACTAAAATTCCCAACTTCATCATATTTACAAATTTGTCTTATAATTACTTTAAAACGGCAGATTGTCCAATATTTATAACGTAGTCAATATGAATCTCTGATTAAGTGAAGAGCATGTGGTTTGTGGTCTTTCACAAGCCTAATTAACGATTAAGGCAGCTGCCAAGTCCTAAACGCAGTTGGCTTTCATTGGCCAGTGGCTTTTGGTTACGGTTTGGTGTATTTGACAGGCAAAGCACGTGCAAATGTTCTGGCTGGGGTGTCTTGTTAATGGTCTATTAATGCGGGCGCCAATTGCGGTTGCCAGGTAACTGGCAGCCCATTGTGAGTATGAGTAATATATGCCGCATCGACCTTCAACAAGTTGCCAACTGAAAAGTCGACGTCGCGTCCCGTCGCGTCGCGTCGCAAAGCTTCGGCTGCTGCACAGGAAGCGCGTTAATTAGCAAATAAATAAAAAGCGTGCCGGCAAACAAGACACGCACATCGCGCATATGTGAATGTACATATGTGTGCCTGTGTTTGTGAGTATGTTATACAGCATACTATAGAAACGTATATATGTATATGTGTACGTCTGTAGCCGCTGTATCTGGTGAGCCTCTGTTTGAGCAGCGTGGCTGCTACTGTTGCCGTGCCACTGGCTTTTGCTGATTTCAATGCATGACGATGCCAACGTGAAAATTCTTAATGCTGTCTCTGCATTTCATATTTCCCATTGGTAGTTTTTCATATGCGCTGCAAGTTCGTTCATTTGCTGTCCATAGACAACGGTAGGCAACATGTACTGTACTTGCCCATACAACTATAAAAATTTATTTCATTTTGATTTTGCAATTAAATGAAATTGAAATTTTATTTGTTTTTGTAAACTTATTTCATTTATGTGTGAAATTTCCAAACTTAAAATTAAACAGCTTTATACACATATAAATTTGTTTTATATCAAAAGTTTAAGGTTGAAATCTTAAAAGGTAGTCCAAGCAAGAGATATGGCACAGAATTCTAAAATATATTTATAATTAAGCTTACATAAGTTTTATATTTTGCACGTACTATCAAATCCACAAAGAATTTCCTAGCTTAGCTAAAGCAGCGCTGAAGCAATTACATTGGCAGCTCATTTAAAAGTTCATATAGCATGGTGTCTTACCAGTTGCCAAGCTGCAGAATTTTCTTATTTTTTGTTTTTGCGTGCCTCAATTGTAGGCGCAGTCGCGTATTCTGTTGGCTTTCGACTTTTCCCCGCTTACACGTTGTGCACGTAATTGAAAATTAACTTGTCTCGCTGACTGCAAGTTACCTTTCCTTGTTTCCTCGAGCTTTGCTGCTAGGCTGTCAAGGATTTCTGTGGGCATATGCGTGCTGCATATTGATGTGGCGCAGACTTGCACAGCAATGGAATGTGAGCCGACAGATTGAAAGAAAGGCAGGCAGGCGAAAGCAGTTACTTAAGCATACTTTTATTTACAATACTTGATGGCTTAACTAGTTAAAGCTATACACCAGCTACGAGACTATACAGAACCAAGTGCTTATACTACATAGCGATCTGTGCGCTACCAGAAACTGCAGCGGCTTACAGGATTCATGGGCGTGCCCTGCGCGCACTCGAATACCTCAGCGAATTCGGGCATCTGGGCTAGAGCATAGTTCAAACGTTTGCTGCCCGTATCATGATAGATATCCGCCTCCTCGCCGCAAAAGAATTGCGCAAATTGCACGAAGTACAAGCGCCCATTGTTGCGTCTCTCCGACGGGTCTTTCATGTAGGTGTTGAGCGCCAAGCGTGTGCCGCTGATGTCTGCGATGCGTTCATTTAACATTACATGCTCGCTGTCGTTGAGACAGTTAACCGCCTTCAAGTAGTTCTTGTTCTGTACCAACTGATCACTGTAGTCGCGCATTTCACCCTGAGCATCGTAGTCCACAAAATAGGTGTCTATCGAGTGCAGCATCTCATGGCCCAAAGTATTGGCCAAGTCGCCATAGAGCAGAGCTGGCCAAAATTGTGAATTATATAGTGGCAGCTGCATGTAGGCATATGGCATAATTATGATGCTGCCCAGGCAATAAAAATAGGGCGTGGCATCAATATTGTCGAGCAGCTCGGGTCCATGATGATTGAAGCTAAACCACACCTCTCGCAGGGCCGCATCGTCGGTACGCTCCAACTCGGCCAGATGGTCATAATAGTGGAGCAGACTGTTCAAATGATTCTCATAGAAATCGTTGCCCACTCGCCAGTGCTGGACACAATCCACATAAAACTGATCGCTCACATTACGTGGCAGATTGCCAACGTTGATGCGCAAGCCCTGCACCTTGTCCAGCAGTGCGTCCAGTAGCGTTGCATTCAAACCAAGCACATTGAGTCGCAGCTGCTGGGCGAACTGTTGCTTCAGCTCCTCGAAGACCCCGAAGATCACCTGCTCATCTGCCTCCCGTTGCTTGCCATAGTAGTTCCGCTCGTAGGCAAAATTCATGGCCAGATAGAGTGTCTTGCGCATGTGCTGGACACAGCCGACCGCTGAGCTAGAGCTGAAGCTGGGCTGGGGATTGCTCAATGGATTGTGTGGCAGCTGCTTAAGATGTTGCAGAAAACGTGCCCAGCTATACAGCTGCAGCAGACGTGCATCGGCTCGGTTAAGATAGTCGATCAATTGTCGCAGAGCTGGCAGATCGTCAGCCAGCAGCTGATAGCTGCCCGGGTATACGTGTCCCAGCTGTCGTTGCAGTACATGCGTCCAGTTCAGTGCCGGCAGCTCTTGTTGCAGTTGCTCCAGCGTGTACAAGCTTAGCGTTTCCTCGTCGCTGCTGTCTTTTGGTGGCTGCGCCATCTCTTTAAGGGTATCCTCGAGTTGCTTAAATTGTTCAGTTAACTGCTTCAGGCTGGGCAAGTGGCCGTGCGTGTGACGCCTCAAGGCGCTGTATATGCTACCGCTCAGATTCAGGCTGAGATAATAGTTATGCGGCATCACAACAATCATGTGTTGGCTAGCATTATGCTGGCTCACTTCAATCTTCACATAGTGCTCGTGATAGCCATAGCGCCCCAACACCGCTAACAGATCGGCCCAGTAGTTGCCGGCTATATGCGGCAACTGTTCCAAGTAGCGACGTAAGCGCGGCTTGCCCAACAGCCGGCAGCTTTGATAGTAGCGCAGCAGTTTCGTATACAAGGGCGTCGCATGTTCCGGTGCTCGGGGCACATGCAACAGGCGCTCAAACAGTGCCACATAGCGCTGATCGATCCGCCCGCCGCTCAGCGACATGGCCGATTCGCCCGTCTTGTGTACCGATCCCCAATTGCCGCAGGCATACGCATAAAAGTCCTGGCAGGCATCCAGCTCTGGTCGCATATACCGCTTCAGCAATTGAATGTGCCTCAAATTGAGATCTGCGCTGCAGGGTGGCTCCGTCGCTGTCTCGGCCGCTGTCAGGCGGCAGCTTTGATTAAGCTGTGCTGTGGGCAGCGCCTTGACACTGGCCAGCAGCAGACAGAGTGCCCAAAGCTGCGGCATTATGTGTTATTTTGCTCTGCTTTCCTCTTAATACTCCTCTTGCAACACTTTAGCTTTGAATTCGCTTTTGCTTTTAATAATGGATTTGTTTGATTTATCTTTGTATTAGTTCTCTATGCTAAGCACTGCGGTTCGGAGCAGCAATTGTTGTTGTTGTTGTAGATGTTTTTGGTTTCCTTTAGGCGCACACATGTCAGCAAATTGTTTCGAAAATAAATTTCTTAAGCTTTTATTGAGTATTTCACAATTTCCGTTTTGTTTTGGCAGAAAGTTTTGTTGCGCGTTCGTCGCTTGCTAAAAATCAACTAAAAACTCGTTTCACGCGTATTCATTTTTTATGTATTCGTTTTTAATTCATTCACATCACACACACAGGGACTCATACATGTGTGTGTGAGAGTGCTATGTGTGCGTGTGTGTGTGTGTGTGTGTTTAATTCTTGCAGCGCGCTTTTTACATTTGTTTTTTTTTCTTTTTGCTTGGGTTGCTTATCAACGTTTTAAATACGTCTTTTCTTTTAGTTAGTGTGCGGCGGCTTATCTATGATACACTGTAAGAAATGTGCTTGTTGTCGAAAAAAAGTATTAAGCAAATTGATTGCCATGCAAGAACTATCGTGAAATATGTGAAGATATTGCATAAGAAATTGCATCAGATAAATTTTGTATAATTCAGCAAGCTGAAATCAAAGTTTGTTTTATATATTTTAATACGACAATTTATTAAGCTTTAACTTCTACATAGGTGTGAATTTTAGTATATACAGTATATATAGCAGTGTAAAATAGGGGAATACTTTGGATCTGTTTGGGAGTGAAGAAAATTTTCCACTGCAATCGATCCAAATTTCAAATTTCACTTTTGATCTCACATTATAACAATATAAATATTAATTCATTTTTATTAGCTACTGAACTTGTCAATAAATAAACAATTAAAATATAAAATACTATTACTATTTTTCTTCATAATTGGCAAACAATAAATTTCTATTAGACTTTAATATATTGCACAGTTCCGCTTGCTGCTTTTAATTTAGGTTTAATTTAATATTTCGATAAATTGACAATGTTTTGTACAAAAATTGAAATATTTAGTGCAGTGCAGTACGGATCGGCTTGAATTACAATTCGAAAATTGTTTCAATTCATGTTTTAGTTATTAATTGTCATTAGCGTCGCCATCGTTCGGCTGCCGTGCCCTGATAAGGCATTGGATGACGCAATTCGACGTTGCAATTAATGATTAACCTTACGCACGAGAGGTTCGCACGGGGGTCAGAGAACGGCAAACTGTTGCGATATGCTGTCCCTGGTTTATGCATTTACAACACATTAACTCTGGCGCTGGCTTCTTTGACAATTCGATAGGGGGCTTGTCCACTACGCATTGGACTTTTGACTTTTCGACTGGCTGCTGGCGGCTGGCGAGTGGCGAGTGTCGAGTGGCATGTGGCGAGAGATGAGATATGAATTTGATGGCAATCGTTTCCTTTGTGTTGCCGTCCACTTGTGACGTTTGAAGCACTTGCCGTCTTATCGGGCCCATTAGTGATCCGATAGAGCGCAATTTGTCGTTGACTGATTATTTTAGCGCTAATTGTACAATTGTTGTGTTTTTTTTTTTTGTTTTTAATTTACAAATCAGTTATAGGATTTTGACTTTAGTCGTAAAAATTGTGAAGCACTTCGTTTATTATACCAAACAGTGGATTTTCTCCTTAGAGATTTAGTAATAGATTTAATTAAAATTAGTAATTCTAATCTTAGCCTTGATTTTGCAAATCTGTTTATATACTCAGTGCACCTGTTGAGCCGCTAGTAGCTATAAGTCAATTCAAAGAAATATTGTGCTTGTATTAAGTTTCCACAATTCGCTCCAAACGCGAGCTGACGACTTTGGCTGGCGTGCTGTCCGCAACTATATACATATATATTCATACATATATAGTAGAGAGTAATATGAGAGCTGTCGATGCACGCACAGCTGTAGTAATCAAGCGATAATTAATTGTAGTAAGCCGGCTTAGCGTGATCAAGCCGATGCGCTGTGAGAGCAAGAGAAACAAGTGAGAAGTAAAGAGAGCAAACGGAATGAATAACTGCAATCCCTTTAACTAACTAACTGGGCTAACTGGCGCTCTTAAATTACAATCCATATACCATGCCATCAATTTAATATGACTATCCATTTCATTTATTAAAAACTTATTTGTGCATAGCTGATTATAGATATTTATAAATTTCCATTTTGATTTCTGATGTTCATTTGACGATAATCCGCTTTAAATAATAAATTGAACATAGAGATTGACAACTATCAAGCTATTAAGGCATCCTGGATTAGATGCTTTAGTTGCTGATCTTAACTGCCAAGCGTAATGGAGACTCTAATACCTCGCTGAATGATATAGTTAAATGTTCTAATACCAAACATAGCTGGACTTTGGTTTATCGATGTTTTTATGTATTTTTTTTTTAAACTTATTTAAAGCCTAATCAGTAAAGCATAGGCTTGATTTGCATTTAATTAATGGCATTTTAATTAAATACGAATTTGTGGCCTACGCACACACACACGCGCGCGCTCATCAAAATTGACAAAGCGTGAATAAATAATTATTTTTTAAGCACGCCATAGTTTAAGCGAAAATAATGTCCTGCTCAGTGACAAATAGTACCCGAATACTATGCGCATATTTTAGCAAGTGCTTTATATTTAATAAACTGTTGGTACGTGTACCTTTATATAGAATTTGGTCTATCAAAGTGAAAGCGCTACGAAAATTATTTATATTAAAATTTCACTTTTTCGTTACATATTTCATAAAGTGCAGGCATAAAGCAAAGCGATTTTGATCGCCATAAAGCAAAATTTCATTTTAATTTATTAAATTATTAACATGTGAAAAACGCGAAAATTAATCTCCACATAACGGTGTGTGTGTACAGAAAGTGCAAGGATGCTTAAAATGCCGTTAACGATTCGATGGCTGCCCAAGCCCAGGCTCGTCTCCCTTGATGCTATGTCCCTGTGCATGTCTTTGGCCAGTTGCCTGCATCAATGCATCGGCAGCAGCGTCTGGCAGCGGCGCCTCGTCGAGGCACGAATTTCATAATTCAATTACGCTTGGCAAGTCACGAAAGAGTGTCTGGCAGCCAGAGCACAGTCAGGCAAGCCCGGCCGAGACGCTCTTGTGCTGATGCTGATCATTTCGTATCACTTGCCAGTTGTAACCCAGAGAAAACAAAACTAAAGATAAAAATTATTGCTTAACTTTGTCGATATGGAGATTCTATGCTATAAAACTTGATATGTGTCAATAACTGCCAGATTATCATGGTCGCTAGTGAAGGGTATACAATGTTTATGTATCGCTTGGCGCATAAAAATCAAAAGTAAGTGGCAATTGGGTTGAGTTCGGGTAGAGCAAACTGTTTGCCCTGTTAAATACTCACTTACGCATGCAGCGAACAAGCTGACCCCTCCTTTTGCAGCCCCATTGTTCTTGATCCCAGAACAGAAATAGAGTCAGTCCTAAGCGCCGTGCACTTTGTGTGATTTGTGTAAAGGGGAGAACTAAATGCTTGTGGTTGGCTTCGCGTCTTAAAGTCAATGAATAGCCGCGCAACCCGCCACGTTTTTTATTTTTTATTTTTCTTGTTGCTCTCAAGTTACTTGAGTAAGTAATTCAATTTCCGGCGTCTGTGCGCTATAGAAATGATATTAAAGTTATTGAAAGCGAGGCAAACAAACAAACAGACAGACAAAGAAACATTATGGCAGAGGGGCAAAAGCAGGCAGCAAAATGTGAAAAATGTGAAAAACCTTTTACCCATTGGGTTTTGTTTGGCAAATTTGTTGTCTAGACTAGATTCGGTAGCTGCAACTTTCCATGCGTGGAAATATGCCACGTGGCTATTAGCAAATTGAAATGGTCGAATTTAAGGCTCAAACTCATCTGTCGCTGACGATGATGCAGTAAAATAACATCGCTGCCAACTGAACAAAATGTCATCATCAGCATTCAGCACCGATTCGAGCTTAGCACCTGGCTGAAATCATTCTCGTTTACAGCTTTGGCGCTGATTTGCATAAGGCGCCAAATGGCGGTGATGCCAACAAAGTTTTCAGCTCTCTCGACGACGTTGCCAGCTGCCTCAAATCCAATGAAATCAAAGCTACGCCCCAGTGACATGTTGAAATTTTCTCGTATGTCTGATTTTCATTGTGGCTCTCAGCACTCAGCTCTCTGGGGTCTAGTTAGCACTCGCATTTTGCGGCGTCTTCTGCTAGCTCTTTGAAAGCTCTTCGCCACTGGCATAAAGCACACTTTATTGCATACTTTTGGGTACAAATATTTAATATGTGCCTCTTGTATGCTACGAATGTGCTCAAGTGGTAGCTGAATTGATAGGTCAGCTTTGTGTTCGGAGGGTGCATGCTTGAGCGTGTGTCTCTTAGACAGATGTATAGGAGTTGCCAGTGCTTCATATGAGTAATCTTCATAACCTTTACTGGTGAGTGGGCCTGTAAGCCAGAAATCTAAAATCTGTAACTATTTATTTCACTATATTTTGCAATATTTAATGCTCATCGGATTTCCTTGTATTCGCCTGTTCTTATATTGAGGCAATATGAATGCAAGCTGGTTTGGTTGAGCTGCCAGTCTATACGCTATCTAGCGCTTTATACGGCAATAGCCTCATAAGGGCATATCATATAGGTAGTTTAATATAACTATATCCTTGTAAATATTGGCTTTGCTGTTTAATAGTAGTGAGCTGGGGGCTCTGGACATTCCATTTAGAAAAGAAAAGTCAGTCTATTTATTATTATAATTATATCTAATATGTATTCCTAATAAATATGTTTTTTCACAACGAAATATTTTTCTTTTTAAACTGGTTCTTTATATATTCCACTATGCATATCAAATCCGTCATATTAAACCACATTTTACACGATATTTTTAGGCCAGTTTAATAAGTATCACAATTAAATTTGCTCATAATATAAAATAAATAAATCAATCAATTTCATGGTTTTTTCATTTAGATAATCAATATCCGTTGTCGAAATATTTTGCAGCTGAGCCAATAAATATTTAAAAAAAAAAGTATTTTTAAATAATAAAAAACTAAAAAAAATCAATGCAAATTGCTTCGTTGAAATATTTTTCATGCATATAAATTGTATTTTTGACATTTGATATTCCTTAGTTCATTTTAATTTTTTACTTTGCCCCATGAATCCTTATCTTGTCGTTTCTATTTTTTGTATACTTAGCCTATATCAAGTTGGAAAAACCAACAACTTCTGTCCAATAACCAAAATCTGCAACAGTGAAATAGGTAAACAGGAATTTCGTCATGTATATACGGTATAAATATCAGTATATATATATATATATATCTGTTATATACAAATATATTGCCGTGTGGCAATTATAGTTAATAGCTCTTGTTTCAAGATCAAGTTGCTTGCTTGTCATAGTGCCGTGTCGTAAACCCTCATAAATCGGCAACACCTTGTTCGTCCTTAAATTTGCTGCCAATTATATTATAAGGTAGCCCAAGTCAACGAGCGCAATCTTTAAAATTTATTAACGTATTAACCATGGACTCTTCTAGATGATATGCCACTTACCTGTTGCCTTTTTGCCTATCCATACACAGGTCGGCGAATTAGGGGCTTCCTGGAAGGTACGCGCTGCTAATGAAACGCCGTAAAACCCGAGCGACAGCTGTGGCATGATTAGAGGACCTGACCTGATGTTGGCCGGATTAGCGGGTGTAATAAAAAATTTGCATAGTTGCGTTTACCTGTGGCGTTTAAAAGGCGTCGCCGTAACGCTACCGCTCACAGTTACAAACTGCAACGTCTAACGTGAACAACGCAAAAGCCACAAATAAATATAACAAAATTAAAAGTATGGTGCTAAGTAATTCGACGCCCAACAATAATCGCAAGCAAAACGAGATGGTTGTGGACACAGCAGCCATGAATAGCGCCGATCTGAACGAGCTGCTGCAGCTGAATGCAGAGATTGAGGAGCGACGGTCACGGCACGCGTACTGCGATGTCAGCGATGCGCACGGACTGCTGCGTGCCACAATGACCCGAGAGGAGCTCTTCGAGGTTTCCTCCTTGGATGATGATCGCTTTCTAACAGCATTGGAGCACCAAAACTCTTATACGACCCCGTCACGTGTACAGATCACCGACTTGGACTTGTCCAGCATTGAGAACCTCATGAAGTATTTCGACGAAGAGGTACCCGTTACGCCTAGCAAAGATGTGCATGCATCGACAACCCATTCCACTGGCAAGGTGGCCAGCACCATTGCCAAATTAGCTAACCAGCCCGTGGCACAGCCCAAACAACAGAAAGTGGACAGTGGAAAGAAAAAGATTAGTGAGTTAAAACAGAAATACGAACAGCCACAGCTGGGAACACCACAGTCGGTACGTGGCGCTAACAAGACCAGCGGCAAGCTGCCCATGAAAGTCAAGGAGATGGCACAATTATTCAACTCGAAGATCAATCAGGTAATGCGCCGAGCTGAGCCGCCACAATACGCCGCGCTACACAATGAGCTATCCTTGTCACCGGAGCCCAAGCCACAGCCTAGGCAGAAACAGGCTCGACTACAACAACAACAGCAGCAGCTTGAAGAGGAGGAGTCCACAAATCATGGACCCTGCCTGGTAGCCGAGGATGTGTTTCGTGAGCTGAGCGTCAAGGATAAGGTGTTGCTCTTCAATAAATTTGTTAGCGACATTGCCGCTAAGCATCCCAAATTCAATGAGCATGCGGCTGATCTTAAAGCTCAGGCCAAAAAGCAAATAGCACGCGGCGAGGTCGTGGCCGAGCAGCAGGCCAGCGTCAAGCATTTGGCACAGGAACTCGAGGCCAAGTGCGTGCTGCAGTCCACTCCCCCACGGCCGGCACCGACACTGGTCACGTCGCTCAAGTCGCCATCGCCATCGCTGCATGTGAGCACACTGACAGTGGTGCTAAAGCCCAGCCCGGAGCGACATGTGATTGCCATGCCAGGTGGGCGTGGCCTGCAGTGCACCTCGCAGAAGCGCAATTCGGCTGCCATCCGCAGCGTACTGCCCACTGAGGCGTATGCGCCGCCCAAGAAGATACGACGCACACGCCAGGAGCGCTCCGGCACTGAAAATCATTTGTTTTTTCAAAACGAGCCTCTCGAGAGTCTTTTCTACACCTGGCTAAGTGCCGAGAATGGCGTGTTGTTCGACATAACCAGCGTGTCGAACAGCGATCAAACCATTGAAATTGCCAGCAGCGATGAGCAACCAGCTCAAAACACAGCCAGTTCGATGGGCGACATTAGCCAGAAGTCGGCCGTTGAGCGCTTGCTCGAGGAGGCCATTGCCAAGCTGGAGCTGGAGAGCAAAACTAAAGAAGCCAGCTATGTGGAAGATAAAGATGTGGACACAGCAACAACGCCGATATCAGCGGGCACGCACCTTGCTCCTGTCACGCCCACGCCGCGTAAAATGAAACGTCAAGCACCGCCGGTGCCGGCGCCTCGTCCAAGTCTGGCCCAGACGCAATCCACTTGCATTACTTCGAGCAGCTCCTCCAGTTGCAAGCATTCTGAAGCTGAGGAAAGTGAATCCGGCTTATCAACACTACCAAAGGTGAGTCCGCTATCATTTCAAAAGGCTGCCCAACAAACATATCTAAGAGTAAAACTGAAAATTCTGATATGTAAGACAAGTCATCAAATCTGAAAGAGAAAAACCCATTTACCAATTTACCTTTCCCAAAATAGGCTTTTCAACTCAAGCATTTTACAATGAACTTCCTTTCGAATTCTCTCTCAATATTGTATTTAATTTAATTGAACACTAAACCTCTAAATTATTTCTAACTCACAAAGTGGACCCAATAGTCTTTTGAATATAGATAGAATTAGCTCTTCATTAATTTAATTGTCTCTAAATGTATCCACAGATAACCACTGATGAATCTCAGCCAGAAATGCCAACAACGCCCAACGAGGCAGGCGACTTCGATTTTGCCAAGCCCGTGCGACCGCCGCGCAAGAAGAAAATGCGTCGTACGCTCACCTGGAAGAAGGAGAATTCAATTGTGGAGGCCACGGCCAATGCTGTAACCAGCACCGACTCAGATTCCGACTACAAGCCAGCAGCATTGCAGGCCAAGAAGAAGCCACCAAGTGCGTTAACGGCAGCTGCTCCGCCGCCGCAGTCGATGCCATTGCCGGAGCAAAGTTACATTGAGCTGGACAAGTCGCTGATGCGCCAGGTCAACTCGCCGCGAAAGATCAAGTCTGCGTATACGTTGACGGTGATGTCCTCGCCCTCTCCCAACGCGGACAGTGATCAGTCGCCGTCGCAGACGCCGCGTCAATCGTTGGATCAACAGCTGCGCGACAGTTTCATAGATCAGGGCTTCGAGACGTGCTCCAATGATGCCATGGACAACAGTCCGTTGCGTCGCTCTTCGGTGGGAGTGGCCCATGCAAAGCCCTCGGGCTTCTCCACGCCTGTAAAGGGCCGTAGCTGTGCAGGCGCTGCGCAGCAGCAGCTCTTCAGTCCGATTGGTGTGAGTGGACAGCAACTAGACAAGCCGCGTCGCAGCTCCTTAGCCATGCAAGTGATACGAGAGGATCATCCATTGGATTTGGCTGCCACATCCGATACGCCAACAACACCGACATGCAGTGAGCGCGACTTCTTTGCCAATGCACCCACTGTGGAAATGAGCTCCTCTCAGCTTGAGGACCAGCCGGCAAGCAAGCCACAGTCCAAGTTTTGGATCAGTGCCGGGGACTTTAACGTTGGACTGGAAATAGCACACAATACGCCGGATCGACTGCGTTTACTTTACGACATCTTTACGCAAAAAAGCTGGGAAACACGTGAGCTGACCTTTGGCATTGATGGGCACAAATTCTGCAGATCAACTGCTGGCGACCAGGACGCCAAGGCCAATGAGCTGCCAGAGCGACCGGCGAGCGTTAAGGGCTCCTCGCATTACTGGTTTGCTAGCGGTGATTTGGCTGTGCCGTTCAGTGGCAAATACATGCCCGGCGAGAAGATTGAGCGTCTGTTTCAGTTTCTTGACGCGGAGCTGAGCACTGGCCCCGAGTTGGAGCTACGCTTCGGCGTCGATCACTTTGAGTTTAGCAGCGTGCCGGAGTTCTGGCTCACATCGCCGAAGTTCTCCATCGAGAGTAGCTACAGCATGCTGGTGGGTCTGCAGACGGGCAGCAGCAACGGCTTGGAGGGGCGCAGCAAATATGCCTGGCCCAATAACCAATATAACAGCTCCAGCAATGCCATCAAGACCAGCGATCTGGACCAAACTGAGTTCGAGTCGGACAGCTTTAGCAACAATAGCGGCCGTCTCTCCTTCTCGCCAGAACTATTTAGCCAGGAATATGAGGCGGTGCCATTGGATGAGCTCTTCGATAAAACATTGCCCGTTGTCCGCTCGAAGTCCTTGAGCATGCCCCAAATGCTACGCACTCTGCAGGAGCAGCAAAACAAGCTGAAAAGTGTGGAGCAGCGCATACGAAACTATCAGCTGCCACCACAACTAAACGAAGCCTCGTTCAAGCAGTGCCGCAGCAAGCCGGAGTATGCCCAGAAGCTGCGCACCATTGAAAATCTGGCACGCAGCAATGGCTTCAGCGCCTGCTCCATGGAGGAGCTGGAGAGCTTTATGCAGTTTCTTTTCGAATATGCGGACACATGTCTGGGCAGCTGCAATGAGCACATCGAGAAGATCATCGACACGCTGATGCAGCAACGCGCCGTTGAGGTTTAATCCTAAGTACTTCGTCAAAGTAATGTATTAGTAATCATAAGTATATTTAAGCACATATATAGGCACATATATAGGCACGTATATAGGCACTAACATATAATGTTATAAACATATTTTTTACTCTCAATAAACTTCAGCTCTTTAGTGATGTAACTTCACAAATTCTTTTTGAATTCAGCAAGGAAAACGAATTTCAGATTATACAGATTATTCAGATTATACTGTACAATTTTGGATCGCTATCTATTGATCTATTCCAAATCAAGTCGCTAGCGCTTTATATAATAGTTTTACTATTATTCCATTTATAGCACTTTTTACGACGACGGTGTCCATAACTATGTTACCTACATTTCAAGCCTCTAGCGCAATGTTTGCATTCATATAGACAGACGAACAGACAGACAAACAGTAAACCCAAAACCTCTCTCCCTATGAAAATTCCCCAAGTTTGCGCGCAAAGAGTTCATTTACTCATACACATACATCAAAAGTCTTTGCTTCTACGTCACTGATAACATTCTTCGAACTGGTTTAGCATTATTTTCGAAATTGAAAGCATATTGGTTCTGCGCTTTCGGTTTGTTGACCAGCCATTGGAGCATCTAACATCATGCTGCTGAATTGGCCCGTTCAGCTTTAGTTGTCAAGTGTAATGTTGAATGCATCATCAGCGTCTTTAGCACATTGGCCACCCGCTTCTTCGGCTGGGCGCACGGGTCTTTTGTGTTTGCATTGCGCATACGCCACGTAGGGCAAGTAGCATCACGTTGCATTTGCAGGCGCTTGGCAAAATATTTATCTTGGGTTTTTGTGGCCAACAAAGAGGAGTTGTGAAGAGCTTAGCTATGCAGCAACAATGTCTCCTGCCAGCTGTAAGCATTTGCTGATGTGCACTGTGCAGTTGGCAGTCAAGTGGGTAACGCCCACGGACTCAATAACAATTTCACGTTCTGGTACCCAAAGTGCTGCACAAACACGAAATCAAATAAAATCAAAAGTCGTCGCAGACGACCACTAAACTGTGTTAAACCTTTAAATATATCTGGGGTCAGCCTTGGTTATTTGTCCGAATTCAATGTTTATTGAAGTTTGTATTTTTATCGTATAATTCAACGTTCGAGCACTAAACTAATAATTTCGTATAAATATATATTTTTGTGTCTTTTCTAAGATCAACTATTACAGGGTAGTAGTTAGTTGTAGTAGCAAGTTAAACAGTGGAAGAAATTTAGGATCGTTAAGGTACTTCTTATATTAAGTCAACCACATTGAGATTCTGTCTATAATCAGTTGAACACTTTCTGAAAAATGAGGTTACTTTGGATTTGTGTGGTCCTCGAAATCAACACGATGTTCTAGAAGATGTGGAAACTATTGGGACTAAAACTACGTCGGTCTGAAACGGTGTAAACTTACATTATTTTTATTTCTTCTCATTAATTTCTTATAATTTATTTTTATTGAATTTAATTGGCGTGCTTGAGTAGAACTTTCGTAATTGTTTAATGTGAAGAAATTAGTGAATGTGGATTATGTGTATATGTCGAGGAGAAATCTCAAATTCTACATTCTTCTATAAAAGTTTTTTCTTCTTGCTGAGAGAATCAATGGTTGTCTCTACATACGCACGCATACGTAGCCCATTTGACGTAACAATGTCGAGACCTTCGCTCACACGCTTTTGTATGCATGTGGAATGATAAGAGCCACAAGGAGGACTTCAGTATGTGTGAGCGTCTTAGTATTTTGGTGTTCTGAGTAAAATAATTTATTCTGTACATACAGACACGCACAAACACACATATATACGCCTATGTGCATTTTTATTTATATCACATCAAATCAAGAAAAAATCGTAGGTGAGCGAACAATTTGCGCAGAGCGCAGCTCTCGAACTGAGCTTTTTATTGACAATTACTGAGAGAATGCACACGTATCAGTTCCAGATCTGGATTTCTATGTTTACTAGGCCGATGTCTTTAGTATGAATGCACCTCATAAATATGTGTATACTGAAGCCATTAGCCATTAATATTGATTACATTTGCATCATACTTACATATTTTTGAAGAAGTTTTTATAGATTTCCGTAGAGTTACTTTTTATACTTACTGAGCTGAGAAAAAGCTGTTGTGTGAACATTTCATAAGTAAGTTCTCGCAAGTAAAATAACAATCAAATACATTATATTTATATTATTTATATTCATGTTTTGCACAGTAAGCAATCTCATTATGTTATTTACTCCGCTGCCGCTTGTTGTTGACTGCGGATTCAATTCATTAAATGTACATTATCACTCTTATCGTTAAGAAACACAAACTAAAGCCTATGATATATTTATGTTCGTTTATATGTAGTTTAGTTCTTAATTAGGCTGTCATTTGAATATGTGAGCATAGTTCAAGAGATATAATATATATAAATATGTTTCATGTGCCGATCATCAATTAATAGCCTACAAATAAACTTGGAGTTGTCCCTTCGTTTTCATCAATCTCAACCTCTCCAATCGCTCTCGGACTATTAATAGCGGGTTTTATGGCTAGCGGTGAGGAGAGGAGCTTCTGCTTTATAGACTTCATAAACATAATGCTGACTAACTTCATACAAATTTAAGCGCAATTTATTGTAATGCTTATAACGAGTACATAATTTACAATTGTTTATGTGTGTCTAATTATTTACATATGTTTGCTTGTCTAGATTTTATATATTTTGCATTATGTGTTTGTCTGGGCTTTATGTTTTTCTGTTCTCTTCTTTTTTTAACAATTTGTCAACAACTGTGTTTATTTAGTTCATTTTGTTTGCTCTCATGCATTGTTTAATATTTCAACTAATTCCAACATCAAATTTGTCAACAGATTTTGCTGGCAAAGAGATTCCCATCAAGTAGTTCAGACCGAAAAAAGTATTCAAATCGTTCCAATTAATACGCATTTGTAATGTTAACCGGTGCAACAGCAAAAAATATTGTACTTATACTTAATGAAACCGAAATGGAATCAACTTTTGACACGAAAACTTAAATTTCCTGCTTGCTCTATACACTGTACCGTCAACGAGAAGAAGATGGTTTCAATACAATTCATAACTAATTACAGTGAAATATATAAATAATTTCAAATATGATTAAAATGATCTATAAAGTATATTTTATTCACATAGAACCGCATTAAAGCTGAAATACTCAATTTTTATCTAATGGCACATGATTATTCATGGAAGAGTGTAGAGCATTAGCTGGTCACCTCATGTTCTGTGCTCGTTTTTATTGTGATTAATTTAATGTCGTTTTTGTATGCATTTAATTGAGGACTTGGATTTTGGGATGGGTTAAGCAAGGTAGACCGAAATGTAACCGCGTTGCAATTGGCAAATACTTTAATTAAGTGGTTGTTGGATTTTAGTTGTGGTTGGGTGCTCCATGCTGTGTGTTCAGCTTGACTCTTGTTATACCCTGTACTATGTGAAAATGTCTAATGATATAATAATGAAAGTTGTTCGATAATCAGAATGCCTGAGTGTGCGTTTGTCTATTTATGTATTTGTTGGAAAGTTGAAAGTGGACGCTGCGTACAGGGTATATTCTATTCGATCACTACCGACTAGAGCACACTGGTTTTCTTTGTATTTTTGCTCTCTTCTTTGTAATGGCACTTTAATAATACAGTTTGCTCTTAGCTTTTTATTGACGCGAACACAAGGCCAGGAGCGACAGAAGCGTTAGAAGCCAACAGATGGAACGCAGTCCTCGACCGCCACTGGCCTTGCCCTTGGACCAGTCGTAGCCCTCCTGATTGCTACCCATTAGCTTCTGTTCGGATTTGCCGATCTCATTCAAATTGGATTGGTATTTAACGCCCACTGCAAGTTGAGCAAGCAAATTAAAATATCCAAATTTTAGATTAATATAATATTAATAATAGTTGGCTGAACTACTCACATTTGTCAATTACAATCACTGAATTTGTGGGCACGTCCCCGCCGTAGCCATTGAATGCCAAATTGCCATCAAAGGGTAAGTTCATTGTTGTTGTCGTTGTGAGCAAAGTTGTTGTCGTCGGCGGCGGTTGTGTGGTTGGCGGACTTGACACTGTCAAGAAGTAAGAAATATGTTTCAATAATCTAAGTTTTCAGCATGAAAATACGATTTTGGGACAAGTCTTTAACTTAAAAAATTAGTTTGAAATACGTTTGGTATATATGAAATGCTCTTATCTTCTTATTCTTGATATAAGTCTTACTATTAAGAAAATTATAATATTCCCAATTAATAGCAATAGACTAAGGAACGCTTTAAAGGTACATTAATCTCCTTATAGTTGAATGGAGCTTAACTTGTTTTGTTCGCATTTTAATTGACTGAAACTAAAATGCTTTTAGAAGAGAATCAACCAGGTTGAACGCAACTGTTTAACTGGAGGTCTACTTGAACATCTTGAAATGTTTCAAGTTTCTAACTTAATCCTCGAGCTGTAGTTCAAGTAGTCCGAAAGCCGTCGTAAATATGCCGCTATTGAGTGCCGCCTTTCGTTTTCAATTCAATTTCTTTCCCTTTGGGCTGCTCTCTGGTGCCATATCATTATTGACGGCAATTTGCTGAGCAAATTTATGAGGCTGCCCTTGCTCCTTATCGACTGCAATGCCATGAGGATGCGCCAAACTTTCATAGAGCAATGCTGACCACTTAATAACATTGTCACAGGTTCATTGTTCTCAATGTATTGTGTGTTAGCTGCCATTATTGCCGCCCTCTTATTATCAGCTGCTGTGGCTGCTCTTTGTTACCTTTAATTGGTTGATCGTTACCAACGCCCTCGCCTCCGCACAGTGTCAGCCTGTATTGTTTGTTGCCGCCGCTGGCGGCGTGTCAGCCCCGACGCTGTCTGTGTTTTTATCGCCTGCGCGCCCCAAAAATAAATTAACTTGTCGCATTTTCACATTGACAATTTCTGGCCGCTATTGGCCATGGCCTTTAGACGGCGCCATCTTTTTATTGTGGCGCAACGAACGAAACGAACGGATATTTTATATTGTTTTATGAACTTTTGTGACCGGAATTTGCGAGTTATATATATATTGCAGCCTGCTGCTTTAATGGCCCAACAACTGGGACTGATTTAGCAAATTGACAGATTATTGGCATTTTATTGGCCCATGTCGTACGTAACAATAAAATCATTAAATTGTCGCCATGTTAGCTGTCCATATATATTTTATATGACTTTACAAAGTCTTTTATCGATTAACAATTATTTATCCGGCGTGCAAGCGGAGAGAGCCGCTTTTTAAATAAAAGTTAGATGTCCAGCTAAATATTTTATCACTTTGTGTTGCAAGTTTATATAAGCTTAATTCAATTTTTACTCCTTCAAAAATATGTAAGTGAAATGGCTATGATCTTTTCCAAAGGCATGCCACATCTATGTAGAGCATACAGTTTTACCCCGACTTGCCACGCCCTCATTTGGTGCGGATATAGCGCTTTGAGCTTAACTTGTTCACATTCCGTATCAGACAAATCTTCCGATTTTATAAGACGACTCTTTACTTTCTCGTGAGTTACTATCGACAGGGGAACAGACGGACAGCAAGGTTAACCGACATATTTTCGCTTCGCCAATGAGTATGACTATTTTCGGCACAAATTTCAATGCATTTTTGAGTTTTTAAATTAATTTTTATATAAATCTATCAATGCGCTTTCAAGCAACAAACTTATAAACGTGTTTTAAAAACTTATAAAATTGTATGCAGCACAAAGTCGATCAGAAGAAATTTGCAATTATCATTTTCGCAGCTGCAGTTCAAGTGCGATAATTAATGCCGTATCATCAGTAAAACTATGATTATAAGACGGCTCATTAGTTAATTTTCCATCACAAAATAGCTGAACACAGTTCAGCGTAGTCGGCTCTTACACATAGATCGCCAGACAGCCAAACAGTGCTTCGCTCTGGCGTGGCATGCAGTCGTATTTATAACGCAACAACTTTGCCCATTTAACTGTTCGTAAGTGCCTTTAGCCTGTTGCCTATCTAAAACCAATGACCGCATTATCTGGCTAGAATTACATACAGTGCACACTCACACAGACAAGTGTACGCCTGTCAGACGCCATCCAATCAACTGCACACATTTGGTCGCCATAATTAAAGCCGCAAATGGTGTAGTTTCAAAATTTGCCGTGTCCAGAAAATGAGTGCGCGCACACATTGGGGCCGGCATTTGTTATTTATCGCACTTTTGTGCGGCTCTGGACATCGGTTTACGCATAATGGGCCAATATTAAAAAGTATAAATAACACATAGCGGACACTTACTGTAGAGTTTTATGTTGCCATCCATGTCGCCACGAGGATTTTTGGCGACACATTTGTAGTTGCCATAATCGCTGCCCTCCACATTGGTAATCGTCAGTCGCATTGTCGCCTTGTACGATGGATGGCCCGGAATTGTTTCGGTTCTGCAATGAAGGCAACAAGCAAATATGCTTACAACAATTATAATAACAATATAAATGAATAGGAAAACATTGCGTATGGCTACACGATTTGTGCAAGTTCAATGACAGCAATTGCGTCGCGCCTGGTTATGGGTCAGTGGCGAGTGGCGCAGCTTCAATGAGACCCAATCAGAGTAATCAAGGTCAAGGTGAAACTGATAAGCGTAGTCACTGACCACTTATGCTTAATCAAAGTGCCACCCGGCAGAGTAAGCACAGTGGCTAAAAAACAATAATAAAATATGTTGATCTGTTGAGAATAAACTAAGCTTAACCAAAGGCTACAAGCTTAAGCTTAGTTTCTTATTATATTTGAGTATATAATTGAATTGTGCTTAAAGACAATGAGCAGAGTAAGGCTGAACAAATATTTGAATATATTTGATTTTCGCCCCAATGTGCAGCACTGCGATGAAGACTGACAGGTAGTCAGCGTTGCTTGCCGGCGGCTATTCCAGCCAACTGGCCTCTGGATATATAAGTTCTAGCCAGTTATGCAGTTGATCGCAGAAACATGCTTAAGCTCAGCCTGATTGCTTGGCTGCTTTGCTCACTGGCGTGGCGCACCACGCCCACCAGCTGTCACCAGACGCAACCGCCGCCAAGTGTTCAGGAGCTCCTAGCTAATCAACTGCACAGCTATATGGACCTGAAGGCGCGTCCGTGCGAGAATTTTTATCAGTATGCCTGTGGTAATTGGCCATTGCAGCAGGTGGAGGAGCCACAAGAGACACAGCAGACAGAGCAACAGCAGCAATCAAATCAACTGGAGCAAAAGGAGCAGCTACAGCCTAGCGACACTTTGGCCGTACTGGATTATGCACTGAATCGTCAGCTGGAACAGTTGCTGAGACGTGGTGTAACCAATGACAGCAGCGCGGAGGACGAGCAGATCGCCTCAATCCATCAGAAAATGCATAATTATTATCGCGCCTGCAAGCGCCTGAAGCCGTATAACCTAAAGAAGTATCTGCAGCTGTTGCCACCAAGTAATTGCACAACCTGGCCGCTGCTAAGTCGGAAGTGGAATCCGGAAACGTTTAGCTGGTTGGCGACCATCGGGCGACTGCGTTCACACGGACTCAATGGGGTGCTGCTAAAGGAGGAGGTGCTGCCGCGTTGGGATGACTCCAGCAGCTATGTAATTAATTTGGATAAGCCCAGCCAGCTGGAGACCATGCCTATGGGTGAAGGCGCCATCATAGAGCTATTGCTGGATATTGGGCAAACAAAGCGCGAGGCCAATGTGCTGGCCCGTCAAGTGGATCTCTTTGAACGGCAGCTGCATCGCTTACAAGACATTGAGGACGACTTGGGCAATATGGAAACAGAATTGTGCTATTTGGCGGAGATCATGCCGCAACTGCAATGGATAGCCTTTATGCAAGAGCTGCCCGCAAATGCAGCCGGCAACGAGCTCGAACGCCCTCCAACGGTCATCATACAAAATGTGCCCTATATGCGTGCCCTGGACAAGTTTCTGAGGCGCTACAAGCCGGAAACCGTTTGCAACTATATCATGCTGAAGCTGCTCGCTTACCTCAAGCAGCAAGGACCGGCGGAGATATCACGTGTGGAGTGCGTGGCCAGCTTAAGACGTGCCATGCCGCTGGCTGCCAGCTTGTTAATAGGACAAAGATTTCATGACCCCAGCTCTGAGCCACTGGTTAGCGACATATTTCGCCGACTGAAACGTCGCTTTGGTCAGCTGCTCAGCGAGAATCGCTTGCAGCTCAAGCAGCCAATCGTTCGAGTTTTACACGAGAAGTTAGATGCTATGCGCTTTCAACTAGGTTTCTTGCAACTTAATGAAACCAGCTATGTTGAGGAATACTATGATCCTGTGGAGTTAAATTCCCAAGGTTTCTACGAGAATCAGCTGTCGTTGTTGCGCTTACGCGTCGAGCGGAATCACGAGCTGCTCGCCTTGGGCAATCAGTTCAATGGAAATAATATAAGCTATCTGACAGAGCGCGATCTGAGCAGCAGTCTATCGCCGTTCTTTGAGCTACCCAGGAATCTTGTGCTGGTGCCCTACGGCTTTCTTCAGCTTCCCGTTTGGCATCGCAACATGAGCGAGCTGCAACAGCATGCGGTGCTGGGCTTCATACTGGCTCACGAGATAGTTCATGGATTCGATAACCATGGCATTGTTTACGACAGCGTCGGTAATCTTATGGGTCCCAGCGAGGAGATCTTGGCAAGTCCGCGCTATAACCAAAGTATCAATTGCATAGAACAGCACGTGGCCACCGGCTCGAAGTCACTCAGCGAAAAAATGGCCGACTACGAGGCCATGCGACTGGTTTATGAAACCTTCTTCGGGGAGAATTTCTCGGTAGATCGCAAAGAGCCACGGGATCCGCTGTTGCCACAGTTCAGTCAGCGCCAACTCTTCTTCATTAGCTTCGCACAGTTCTTCTGCGGCAAACAGCAGAGTCTGAATGCACAGCATCTGGAGCATGCTGTGGATGAGCTACGAGTACTACAAACGCTGGCCAACTTCGAGGAATTCTCCAGAGAATTTGGCTGCGAGAAGCGCACTAAGATGCAAGCTAAGAAAAAGTGCAGAGTTTGGTAGAGTTTAACATTATATCTCTAGAAATAATTGGAAAGTAAATAATAAGATAAAAATATGTAGAAGATATAAAAAACATTGCAGTGCCCTGGCTCTAAAGTAATTTTGTTATACAAATTAAATATTTAATATAAAAATGTTTATTACGCAATTGATTTGCTTTCACTGAAGAAGCCTTTGGAAACAAATCAAATCGTGCTAGCTATTACCATAATCGGCATTTCTCGCCCGGATGCATATTATCACGATCTTGACGGCATCCGTATGCTTCGGCAAATGGCGCAAAGTTAATTAGCACCTGCCTCAAACGCATCTCATCCGCATCATGGTCTTCGAAGTCATCTGGAGACGCGTCACCACAGAAGAACTGCGCCATGTTCAGAAAGAACAGCTGCTTTAAAGAGAGAGTCGAGAATGCGGGTTGCGACTGATTGAATTTGGAGTCGCTATCAAAGAAAGCGTCATAGGCTAAACGAATGCCCGCAATATCGGCCTCTCGCTCGTCCATAAAATCAGTTTCATTGCGATTCAGGCAGCTGATGGCCGATAAATATTCATCTTCCAGAAGGATTCCTGCGCTCATCTCGTTGTAATTGCCTTTGAAATCATAAACTATACCGCCAGAGACGAAACCATGCATTAACTCATGACTCAGCATGAAGCCCAATAAGCTGAACTTGAATACGTCATGCGCGTCTTGGTAAAAAATGGGCGGCTGGAGTGTGCCATAGGGCACAATTATCAGATTTTGGCGCAGCATATAGTACGGTGTCGAGCTCATGCCTGTATCCGAATCGCTTATATAAAAGTAAGCGCTTACATTGAGTGGTCTGTCCAGCTGGTCAAACCACCGACGTGTGCGATACTCCAATAGTCGCAGATGATTCGCAGCATAATCACGATCGCCGACCAGATGCAAATCAGCATAGAAGTCATTGACGAAACGGGCACGATCAACGCCCTGAGGCATATTGCCGATGTTGATGGTCATGTTGAGCAGTTTGGCTCGCATCATATCCAGCTCATGAGGAGCCAATCTTAGATTGTTTGTCTCAAACTTCTTGAGGACCTGTTTACGTAGCACCTCAAAAAGTTCTAATATGTCAGTCTGAAGCTTTTGACGCCGGTCTGGCCCAATGAATCGCTGCTCATATAACAGATTTGTGGCTAGCTCCATATTGCGACGTACATCCTGAACGCATGAGATGGAGTCATTGCTATCCATAGTCTCTTCCTGCAAATGCGAGACGAAGCGCAACATTATGTAGCTGGCCACCACCTCACGGTTCATGGGTTTGATGAAATCTACAAGCATTCTCAAATACGCAGAACATTCTACATTCACCATAAAGTCAGCGGGCACGTTGCGGCCTAGCACAATCTCCAAGTATTTTCGCCATTGGCCGCCAATTTGTACTTCTAATTCTTGAAGCGTGAGGTATTCGCCGGCCTCGTTACATTCATCTGACTGTCCTGCCAGTACAGATACAGTTGCTTCCAAAAATTTAACACTTTTAGCCAAGCGCGATGCCTGCCCAATGCTGGTGCCCAGCATGCGGAGTGTTAGTTTGGTTAATATTCGGCTTCTTAGTCGTTCTTTTTTCTCCTCAAAACTTGGTCTGTTTATGCGTATGATATATTTGCTACTGTTGCTCAGATCAGGCAACGTATCCAGCTTAAAGAGCACATTGGTCAGGCCATAGCGCTGCAGTCGGGCCAGAGTTTCCATCCATTGGAACTTGCTACTGCCCCAGGCTTCGGATCTACGCTTGAACTGCGGCCAGGGTATTTGGTCGTTTGGCGGTACCAAATGCAAATAATGTCTACTCAAGCGCGTTGATTGCGATGCCAGCTTACAGGTCTGAAAGAAGCTTAAGACCTTGTCTTCCACACTGCCACGCTTCAGGGACTGTTGCTGCTGCTGCAGCTCAGTTAGAAGCATTAGCAGGTTCTGGTTTACCTTATGATCAATCAATCCAATTATTTCTATATAGTTATCATTCTTGTGCTTTGTGGCCCAATTGCCGCATGCATATTTATAGTAATCATGGCACGGTGAAGCACTCTCGTTGACATAACTAAGTATCTGAGTCACCAGCTGTCTATTGGCACTAGACGCGGGAGGATGGTTTGTCTGACTACTTGCTCTTGATAATAGCGGCAACAAAATAAAACTTAACCAAAAAATACAAAAAGTTGATGTTGAAGTCGACATTGCTTTTGGTGAACTGTTTTCGTAGCTTGTCTGTTTGGTATATTTAAGATTGAGCTCTGTTCTATAATCAGCAGCATATACTGCTAAATATATATATATAAATATATATATATATATATAAATATATATATATATATATATATATATATATATATATATATATATGTGTGTATGTATATAAATATACTAAATAAAGATTCTCTCGATTCTCTCCGTCTATGTTAACTACGTAAATATAAGATCGCAATTGCTACAACAAATGGGGCATACCCTGTGTTATGGCACAGTGCTAATTAATCGTCGCTTATGAGAAGTCAATGTAAATTGTACAAAATAAAATAGAAAAGTTCAAACGTGATTCTGATAGTGAGATGTTCAAGTTATATATTTTGTTGTTACGAAAATTATAATTCTGCGAAACAGTGTCTACCACTGCTGTGATTCAAGTCCTATCTGATTCATTCTATATATGATTTCTGAATATATATATATAAAATAATTAGCCATTAATTATTATTGGCCATTATTTATTTAAACCTAAATTGAAAATCAAATGAAAATATAATATTCTGAAACCTGCGTGGAGTAGATACGGCTCTCAGTTTGTGTGAAAGTGGTAGTGGTTGCTTGCACTCATATGGAGGTTATCAACAAGACTCATCTGATTCAGTGTATCATAAGAATCTCATTACTTTAAATTAAAGTATAGAAAAAGTTTCAAAACTAGGCTTAAGGGAAAAAAGTCAAGTCACATTTACAGTGTCACATTATGATCATATCTTCTAGTGAGAAACTCTCGAAAAGTCAGCACCTAGCATCGTCCCTTGTTGCATAGATTTAAGTGATTAATTGTTTATATTATATTTATAATACATTGATTTATTCACTCTTAAAAATATTAGCAAATTATTAACTTTACTCTTGTCCATGTTAATGCACTTTATACACAAATATTATTAAAAAAATATTTTTGTGACGATTTTCAATCACTCCTATTAGTGTCGAAATACAACTAAGTTAGCATCAACACAGTCTCTTTTCAAACGTATTAAATTAATATAAAAACTTACTTGTATTTGGATGACTCCGTGATCATTTGTTCATTCTCGCGCGTCCAATAATTAAGCGATGTGGGATTGGCTTCGATGAAGCACTCCAGCGTAACGTTAAAGCCCATGGGAATGCCGACGAGCTGATGCGGTATCCAGACCATTGGCGAAACTGCAATTGGAATTCGAGAGAATAGGGTATAAGCATGAAGGGTCGGGCGATCGATTCATTCAACAAACTTACAGTCAACGCTGACTTTGATGCGCTTTGAAACGCTGGGCGGCACACCGTTTGAGGCGATGCAGAGATAAGCACCCATGTGCAGGCGCGAGATGCGCTCCAATTCCAAAGAGTCTGTCTCCAGGTCATTCACTGCAACAACATGAGCCGGCAATAGAGTTCATGATTTGATGTGAATTTCGTGGCAGTCGGACTTACCTTCGAGCGTCTTGTTGATGACAATTTTATGGTTGTCATCTCGTTTCCATTTGATGGATGGCTCTGGGCTGCCTTTCGCCTTGCAGCGCAGTGTGACATTGTCGCCCTCGCGCACAATGACATCACTGGAGGTCAGCGCATCGTCAATATTTGGTGGGACTGCAAGAAGTGCGGCGAGGCAAGGAAATGGATATTATTATTCCTGCCAGCTAAACATAAACTCAAAAGCGAGCAGCACTTGATTTAAATGCAAAAACTTTTGCATTTTGGCAAACAGCGTTGCCAAGAAAGTGGAAACGGCCAAAGCCAACAAAGTCAAACCAAGCAGAAGTCTAACGACTCTTAGATACACTTCTAGATTATGACACGATTCTTAAGCATTTTATTTTAATTTACAAAATATAATAGATAATTCCTTTATAATAGATAAATTCCTGTTCTTAATTAAGCTACTATACTTGAGAATTTGTTGTGCTTCTGAAGTTTTTCGATGTTATAATTGTTATCATTAAAGAAAAAGAAATAATTTTATCAAAAATTATTTATGTTACAAAAGAAAATTAAAGAAACTTTAACTGCTGAAAGCTAATAACTATCGCACTTATCTCCAGATAAATGTACGAATTTCTAACCACAAAGATGAGAGATGTCTTAGCAAACAATACGCCAAAGTTCGGTTACGCTCCGGGAAGTGTAGAAAAAAGCATTTCACGCATTGTTGACTTTGACGCGCTGATTCAACTTTGTCCCAAGAGATATTTTAGTTTAAGCCTAATTAGCTTTGCGACAAGACTTTAGCCTGGCTAACTTTTGGGGCGAGTCTGTTAATTTAAAAATCGATGCTAGAACCTTCATCAAATTGTCATCAGCCTTGGGGGACACCGTTGCGCTTTGGTTTTCAATTGCTGGCTGAACGCTTCTGTCAAACCCTTTTTTTTGGCGTTTCTTTGCTTTGCCCTTCAAGCGGAAAATCTGTAATGAAAAATCTATGCAAATCAAAGCTCACAAAGCTAGAAGCTAAGGATTTTACTTGGCCCATACAGGCCAAGACAGAGAAGAAGAAGAGATATAGAGAGAGAAAGACAGACTTCTACCCAGACATATGGACCTAAACTGTCTTAGTCGCTGACAGCCGCTGCAGTTTGTCTCATTTCATATTCAGAGCGGTGTCTGTAATCAAAAGATATCGCATGCAATTTTTTTCATTTGGGTTAAAGTCTGGACAAGTCCTGTAAGTCACGTGCGCGACGCGTTTAGTTGTCGTCTGAAATCTGACGTGGCGACTATCTGATGGACTGACCCCAAACAGCAAATCAATAATGCGAGCGAATTATGTCATGAAAATTTCAATCACTCAATAGATTCATAATTAAATGCAGAATTGCAAACATATTGCAACAGAATAATTCATAGTTGAATTATATAATTTAGTTATGAATAACTTTTTTATAATTTTCGCTGATTTTAAATTGCGAAAATCCCTTGTGTCCCAAATACCATAGTGCATTGTGTTAAAAAAACAAATGTTGCATTATTTGGAAAACAGTTTTCATTTCTAATAAATAATTAAATTATTTACAATTTATTTTTCGTGTGTAATTGCGGGCTTCATTGCATTAATATGATTATTAAATTATAGATAATTTTTGGATAGCCGCCGCTGGCTTCTTTAAGTGCTCACCGTTTGGTTAAATCTTTACCTTTTGGTCATTTTTCGCTTGGGGACGCAACACATAAAGCCAAACTGTAATTAAAAGTTGCAATTGCTTCAACTTTTTCTATGCGCTGTATACTTTTGTCTTTGGCTCCTTTATTTCGCCCGCTTCATAGTGCCAGGGCGCTTATGAGCCAAAAGCGAGGCAAACGAAAAAAAAACTTTGTTCTGACCGTTTGCTGTGCTATTAATAAACGCTTGATGTGCTAATCGCCGAGCTGGCCATAAGCGCACTGAATCGCTCCTCGGGCAGCTGTTGTTCCTGTGTGCTGGCCACCCCATTTGACATATTAGTTTCTTTATTGATATTTAGCAGCTGGCGACAAGACGAAAGAGGCTACCAAAGTTTTCTACACAAGCGTGCTTGTGGTTTTCCCCTGCTCACATATTGTTTTTAAGGGCAAACTTTTCACATACAAGCTGAAAATTTAATTAGGCAAAGTCAACGCATTGGGCAAAGTTTCGAGGTTCGGAGGCCTGCCAGACTCACCAGCCAAACTACTTTTAATTTATAATTTCAGTTCACAGCTAACGAAGGGTATTAACCAAGTCGACATATAGCGTTTAATTATTAAATTGCCGTGTCCGTTCGAAAACTTTTTCGCCGCTCAGATAACAACGTGACCACCTAACCGTCTAACGAGCGGCAATTAATCTTCATATTCTTAATAAAGCCACATACCGCACACCGAGTTTATCCTGCGAGGCATAAATTATTGGTTGAAATGTTGAAGCAGTATGATATTAAAGTGACTAACAAGTAATAATTTGGCTAATAAAAAATGAATATTTCAGTAGCATAACTAATGCTTGGGAAATACAGTTGCTTCAATAAGTGTGCCTTGCACTCGGAGATGTCACATCAACCTATTGGCAAATGTAGGGTATAATGGGCACAGTACAGTAGAATATGTGGTCCATATATAAAAATTCTTGATCAGCAATAGCAGAGTTGTACGAAGTCACTAAGAGTTAGAAAGTTCTTTATAAGTTTTACATCTTCCAAAACTCTTTGAACCAGAGAAAGCAAATTTTGTATTATGATTTATGTACAGCATACACAATTATGATTTGTTTTATATATTGGATTCCCGCTCTGAGTTCCATGAAATCCAAATAAATTGAATATAAATGTAAAATGTATCCAATATATCAGATACGTGTGCATTACATGTGTAAATGAGTGTATTTTTGTGCATGTCTAAAAATAAGGTGGAATATCGAAAAACAACAATTTAGCACAGGCAAGGATATTTTCTAGTCCGACACACCTGATTTTATTGGTAATATATTAAGCTGGCTTCTTCAGGATTGAAAACGACTTTTTGGACGACTTTTTCAGGTTTGGAAAGAGTTGCGACCAACTTTTCAGGTTAGCATGAACAACTCTTTCAGTTTATGCATAAGCAGTGCGTTTTTGCCGTCGTTTTCAACATAACTGTTCAGGTTAGCTTAAAATTTATTAGAAGAAAGAACGTGCTGAGTTTGTGCACATGGACAATGCTCTTGCCATTAACTGGTTGCAAAAGGTCGCTAGCGAGTGTCAGCGTTGTAATTGAATTTAATAAATTGCCTCATTATGTGAGTAGAAATTAAAAATTATGCGCCAACAGAGTCAACGTTGGGCAAAGCTCGTTATTATTGTTGGATGTTGGTTGCATGTTGCATGTTGTTGCATTTGTTTTGCATTTTCTGCGGTCATTTGGTGGACTTTTGAGCTGGGGATTTGCCTGCTCCATAGCCCCATCGACTCGCCTAGCGCCGCCAAAGTATGCAACACAACGGCTGTTGCCAGCTGGAGCCGGCGCATTTAAATGCATTTGGTGTGCGTGGCACATAAATTCAAAAGCGTTTAATGTTTGTTTTTACCGTCCCGCCGTTTTATAATTTCGTCGTTTTTGGGCTCGTGTACATTTTATTTTATTCGCCACGTTTCGAATTCGGCGCTTTCTGTTTGGCTCAGCAAATTAAATTACAAATGCTGTGCGTTTCGAAAATTTATTTATTTATTTACTCATTTGCCCAACAAAATATTCGGAATGCTTTTTGTCCCGCTTTATTTAGACGGCAAATGCAACGTTTTAATTTCATTACATTTACTGTACAATGTAATTATCATTTTTTTTCTACCACTCAAATTGTTAAATTGAGTGCCTAGCTTAGGGCTATGAGGGAGGGACCTGTCTGACTTCACTCTCCTAACCAAAGCTATGCTTTTTTTCTGCGTAAAAATTGCACGTCATTTAATTTTGTTGCTTTTAATTGGATTTGGTATGTAAATTAAATGTATTTCATTTGATTCGGTTTTGCAACATTTGACAATTTCAAATTTTAATTTATAGTTAGACGTGCGTTTAATACCCTGTTATTGGTTATTGTATTAAACTAGAGGAAACTAAAAGAAATTTATAAAGCCAACTTGAAATTAATTAATTAAATTATTCGAAGAAAGGCTGCTTTAAGAAATCTCTACTGTTTGATCATATCTTTTATATAAAATAAGTTGTATAAAAAAAATTATAGTTAAACATTCAAATTGAATTAAATATATATTAAGATAAAGCATTAAGAAGTCTTAAAAATATAGTCAAAATAAACATGGATAAAACCTTAATACTTGGGCATACGGCAATTATATAAAAATATTTCTATGGTCTATTGATCTGAGTATATTTCTTGGATATTATACAATTCATTTCCAATTGGTTTAAGTCCTTGCGTTGCGGCATTCGTAAACTTAACCAATAAATCTAATAAAAGTCTAAGCAAGAAGTTTTCAATGCAAGCATTTCACACGAGATCCGCTTTTCAAGTTGACAAATCAACATCATCCGGCGGACAAACATGCTGTGCACTGGACAGCAGGCGGCGATTCCATGCGGAGTCGTGTGGCGTGTGGGCAACAGACGTTTTGCGGCAGTCACATAAATCAGTTTTTGTGGCAAAACTTGAAAAATATGTGCGCAAACAAATGGCAGCCAAGCGTAGGAGGCGGCTGAACAACTGAAAACTGCGCCATGCAACAGTTAGAACATGGACATGGCAACACCAAACAACCTAGCAGCGATGGGAAGAGGCAGTTGGCAGAAAGCAGAGGGCAGAAGACAGAAGGCAGCAGGCAGTAGGTAGACAGAGACAGCAGCGCACACATGCAAATGCGCGAGGATATAGCGACAAGGACACATATGCTGCACGTTGCTGGATTTCAGTTTAGGCTGGCGACAAATAAAAAAAAAACACATGCGACCATTGCAGTTGGGCGCAACCAACTGCATAATACTCGTTAACGTCACAAAATCATTGTAATGTATACGCTTCTCTGCAGTTTTGCAGATGAAAAACGCGATGATCATAGCTCTAAAACTGTGTAGGATATATAGTAGTTTGTTACGATTTTCCTATTAGTTGCAAAGAAATGGAGAATAAGGGTTGTACAGGAAATGGTCAAATTTCATAAGACAAGGCTGCCATTAAGCAGATATTAGAACTTTTCATACGGGCAGATGGATATTCGAAGAGCAGGATAAACACTATACAAAATCATGCCAATACGCTTCTCTGCCTTCGTGAGCAAGAAGAGGTGCATCGAATGAACAGTATTATAGATAAAGCCTATTAAGACAATTCGACAATCGTTATAAAAACTTGTATTTAAATAATTGTAGTTTACAATTCGTTATCAAATTTGTTGGCTTTAAATTACTGCTTATATACCCCATTGTAACGTAAGTGCGGGTATAAAAATGCCACTGGCATATTTTAATTTCTCTTTTTTTTTGCTTTGTTATTTTTTTGCATTTACAGTATTTTTAGCGTTATTTTTTGCCAGCTGACCAGCAACGAACCAAAGTTGTCGCACTACTGGTAAATTTGCCTCTCCCAGGACTTTTGCCACATCAGCGTGTTCGCTACAAGGGTGTGTGTGGGCATGTGTATGAGATAAGTGTAGCCAACGTTTGTATGTTTGTGTGGGGGCGAGAGAAAAAATGTACAAAAAAATATGGACAACGAGATTGCAAAAATTTCGTGAAGCGGCTGCCACCGTTTTGGTCACGCCACGTCAAATTGCCAGAACACGCATGTGGTGCGTGTGAGGCGTGTTATTTGAGCATTTTACAACACTGAAGCGTGCTTAACGGCTTTTTGAAAGTGCTATCAGTGAGCGCAGCACAAACAAAACACAAAAAAAAATATTTGAAAAAAAATGAGATAGAACAAAATTGTAGAGTCAGGCTTACTGCAACGCTATGTAAACATGAAACGCTTAGGCATACACACATATGCACTTAAGTGCCCGTACTATGTAATGGAATCTATGGGTATAATATGAGAAACAAGAGAAAGGTGGGCGGGTCATGCAAATTGCTAGTATAGACTTTGCCAACTGCTGTTACCCAAGGAAACTGAAACGTTCAAGCTTTTTTAACTTAAATTAAAGTTAAAATATATATATATATATAATTAAAATATTTAGTTAAGTGGCAGTTACGTAAAATAAACTGACTTTAAGAAAGCTTAAAGCAAAATAAATAAAAACCATTATAAATCGGAAGACATTTTTTATTTACATTTCATGTAAATATCAAGTCAAATCGATTGAATTTCAATATAAGCAACACACACAAATCCCAGTGACATTTAGTCTCATGCTGATGTGAAATAATATTTATCTACTATATAACTAGTGTCTGCACTCTTCTGGATGCTGTTGCGGGCCACATATCGCTGGCAAAAATGCCAGCAGAGACGGCGACATTTGCATTGTCGTTCATTTTGTTGAGTTTTGGACTCGTGCTGTGGACCGCCTATGGTCAACAGCGCCGGGACAAACTGAGAAGAGACACAGACGCACATGCCATTGTTCATGCCAAAATGTCAAATGTGTGTGTGTGTGTGAGCTTGTCAGAGGTGTGAATGTGGGCAGCAGCATTTGAAATGCAATTTTTAAAGCATACTTTTATGGGTAGCCAGACTGGACGGCATGCAGGCATGCAGGCAGGCAAGCATTGGACCAGGGCCAGAGCGAGTCCAATGTTTGTTTGCCTTAATAAAGTGCTTTGTGTGGAATTTAATTGTATGTTTGTTTGCTTTACTGACTAAAACAAGGCCTAAACAGCTCTGTCCGGGGCTGTAGAACGATTCTGCTAATACCTGGCAACAGTTTGTCTGGCAAATGAAATGAAATATGCAAGGGACATGTGTCCAAGTGGCGATGAGTTGTTCATGATACTAGAGACGCACGCCAGAACAAATATTTCAATGTCAGCTAAGCTGACAAAGTTCACACAAACACGCAAACAGCCGCTCATATACACATACATATATGTTCACTTACCGACAACTTTGACAAAGCCATATTGGGTTTTAGCCGTCACCGTGTTGATTTGGCACATATACCGACCCATGTCCTCCTCCTGAACGTTGTTAATGTGCAGAAACCAGGTGCGATGCTTATCGTGTTTATCATGCGTTACGCTAATCCTTGGATTTCGCGTTATCACATGATTATGCACCGTCAGAATGGCCGACTGTTCAAAGTGCATCCACGCCACCTGCAATGAACGAACAAACGAGCAATTGTTGAAACTCGAATATAATCAGCATAGACCTTTTATCGGCGTATATGTATCAAATGTTCATTTACAAGCAGCTGACAAATATGTCAGTCTTTTTCTTATATTGGCAAACTTCGCTTTGCCATCATCATCATCAATTTTTATGAAGGATTAACGAGAGACGCCGATGTCGTCCCGGTCGGTTGGTCAAATTGCCAAAGTTCGCCTCGTATGTGACAACAGCTGCTGTCGCAAACTTTGCTGCCATCGTACGTCATCAGGATGCGCAGCTTGTGGGGTAGCTACTATTCAGCTCCTTTGCCATTGCTTATGCAATAGTTTCACTTAGAACAACAACAACAATATATGCTAATTTAAGCGCACAGAACATTGGTAAAATGTGCTAAGTGTAAAAAACAGACGACACTCAGCCTTCGATGTCGTTTCAATGATAAATTTGAGCACACATTCACAGAAGCGACGCAACAATAACATTTATACGACGTAAATACAGAGCCATCTGAATGCCAAAGGACTGAAGCTAGTTTAATCGACGCCTAAGCGGAAAAGCAGTGGCGTCCTAAGGGGAAAACCCTTGAACATGTTTATAGGAAAGATATATTTGACTTAACTTGAACGATAAACAGAATTGTCCCAATTATTTATTTAGTTACGAACTATCTTTCATCAGTTATGATTGATATGCCGCGGTTACTACGCCCAAGGCGGCTGCTCGACACTAGCATCCAGCACTTTACTTGATAAACTTTCGCGAGTATTCACCTATTATCTGCGTTTGCTATGTCCTCTCTGGGGCCACCTCTGTTTTGCGGGCGTACTTTTGGCTATAGGAAGTGGGCTGGAGCTGATCCAAGGGTAGCTGCCTTGAGCTGCTTACAGCATAGTGTCAGGCAGCATAGACAGATATCGGTTAATTTTTCAATGTCTGCAAGGAAAACGTGCGACAAGGCCCAGACACGACATGGACCAAAGCCAGTCAGCCTTCCCATCGCAGCATACTCGTTGGCACTTATTTACATTGGTTCCTCATCTGACTCTTTGGCATCTCTAGTTGAATAAAAATCAAGCAGCTGTAGTTTGCTTAAGTAGTTCGTAGTTTAAGCTTCCACATCCACGCGCTCTATTGCCAACAACAAAGTCAAATATTAATGAAGCCACGTTTATCAGTCGACAGAGGCGAAAGAGCTCAAAGTGGCAAATGGAACAAATGCGCTGCAAAATCAATAAAATTGCATTAGCAGCCAGCTTGCCGAAACGGTTAAAGTCAAAAGCTAAAAAAACGCAAACGCACACATACACACACAATACGCGGCAAACATATTAAAGTGTTAGCCACAAAATGTTGTGAAAATTCGCTGCATTTGCATTTTGCATTTCGCATTTCGCATTTCTCATTTTAGTAGTTTTTGAGGTCATTTGAATGAAATTAATTAGGCTCATGTAACGCCAGCGAAAAAGTTGAAAAGCCAAACAAAATGGGCACCCTCTAAAATTCATCCAACCGCTCCCTGTCCAGCCACAAAGCTGTGCAGCATTTTGTGAGCGTGGCTGTGGTTTGAGTGTGTGACATTTGGCTTAATAATTTTCGGTTGCAAAATGTCAGCGAAAGTCAAGGCAAAGTTGACTTTGCATTGTGTGTGTGTGACTTTTAATAGGCTTTCCATCTGCTATTAAAATTTTACGCATATTTAAGCACGTTTTGAGTTGCAACGCCCTGCCCAAGGATTACATAGAAAGTCTCGTAGCAACGAGACGATCTCATGGGCTCCACCCGATGTCCAGACATGCACTTCAGCACATCATCTCAAGTTGTGCATTGCTTACTTCAGCTTCTGTCAGTTGTGGACACAAATTGCTCGTTAGATAGATACCAAGCTCAATGCAGTTTCAGATGCAGTTTTCAAGGCATAAAAGACCAGACTGAAAAAGTCATGATTTCGACAATAACTAGGGCAAACCAAATAGACTTATGAAAAGACCGATATAATGAGCTTCTAATTGGTAAAAATCAATTTGCATACAGTTTTTGAATTATGCAAAAGCTGAAAAATAATTATATCAATAAGTAAGAGTGCTCTAGCCCGAACTGGAGATACCCCGAACACTGCGAAAAGATGATATTTCAATCATGCTATGATTCCTATGCTTACTATGGGGTCTTAATTGTTGAATAACTTTTGTTCTGGAGGGAGTCCCTCAATCAAATTCGGAGCCTGATAGGATATCATAATGTGTGTATTTTCCAGCGGCTCTCCGCTTGCACCAGTGCCACCGCCTGCGCCTGCGCCACTGTTTTCGTGGCTTTCACCTGCGTTTGCCTCTCCATTTTCGCCTCGCACCAGTTTATTTTCAAACAGAGTGGATTGTAGTACAATTACTTCACTTTACACTTCAACTAGACGGACTGAGGACTTTGCACTAGAGTAATTGCTTTTTATAGCCATGGTGTGAGCAGCCAGGTATTATCTAAATTGAAAAAGACTTTTACGAACTTTTTAAGTAGTCACGGTATTGATAAACTAATGAACGCATATTTATGTTTAAAACTTTATTATTATTGACTTGTCGAATGATACGAATCTGGTTATGGTTAAGTGTGAAAAGGAAGAGATTATTGTTGCGATTGTTATAGTTCTGTTTGTTAATGTTGCCGCCGTTTCAGCTCTGGCCCTTTTTATAAGGGAATGAAAATGGGCAATCTTCTTTGTTTTCACTTAAAATCTTTTCCTTCATTGAGTTTTTCTTTGTATATGACCTTTCAAGTGTTAACTTTTGTTTCGCATAAAACCTTATGCATTCATGTCCTTTTGGAAGTGATTCGATTTCAAAGATGATGTCACTCACTTGGTCTTCCATCTGTACCTCCAGTTTTAATCGTCTGTTATTATATTTCTGAAATTTTAGAAATGCCTTTTTTTTCTCTGAAAGTGATTTTCTCGATTCCTTCGCTATGATTAAATCATTCAAAAAATCAGAATATTCTTTGTTATTTATGTAATGACCGAATTTAGAATCAATAAGAGCATCAATTTTTGGGATTATAATATCCATGTTGCTGTTGTTGGCTCCGTTGCCGAATGGGCAACTTGCGCTATTTTCTTTTAAGATTTGTTCCTTCACTAAGTTTTCTTGGGTATATGCTCCTTCGAACGCTACCTTTTGCTTCGAATAAAACTTCATGCATTTGTCTCCTTCATCATTCAATTCGATCTTATGATTGATTTCAGTGACACGTATTTTAATTTTTTCCTCCAGTGCTAATCGTAGGTGATTATATTGTTGAAATATTTTAATGGCGTTTACCTTCTCTAAAAGTGAGGTTTCCGAGATCTTAGCTATTGCCAATGTAATTAAGTGCTCATTGTACTCCGTATTGTTTTTGTAGTGCCCAAGTTTAGATTTAATAAGCTCATTAATTTTAGCTATTATGTCATTCTCGCTGCTGTTGTTGCCGTCGTCGCTGCCCATTGAGCAAGGCGCACTATTTTCTTTTAAAATATTTTCCTTTATTAAGTTTTCCCTAGTATATGCTCTTTCGAGTGCTAGCTTTTGTTTCGAATAAAACTTCATGCATTTGTCTCCAACATTATTCAATTGGATTTCTTGGTTGATTTCAGTGACACGTTTTTTAATTTTTTCCTCCAGTGCTAGTCGTTCGTTATTATATTGTTGAAAGTTTTTAATAGCGTTTTCCTTTACTGAATGTGGCTTTTGCGACTGCCTAGCCATGATTAGTTCATCCAAAAAATCCTGATACTCCATGTTGTTTTTGTAATGCCCAAGGTTAGAATTAATAAGCGCATTCATTTTTGCATGGATAAATTTCTCAGCTTGTGAACGGCGCTGCAAAATTAAATTATAATATGAGCTCGCATTCATTTCACATAAATTCGTTTACCCACTAAATTGACTTCATTGCTCGAGCTGCGGGATTGTACAGCTAATATAGCATGTAGCAAAATTAAAATAATCCGGTTCCAGCTCATGTTAATGTTACTTGAAGACAACCACTAAGTCTACCAAACACCGACCAATTCAGATTATATGCACTTATTTAATTTCACTTTTTGCGGTATTTTCTAATCCAATAAGCTAACGCTTATTTGAAATGAGAAACAAATTAATTTGACTCGTTATATATTAGTAAAATCTTAGTAGCAAGCATGTTCTCGAAGTAGTTGAGTAAAATTATATTGCTATCGGTAATATTTCTGACACTCTTTTTACCAAAGGTATTTTCAAAGACAGCCACTTGCAAGATTTGTGATGAGTTAACGCAAATAAATTATAAAGTTGTGCTGCATATAGTATACAGGAATATATATTTAACATTTCAAGGCTGTAGCTTTGTGGTTTACGAGAATGTTGCATTCATACGGACGAACAGACATTCAGACGGAAAGACATACATGACTAGATCGTACTGTTCCGATCAAAAATAAATATGCTTTATGGGTTGTGGCAGGTTCTTCTGCCTGTTACATACATTTGTATAAGATCATTATACCATTAATTCTCAATTTAAATGGGTACAGGGTAAAAAAAAATTATGAAATTAAAAAACCCAATTTTTAGTAAGTAATATTTTGATTGTTGATTTTTTATTAGTAATAGTCGTTATATACATCGTCATCGTCATCGACATAGTCATAGTCATCGTCATCGTCATAGTCGTCGTCATTGTCGCCGATGTCTTCTTTCTCAGAGTCAAGTGTATCAAATGGACAGACTACGCTGTTTTCACTTAAGAACTTTTCCTTTTGCGAGTTAGTCATTCTCAATGATTTCTCGAACGTTAATTTTAGCTTGTAGTAAAATCTTAAGCATTCAACGTCAGCGTGAGAATTGATTTGATCATGCAGCTCATTCATTCGGTCACTAATTTTGTTCTCTAACTCTAAGCGCCGGTTGTTGTACTGTTCAATAACTTCGTAAACGAGTTGTTTCGCTGCAATGGCATCCTGCGTCAAGTTACTGGCCTGGGCTAATTTGTCCATGAAATACTTATATTCCTCATTTTCATAGTGCCCTTCTCTTGAATTGATAAGCTTATTAATTTTTTCCATTATTTCGTTGTTTAACTTTTCTGCGACATTCTGTAAAAGACACTAATGTTGATCGGATAAGGTATAACATAAGTGATTCTACAAACAGTTGTCATTTGATTTCCAGTATCTGATGCACCAGCGCTACCCCCTCCATCACCGTTTGAGCCTGGGCCACCGCTGGCGTCAGCGCCACTTACGCCTGAGCCACCGTTGGCGTCAGCGCCACTTACGCCTGAGCCACCGTTGGCGCCAGCGCTGTTGTCGTTGCTTTCGACTGTGCTTTCATCTCCATTTTCGCCTCGGATCAGTTTGTTTTCAAAAAGAGTGGATAGTAGTATAATTACAAGGATCCAGTTCCCGTTCATAATTACTTTACCTTACACTTCAACTAAATGGACTGAGGATTATGCACTGAGTAATTGCTTTTTATAGCAGTGGTATTTGCAGCCAGGTATTATCTAAATTGAAAACGATTTTTACGAACTTTTTAAGTAGTCACGGTATTGATAAACTAATGTAGGGCCATTTGTATTTAAAACTTTATTTTTATTGACTTGTGAAATTATACGAATCTGATTATGGTTAAGTGTGAAAAGGAAGAGATTATCAAACATAGAATCAGAACTGAAACGACGGCAACATTTACTACAATATATATATAAATATATAAATATATATATAAATATACATATATATATATATATATATATATATATATATACATATATATATATATATGTTTATATATTAAAATATATTTTTGTTAATGTTTCAGTTGTATTGTATTGTTCTATTGTTGTGACTGTGATCATTCCTCCGCCTGTGTGCTCTTAACTTCTGTGCTCTGTCCTCTCAATAGACTTTCAGCCTTGTCTGAGACTGTTTCATTGTTCTCTGTTTGTACTTTCTACTCAATTCACTATAGACTGAAATCAGATAGGCTGGAAGCAATGCACTGGAAAAATATGTTCATATGTTCAGGTATTAGCCTATGCACTGCTTGATTCCAGTTTCAGAAAATGTAAAACAATATGAATCTGTTGATAGTTTGAAAGGTTGATTTCGATATATATATATATATTTAACTATGAAAAATTTTAAATTATTTGATTATGTTTTTTGTAATGTTTTTCAAATTGTTTTCTATAAATTATTATTCCGTGATTATGTCGTTAAGTTCTACTTCAGGCTTCAGTCATAGTAGTAATACTCATAGGATTCATCGTCATCGTCGTCATCGTCATCGACTTCTTCAACTGTATTATTTGGGCAAGCAACACTATTTTCCCGCAAACTAGATTCCTTCTGATTGTTGGTCTGTGTGAATGCTTTTTCGATTGCTATTTTTTGATTATAGTAAAACCTTATGCACTCAGCAGTTACTGCATGTATATATATTTCGTTGTCCAGCTCCTGGGCACGACTTTCAATGCTCTTCTCTAGCTCTAATCGACGATTGTTATATTTTTGAAATAAATCAAAGTATTTTTTCTTAAGTTCAGAATTAGAGTCCGCTAATTCCTTCACTACTTTTAAGATATCGACATATTCCTTATACTCATTATTATTTTCGTAGTGTCCAAGTGGAGAATTGATAGCCTTGTCTATTTCAGTGTTGAGATTGGTATTTAAATCACCACTTATCTGGAAAATGATTTTGTGTTTTGAGTTCCAACCCATTTTACTTGACGTTTTTTACAAACTGTTGAGTTTCCTTCCTGTGGTTTACTTTGTATTTCAGCAAATAGGCCAAGTACCAAAATAATTAAGATCAGGTTCATTTTATTTTTACTTGTAGACAACAAAAAATAAACTAAAGACTGTTCATCGCTGAATAGGCTTATATAGCTTTCATCTTCAGTTATTTTTCGTATATTAGTTAAGGCTTATTTCAAACGTAGAGAAAAGAGATTAGGGTAAAGTAAAATCCAATATTGAAAACATGGCACTTGACACGTAAATGACTGTAATAAACTCTCAGTTTAAGTAAGGAAACGATTGAATAACTCTTAATTAGAGACTGTGCAGATAGATTGTAAAAGAAAGGGCCATAGTCGGGTGTGCCTGACTAAGTAATATAGTATTGTTTGTATCAGCTGGAGTTGGGGAAATTAGTTTTTAATAACTTCGCTTTGATTATAAAATAGCTACGAGTATAGTATCACATTAAAAACTAAAAGTTATCAATCGCTTCCATACGTTAAAGCTCACTTCCTCTTAGATTTTATTAATGTCAAATAAATAATTATATAAAACCTGTGTTCATTCACATAATCAATTTGGGTTCTATAGATTTGATGTTTTCTGGCTAAAATACAATTAATATTATCGATTTATATCGATAGTAAGGAAATGAAAGCTTTTTCTGTATGATAAAATTATTAAAGTTATTAAATTTACAAAAACCTAATACCTAAATTGCCACTTACAATGGGTTCAGGGTATAACAAATATATATACACCGATGACATACGCCGATAGTCAAGTCAGATAATATCCAATTTGCAATTTGCTTAATAGCTCAACCCGTTGTGCTCTGCTAGAGACAACAGTACAATATTGCAAATGAAGTCATAAAAAATTTAAACAAAACTAAAATAGAAAATTGTAAACCTAAAGAAAATAAAAAAACCCGATATGAAACTTTCAGCTAGAGCAAAAAGAAACAAACACTTTCAGAATGGCAGAAAATGTTTATGGTTGGTTCCGGTATACGACGATGGCAAGCTGAAGCACAGAAACAACAACAGCAACAACAATAACGACGACGACGACTAGGGCGAACTAAACGTATGCCCACGTTGGGGTTGTTGTTTTCTTTGGGTGTTTGCGTAGGCATCGAAAATTGAAATACAAACAAGAACACAACAGCCTAAGAGTCGACAGTTTGGCATGAAGCGGCTAGGAAACTCTGCCAAATTGCATAGCAACGCTTCAAATATTAACAACTTAACGTTTAAACGTGTTAAGACAGCGGCAAAGAGCTGGGCAAGTTAATTTACACGCAGCTTAAATATTTGTAAGCCAGAAATAGCAGCAGTTAAAAAGAATTTAAAAAATTATAATTCACTATTCGCCAGTCGAAGCTGAAATACACTTTTAAATAAAACAGTGGAACAATTTGAGCATAACATATATTACATATGAGAAAGAAGATAAAACGTAATTGTCAGTAAGAATTCCAGTTGAGTTCTGTCGACTCATTCACAGTGTCCAAAAACTGATTTGCCGCGCACTAATGAGCGGACTATATACTTGAATGGTATATTTTCCATGAAGATCAACTGGAATACACTTGCAAAATTCTGGACGAACTTTAAAGTTGTGAAAGATCTTCTCTTTGACAAACGTCTAGTAGGCGTGCATGCATACTTTTAGGGCTCCAGTTTCATAACTTTGAAAGAAATAGCTTTTTATATGGCACTTTATGTTGGTTAAACAATCGATAGATGAGATCAACAGCAACGTACTGTCTAACTGGAGAATGAATATTTTAAATATATATACTCCAATTTCAAGTCAAGTAACAAAAACTGCTCAAAGCACAAGAGGATTTAAGCTTCTCAACCTGTATAGAAGGCCAGCAGCAGCTAGCTTACTAGCTCTATAAATCACTTGAAGATACAGTTTCAGCCGATTTGCGATCGTGAATATGCAGCCTATATACTTTAATTAGAATATTCTAGTTCCTAGCTTTAGCTTTAGCTAGTGGGACAGGCGTATATTTTAGCTTTGCAGTTGAATACATCGGATGTTTGTACTATTTGATATCTAAGAAAACGATAAACAAGATTATTATAAACGAGCTCATTAAACTTATAGCTAAATGCATTTTGCCTAGCTTTGCAGCGAAGTTCATGTGCCCGACGAAAGGATATAAAAATCAATTCCATTGTAACCTGCCTGCTAGCGGCTACGCAACTATTTTGCATGCAAAGTCACGTTTTATTGCAGCTACGCGTAGTGCCCTTTGCTGCTCGATGTTGTTGTTGTTATTGCTGCTGCTGGTTAACTTTTTAGCATACCTGCGGCAGCATTGGACGCTTGGGGCGCTGAGCACTGTTGGTTGGGGTTGGGCTATTGCATGCCAAACTTAAGGGCCATAAAAATTATTACGAGCACATAACATGCGCTCGTTGATAAAAGATGAAGCAAATATCTCGTGTCAAATAGAATTTATGCACGTTTCGGCCGACGCGCATTATGGAAATTCAATTGAATGCAAATTTAAATTGCCGGGCACTCAAGCACTTCCGCACAGTGAGAGAAGATAGAGCGAGCGAGATCCATTGAAGATGCTACACAAAGCCAGTGCTATGCATATTAAGTGCAGCCCAAAAATATGCAGCACCTCAATGCATATTGAGGAGAGATTTGCCAAGCTGATTTCATATTACCTGCAACTGATTAACGTGCTCGACATGGTCAAAGCATTTGTGACAGTTTGATTTTTGTGCTCCGGCAACTGGTTAGACTTGTAGCACAAATTACTTAATTAAAGCAACAGCTCAGCACAGTTGCCAATTGCCAGAGCTCTGCTGAGTAAAGGACTGACATGAACACACATTGTAACATATGAAACAAAAAACCCGTAACAACAACTATGACTACAGCTCATGCCAAGACTCAAGTGTAAAACGGAGCTGAGCAAGTCAACAACAAGTTCAATGCGTTGCCCTTCATGTTCACTCGTCATGGGGCGCCTGTTGATGTTGCAAGTGCTTGACTCGGTTGTGTTATTGTTGCTGTACGCCTCATGGACATGTTGCTCTTAGACAGCGGCATATTAGTTGGCAGGTTCTCTCCGAGCACATCACTTCAAGTTTGTTAAAGTCCACTCGCTCTGATAAATCGTGATTGCATGTCATTGGCGACATTTAATTTATAGAAACGCGTCTAAATTTATGAATGTTACACCGGAATCAGGGAATATTAGCTTTAAATTTAAGCTGTAACAAATGTTATGTGTTGCATTATAGTAGGAGTGTAAGCATATAGGATTTCTTATTTCTATTGTATTTATTAGGAATTGACTTTGTACTTACCTTATACGAGCCCAGATTTTTAACAGAGCACGCCAATTTAACATTACGTCCCGCGGGCACTGTTATATTATCAATGACGTCTGTGAATTCGGGATCCTCTTGAACGACTGCAATGGAACGTAGCGGAAGGTTTATTGAGATTAGTCATTAAGACAGACACTCAAAAGTCTTTTCACATTCACATTTCCTTTTTATAATTCCATGTAGACATGCCCATAAATAGATGGCGTAATATATTCCTCTTTAAGCTGTTGCTCAAAGGAAGCTGCCAAGATTTATGGCAGCACTTAAAAGTTAATAGCTATGCAGGTTCAACCCCAGCGATTAGCCAGTGTTTGGAAAAGTTTTGACAGTAACCATGGCAACATTGTCTATAAACTATGAATTAAGTGTTTAGCATTAGTGGCTCGTAAAAGTTGTGAGCCTAAGATTATGCCACGCTGAGTCAACACATACGGCAAACAAAACAATAAATCATAATTAAATTTCACGCCGTACGGTCTTTGAGCGCCAATGCCATAAAACACGCTGCCAATGTCCGCCGGATTGAACCTTGAATCCCACACTCCCAGTCCCAGCCGTGGACACTGGACGCTGCTGCAGTTTAGCCTTGTGTGAAATTGCATTTCGCTGCATTGTTTGTGCCACTGACTGCCTGTACTTGTTGTTATTATTATTGCAATTGTAAACGATACTTGTTATGGTCTCTGCTTCTGCCCGCGGCTCATTGGCAAAACCCACAACGCACACACACACAGACCCAAAAGGAATCGGCTCTGATGCTCACTGTTTGCAGCATTAAAGGTGATAAATGTTGTGCAAACGTTTGGCAGTTTGGCAGCTTGATGTAAACTGGGCATGCTTAAGGCTAAATCAATGGTTTTATTCACAGAGCTTATAAGTATTTGTGCAAGCACTCAATGCATGATTTTTTTGTTTGATTATTATTGTTAGTATTTTTAAATATTCACATTCTTTATACAATTATTGTTAAGCAGTTTTTGTTTCGCTGAAACCTCTTCATGGACAATAAATGAAGCATAGTTACCTCTGACGAAAACGAGCAATTCCAAATGAAATAGTTAGCGAAAAGACTAGCAACTAGTTTATAAAAACTGCCTATAAAAGAACATTATCTAATGAAATTGCACTTAAAAATCCCGGTTTCAATGCTTTTGATGTAATTCTTAAGCTTCATTTGGTTGACTCGGCTTAAGAAATCTCAATGTTATTCTGACAACAGTATTTCAAATGTTGGCTTCAAACTCTTGCAAAGTAAAAGGCTTCTTAGCCAGGAGAGCAGTATCATTCAAGAGCCACTCGTTGTTAGCTAACCAAAGCACCAGCACAAGTATAGCAAAATTCACAGTTTGCAATTCATAGTAGTCGATAATTATTTCTTGTAAATGGCACACTTTTTTAATACTTTAACAACTGCATATTATATAAATATAAATAGTATCACTCTTGCTTGGTTTGGTTTGTAGCTGGATTCAAATGAAGCCATTCATGATATCATATATTTTGTTTCAAATTTAAATCATAAGGCAATTAGTGCAAATTTCTGGCATTTAAAGGCTAGCTAAATTCCATTCAGAGACAACATAATTAAAAAGCCAAAAATACCTAAATATAAATAAAAATATATATAAACTGAGTCGTTAAATATAACATTGCTTACATATTTGAATAGACAGCAACTGTGAATTGATTTCAAGATGTTGCACAAATGCTCAACTTAATTAATGTTTTAATAGAAAGCGAAACGAACTGACTTTATTTGCCGAACGCTGTTTGCCCAAATGTAATATAGTCAGCCCATTGGTTTGAACTCAAACATGTTGCTTTACTAGCGACAGTCAGGTACATCAAATATAATTTTGGCCAGGCTAAACAAACTGTCAAGCTATATACATTTTGTAACCATTATGGGTTCGTTTTGGGATCGCTTGACGTTAGTTTCTAGTGCTCTGATGATGATGGTGGCCTGACCGCCGATGCTGCAACTCATTTAAGTTCTAATCACCTGCAACGACGGCAATTAATTAGCTGGCTCGCTCTAACGACAACGGCAGCAACAGTCATTAGTTTGGAAGCCTGGCCCCGAGGCTTCAGGCAGGTACACTAACCCGTTGGCAGCATCAGATAAACAACCACATCAGCATCAGCATAATGCGGCAAAGGAGAAACAGTCTGTACAGGTTAACGGAGAGATAGATAGAGAGACAGAGAGAAAGAGAGAGACAGAAGGACAGACTGAATGGGAGAGAAAGTTGGAGTGCCTGGAGCGCTATTAAAGCGACATCCGATGCAGCATCCCAGCACTCCGGCGGATATTACAAAGTAACAGCAATAGCAGCAACAATATTGCAAAACAAAATATAATTAAGCTCTGACATTTTATTTGACATCGCTCAAATGCAACGCATTTTAACATTGCCTTTGGCTTTTGAAAGTTATTCGAAATTTAAGTCAAAACATTAACTCTATATTAAATATGAATGTGAAATGAATGCCATTCGAGTTTAAGAATATAAAATAAATATTGAAGTGCAAAAAATCATCTATTGCTATTTACTTCCATCACACTCAAGAGCTTGTCAAGGACTTTACAAGTATTTTTTGCAATTGAAATATCAACTTCATATTCATTTTATTGTTACCTCTATCAATTTCAATTTGCCTAAAGCAATTCCTTGCACTTCGCTTTAATCATATTGAATGTAACGCTGCCCACATTCTGCGCTGCATTGCTGATCATCTCGAATATGTGATGATTTTGCTGACCCTGTTCCACTGTGCGCTCATGCAAGCGTTTCAATGCGGCCGCGTATGCTTCATACTTAGAAGTGCTCTCCGTGTCCAATTTGAAGCGTTCGTAGAGCTGTTGTATGTCATAGAGCTGCCTGTGCGTCTCGTCGTACAGCAAACTGGGCGTCTGTGGCAGCAGTAGCGACCAATGTTCATGCACTTGCTCCAGAAACTCGAAGTTACTAAACAAAAAGATCACAAATAGATCCAAGCCCTTCGCTTTTAGATGCTCCAGTAGCTGTTCGGTGATGTGCTGATCAGAGTTGGCGCTCTCGCGCAGCTGCTCGTATTCCGCTTTGAGATGACGCTCCAGAAACTCATAGACACTCTGTCGCTTATCAAAGAAGTCAGGTATGGCCAGCATGTTGTCTAGCTGCTGCAGCAGCCGCTCCAGCTGTGTTGTATTGTCTATCAGATCGTCATGCTCAGCATCGAGAATGTCTTGTAGCAGACCACGCAGTATACCCACATAGTTGTCTATGATCTCGGCGCCCGATAGCTTTACGCCCTCGTACAACTCGTGCCCAAATTTGCCCAGATCCAGGCTGGTTGCGTTTGTCGAGCTGTGCGTAAGATTCAATTGTTCCAAGGCAGCTCCCACAGTTTGCTCATTGATCAGCCGTTCCCTACGATGCTCAGTCGCAGGGCGTTCGAACTGCTGGCAGAGACGATGAACGCGCAGCTGACGTATTTCCTGGGCACTGGCATCTCGTGCAGCACGCAATTGCTGCTTAATTCGGCTGAGAAACACCAAATTGCGCAATACACAGGTGTGCTCCAAGTCGAATTGTGAGTGTTGTTGGGCATCAAGTAGCTGTTTGATTAGCAACACCTTCGGCTGTAATTTGTGGGAAGCCCGCGCTGTGGCCAGCTGCTCAGTGTACTTGCTGTAGCTGGTATTGCGCTCCAATTGTTGCAGATAATCGTTAAGACTTAGTTCGGCGCGCTGTTCGGCCTGGTCGCTCAGAGCACGCAGAAAGTCCAGTTGATAGTCCTTTGCCATCAGTGAGGATACTGTAGATTTAGCAACCGCAACTCCAGCCACAAGCCACAGTAATCCAACCCAATGGAGCAGCGATACATGGAACATCTTCTAGTGAATACTTTCGATTGCGAACTAACCGAATGAGGCAGCAGCGCCTGCTGCGGCTCATCGTGGGTCAATTTTTATTGCAGTCGCAATGTAAACAACGTTGTTACAGCTCCGTCCGATTAGCAAGAGAGGGGCGGACTGAACGGCTCTATATGGAAGGCCTTCGTGTTGTGGCTTAGCGCGGCGTCGGGGTCAGCCAGTTTAGCGATAACGACCAGCAGAGCAGCTGCTGAATGAACTAAATGAACAGCCTTATCGCAGTGACAGCCGGCAGTGCGAATGCACTGAGCGAAATGCTGCGGCTGACCACGACTCAACCGCAGTTAACTTTGGCACGCGACTGAGCAACAAGCCAAAGCAAATTCAAATAAACTAAAATTGCACACATCAACAGTGGCCCAACTAAAAGTAGTTAAATTTGGATACTCTATGCTGCACTGAGAAAGCACACAACCACGTGGCTGCAAAAGCCATAAACAATATAATAAGTTTATAAGATACTAAAATGAAACGCTGAACTAAATTAAGGAGACATGTAGAACAACTTAAAGAGCTTCAAGTCCATTCATATTAAAACAATTGTTGGCTGCGCTGAAAAGTCAAAATCATTTGGACTTAGTAAGGACCCGAACACAAACTGCTATAAATAGCTAAAACCAACGACCCACTAGATGTTGGTTTACCCATTTACCTGCGCTCTGCCCCACACTTTCTGCTGCTGTGTGTATGGGTGAGGGTGTTTGTGTGGCTCGGTACGTGAGTGCCCGTTCTAGACGGGGCAATTGTTGACCAAGCAGAGTTGCTCTCTGTGTGCCCGGCCACTGGCAAGTTAAATAAAAGTTGCAGACGCTTTTCATTCATTGACAAAACTTCAACGGCATCCTAATTGTGCCATGGCGTGACTCGGGTTGTGTCTGGTTGAACCTGGACCCGTTCTCTCTGAGCCTGATTGAAATTTGTCAGGTTGATTGAACTACCTTTTGGGCAGCACAGCTGATGAAAGGCTTTCTTTATATATGCTATCTCTGCCGGCTTTAAATCATTGCGGATGGCAAACAAGTTTAGTTGCAGTTGCGTTGCCTTCTTTTATTTTCTATTTGATTCTTTTCGTTTATTGCAAGTTGGCAGTGTGCCCATCTTGTTCATTAGCTTTAAATATTTGATCAAAGCGACTAATGGCTAAGCACACTCACACACATACACAGATACACAGTCAAAAATAAAAAGAGGAAAGTTCGCCTTGGTCTTTAGCTAGTTGTTGGCCCGATTCGCGTACTGCTGCCGCAAGCAACTTCATGATTGCCAACACCTATTAAGACAGCAGCCCACAGCCTGGCCGCTTGTTCGCCTGGCAGCCGCAACACACAAAACTTACGGGCGTAAAAAGTGAGAAACGAGCAACAACAAAATAAGAAAATTTAGAAAAGAAATAAAGCTGAAAAAAGTCACAACGTACAAGTTTTTAGCAAAAGAAATTTTCCAACAATTGCACAATTGGCATGCGCTACGCATGCGGATGAATGCGCTGCAGGGGATTTAAAGACAGAGCGACTTTTTGGTCAACAACAAAGGCCAAGCCCAGTCAACTTGAACGGAAAGTGTTGAACAACAAGTTAAGTCCACGTTTTAAAGAGCTCTGACAGATTTTATGTACATTTCATAATAGGATAATGTGAAGTGGTAGAAGACATGGCTAAGAAAAGCAAATGTGAACAGCGAAACGAATTATAATACGCATTTGTGCAAATATAAAAAGAAATATATGATATGTTGATCGGCTTTGGCGCTCTGGCGCAAAGAAGACTGTATGGCAAGCATGTTGCCCAGCTGCTGCACCAACCTGCATGCTCAACATCGAGTACACACATCGTTGTCTATGATCTCGGTGCCCGATAGCTATACGCCCTCGTACAACTCGTGACCAAATTGACTTCGCTCGAGTCTGGTTGTGCTTGTCGAGCTGTGAGCGTGACGCAATTGTTCCAAGGCAACTCCTCTGACTTGCTCTTTAATTAGGAGTTCCTCAGGCTGCCCAACCACAGGTTATGAATTCAAATACCACTTATAACTGTTCTAAAATGCCTTTAAAGACAATCCGAGAACAGTCAGTACAATAGACCAAACGAAGACAAGCGATAGGAATTGATTTATCCCAATAAAGAATCAAATAAAATGCTGTACAAGTCCTAATTTGCACTTTGTAGAGAACATTGTCAACTCTAGTTAGCCTGCCTCAGCACATCGTATTATTCTATTAGTTTCGCTTTGTGCGTTGAAAAACTTTGCTATTATTTTCCATCACCAACGAACGAAACCGAAGCCAGACACTTTTTTCTACAAAACCGAAACGAAACTTTGTATCTGTATGACTATGGCAAGGCTGGGGCAAAGGGCGTCGAGATTGTCGACTCTGGGCCATCCATAAAGCTCCAGACGAGCAGGAGACATCCTGGTTGGTTGGCGTGAAAAGTGCTAAAAGCGTTTAAATGAATTTAAAAGAGCGAAACTTTTGTCTTTTTTTCTGCTCCAACGAAAAGCAAAAATATAGGGAAAGGAAAAATTTCTCAACTCTTTGGTGAAACATTTCAGTTTTTATGCGTTTCCCATTGTTTTTCCATGCTGTGATTTTGTTTAAAGTTATAAAGTTGGTCGCCATCGTCGGAATTGAGTGGCTTGTGTGTGTCTGTGTGTTGTTAGGGTAATTTCCATGCAAATGATAAGCTGACGCTCCGGTTACAGCCGGAAGCCAATGCCAACTTAATTGATATGCTTTGAAAGAACAACAGAAACAGAAGCACTGACAGTCACTGAAATTTCAGCTAAGCAAAGTTTGCACCACCCGCGTCTCACACGCCCGCTCTTAACACTTAAAGTCACACTGTCACAGTCTACTGTTCGGGCCCAGACACCAAACAGTAACCCAATTCGCAAGTCGCACAAATTGAGATGTATGGGCCATATAAATGCAACTGAAAATCGTTAGAGCCATAGGCAAAAGAGCAAAAATCTGCTTGAGCACCGAACGTGAAGACACTTTCTTTCAAGCTGAAGACCAAGCGTTCAACTGGAATTTAATCTCTTCACTATTATCATTATTGTAGCTAGGAGTTCTTAGACATTGCTGAATCTGTAGGCAATATTCGAGTGCTCAAGCCACGAGTTCATAGTTCATTCATGTATATAAAGTCAAACATTACAAATACTAAGCAAAAGTGGAGTAAACTAATTTTTTATAAGGGCATAGAAAGTTTGTCTTTCGTTTAGTTGTCATTCTGTATCGTTGTCTGTATCTGTATCGTTGTTTCTAGTTGGCGGATTAAGCTATGAGTTGAGAAGCGGCAAATAAACATAAAAAAAAAGAAAATCTAGACATATATTTTTCAAGTTTACTTTTCGTTTGCTGCTGCTTCGCCTTGTGCTGATGAAAAGTGCACTTTAAATTGTATGCGCTATAAAGTATGCTACAAAAATACTGCTGGCTGTATATGCAACTAGCATTTGGACTCTCGGCATCGAATTTGGGTCAGGGTTGACTGCTTATGCATTTAACAACATATCTCACCCACTGAGGTAACAAACTGGCTTTGCCGCTGGTTTCTGGTTTTTGGCCAAGTTCAGTCCAAGCGGTTGCCAAGCTTTTCGACTGCTGTCAGCATAGCACACAGAAATACCAATGCACAATCACCCACACACACACGCACACACACACACACACACATACACATACACAGAAGAGCAACCCCAGCACTTACTGAAAGGAAATCGGGAAACGGTAGCCGTAGCAGGGCAAGTTAGTTAGGGCAGTGGTAGGGCACAAGTTCAATCAAGCAAATGTAATGTTGCTTCGCCTGCCAATTGCAGGCGAAAGCGCAAAATACAAAGATTGAAACTAGTTGTAGCATTGACAGTTTGACTGAATAAATGAGTGACATGGCAACAGTGTGTGCGTGTCTCTCTCACACTCCATATGTGTGTGCGTGTCTTTGTGTCCGTATTGGTTTTGCTTTCGGTGGTCTTTGCTGTTTTTGCCACTGTCCGACAATTGTAAATGCAGGTGGGGCGATTATATAGTTACAGGAATAACTTTAGCATTTACAGACATTTATTTATATATATATATATACATATATATATATAGATGAAATGATGAAATGGTTATATTTTGCCAATTGAATAGCGCTCGTCTGAGATGACTGAGCCGTCAAACAACTAAAACTAATTAAAATAATTAATTAAATGGCTAGTTATAGTAAATATTTATTTTTGTTTTTATATCTGCGTATTGTTGATAACTTGAAAAGCAGTTGAAATATAATTATTGAAAATGGCATCAATCTCAATACCTCTGATTTGACAACTACAAAATAAAATTCAAACAGTGCACTAGGATACGAGCTCAGATCCCAGCTGATTAGTAGCCTAAGTCTGCATCGACCGAGAACTTAGCATATTTTCGGTATGCTTTGTGTGACTTATGCAATTTCGTATTAAGAACTCAACCCTCGCAGATTCGTCTAAACATATCTATGTGTTAACCCACTCAAGCACACACTCGCATGTGTGTATATGCACTTTAATGTAAGCAAAGCAAGTCAGGAATAGAAGCTACTCAAGCGGAAATGCGCATAACTGCATCACAGTCACAACATACACACACGCACACAGCCGCGTACATAGAGCTCATAGAGCTCACGACTTAAGTAACCATCGCCCTGCCTGCCTGGCCATGGCAATGGCAATGGCAATGGATGCGTCTCTTGCCTCTATCAAACCCTAAGTGCTGCTTTATTAACCAGGAGACGACAACAAAACAGCAACAACAACAGCGACAACAACAAAGACAAGGACTAAAGCATCGACCACTTTGATGTGGACGATGGCTACAAACAACAAGCAAGCAAACAAAACAGAACACAGCCAAACAACAACTACGGCTAGAGCAACTGAAGTCTCCTACTAAAGTTGACTTTGCCCAGCTACCCCAAATGACGCCTCAATTATGCAATAGTGCATTCGATTGAATTACAACCAGATCCAAATTACATTAGCCGACTAATGGCCAATTCCACGGGCAACAACCGAAGCAAAACACATGTCAATCTAATATAATTAGAACAGCGGCGACTGCGATCAGTTCTGTTTTAACTATGAACGAATATGGACGGTTTTTGCGCCAAGAAAGCTCTGCTATTGTTAAATGTTTCCTGCTGCTAGTGCTGCTAGAAATTGACGCGTCTTCAGCACAAATTGACCAAAATGCCAGTTTGTAAGTTTTGATCAAAGTTAACAAAGTGCAACTTGAAGTTAGACAGAAGAAGGACAAACACATATAAATTCGAATAAGAAATCGTGTCAAAGGCAGCACATATACAATTTGTAAATTATCAATTATCGACTAACCACAATTTTGAATGGCCCAGCTAAAGTAAGCCACAATGCAGGAAGTTGGTGGCCCAACGAAGGATAGCTTAACTATTTATATTGCAATATATAGTGAGAGTGAAATAAAAGAGCTTCGCAATGGAAAATGACGAGGCAAAGTTCGAAATATATCTGAAACAATTCGAGAAAAGTTTATCCGCAAAAGTGCCGGTCCAGCGACAATTAGCATTTTCCACAATGAAACAGCTGTCGGAAAGACTGTAAGAACTTTGTATTTTGATTTAAAGCTGCATGCAAGCGTAGCAAATGTGGTTCACTATTTAAAAGTAAAAAGAAATTTATCGGTTATTGGCTTGCGTGTATCGCGAATTTCATTGCTAACTTTCAATAATACAACTTAATGTGTTTTTTTTAACAATTTTTCAACAGTTTTTATAATGTGATGGCGCCTCTTCTCATCTATCCGAACTCTCCATATTCAGTTGCTATGACCACACGCGGTTGCAACATATCGTCTACGTATCTGTTGAATATAGTCGGCCCCGATTTCTCTGTAAAAGCGAATTTGAACTTAACAGTAGACAGTCCAACAAAGTGGCATGTATTTAAAATTTCCGAAATAGATACTGGCTTATATATTCTAAGGGTAACGACCGTGCGAGGATGTTATGTACAAAACTCAACTCTTTTAAGATGGCGTAACACTAAAATCTTCATTAAAATACAAACGCCTAAATTTTTTTTTTATCCCGGCCAATTGTTACAATTTCGAGTCTTCTTTCACGATGACCAAATGCATTATGCCACTCCAGACCTTAAGACGTCGATTATGATTGAGGATGCTAAGGGATATAATGTTAAGGTCTTCCAGCAACTTACCATTACAAAAGGAATATTTGAAGGCCAAATGCGTCTCAGTCCACAAGTGCACCTTGGTCGTTGGCGTATTTGTGTACTGGATAGACATTTTGTCATTGAGGTATGCGAATATATAAAGGTTGTCAATTATAAATTATCAGAGCTCAATGTAAGCTTAAGTGCTCCATTCGAAGTGAACTTAGATGATGGCAAATTTAACGCCGTGGTGAAAATAACACACGAATTTAACGGCCCAGTAAAGTATAACATAACTATGTATATTTCAATATATACTGCAAATAAAATTGAAGAATATTTGAAAGTCGTACATGCTGCGACCAATTCTAAAAATGGCGAAGCAACGATCGAGGTAGATTTGACTCGATTCAATAAAAGCTTATCCACAAAAGTGGCGTCGCAGCTTAAATTAACTGTTAGTCTTCATGAAATTTTCAAAGAAAACGTAATAAATGAAACTAGAATAGTAACAGTATGGGGAAAACATCAGCACTTCAATACCGAAAACGTAACGAGAAAGATGCGTTCCCAAAGGAGTAATGTGTAAGTATTGCCTATGTATTAATAGAAGTCCACATTTCCACTTTTCCTCAGAAATAAATAAACCAGCTTTCTTTAACTGACACTCAATTGTTGACTTTCAGTATACAAATTAAGAGTTTCGGTAAACAAATGAATGAAACGCTGAAACTACATTTTAGTTTTAATAAAACGGTGGAAGTTGCACATTGTATGGTCTTGATTAATAATCTGATATTAGGTATGAATGATGTCTATCCAGATGAGTCGAAAACAAACATTACAATCTCATTAACACTTACATCAAAAATGTGGCCGCTTATTTATGTTATTGTGTATAGCATGGACATTCATTCAAAAACCTTAATGTTAGCTTCTCAAATTTTGGAAGTGGACCCGCCACAGAACGTCGGTGTAAGTATGCAATTAAGAAAGCGAAATAGGAAACAAATAATTGATAAGCATCTCTACTTTAAAGGTCTTTATTGACATACCATTATATGTAACACCTGACCATGAGATTCAGTTTTCTATAAAAGCAAAAAACAACTGCTATGTTGGCATTGAGGCTTCGGATAATCGCGTCTTTAATCTTGGTGCACATGGGAATAATGATTTCAATGAAGACTATTTAAACTATATAAGATTGATCCTAATAGGATATAGACCTGATATTTTGACGATGGAGCATGGCATCGTGAAATCGGGATTAGTGGTTCTGTCCAATGCACACCGGACGTCGAACATACATTTGAAAAGTAAATTAAAATAGATCTGATTAATTTTTATATTATCAACAGAATAATATTATGTTTTAGGAATAAAAATTATGAGACCAGTGAAAGATTACAATATTACACACATATCGCCATTTAAAGCTGACAGGGACAATCCAGAGGGAGAAATAATAAAATACGTATGTTGTGATGTACCACAGATAACGCCCGAAATGGAGGATGTTTGGCTGTTTAAGAGCATAAAGAAGTGAGTGCGTTGAAATACAACTTGTATACCTAATGCAGAATACTTTCTAATACTTTCAATGTAGTACAAACTCGGAGTGGTCAACATGGAAAGCAACTGTGCCGAACACCGCTAATAACTGGAGAATAAGTGCATTTGCAATACACAGTGAAACGGGGCTACATTACTTGTCGCCAAAACCATTTGTAAAAGTGACTAGCTTCAGCACCTTACATTACTCCCTACGTGTGCCCTATAGCATACGACTTGGTAGGCAGCAATTTAGTAAAGCTTGCAGCTAAAATTTTTTATTTTTTCTATACCTAACATACACTCTCTCTTTTTCTTTCTCACTCTCTATCTCTCTCTCTATTCAGAGGAAGCACTCGAACTACATTTTTTATGTTCTAATTGGTTTTCAACGGGCCAAAAAGTCTACGTCGACATTTACCCCAATAACCAATTCGAACTGGTTAACCGACATCTAACAGTAATACCCAATGTACAACGAGGTTTGTTCATTCCGTCCAACACTACTGAGAAATTTACTTTTTACATAAGAGCCTTGAGGCCAGGAACAATAAAGTTGAAGTTTGTAATACGGTCCCATATTGAACAACATAAGTTAAATCTTGATATCGAAGTTTTGAAAAATATAAGTCTGTCGACCCATGAAGTTACTTATTATAGAGAGTTAGAATCAAGACAATATGATTCTAACGCAAAATTGTATTTTCCGCACATACCAAACAAAGATGGCGTCACGTGCTTCGCAAGTGGTCAAGTCATTGCGCATATGCTGAAAAGAAAAATTAATGTATTCGATGAAACGGATAACACCGAGCAACTAATTAGCAAACTCTTTTCCATCTATTATTTATGGAACTATGTAGTGAATATGACAGTGATTTCGCCATCCTATAAGAATTATCTGGTGGATCAGTTGAGCTGTGGTTACCAATCATTGATGCGTCTACGTAAAGCAAATGGAGGATACCGTAATAATATTTCACCTCAAGTCACCTGTGCTCCAAAGTGGTTGACAACATATGTCATACGACTCTTATATCAATTGGAGAATTATCCAGCCATTATACTTAACACAAGCCTAATAGAAGGAACCGAGAATTTCTTAATGAAGAACCGTGGAGAAGACGGCCACTTCCGGGAGAACTGCTATACACAAAGTCGAAGAAATTTAACATTTTTAGAGTTGAACATTGAGATTATCAAGGTTTTGCAATTCTCGAACCGTCTGATTTATTTACATGATATTCAAGAGTGGATGAACTGGATGATGGAAACCAAGTTTGAATACTACTCGGAGGCTAAGCGCGGGCTTAATCCAGTTAAATGGCAGCTACCTAGTGAATTAGACAACTGGGTATTGTACCGACGTGAACTGGAAACCGCTGGCCGTATATTATCCACTGAACTGAGTCTGCCAAGCATTAATCAGAAGGACCTTATTTTCGAGTGGCTAGTGAGTCAAATTGCCGACACAAGCCAGCACGTCTATTGTTATGAATGCTCTATTGCAGAGGAGGCCTTTTTCGGCTATTTGAATTACCGTGGATATGTTGAATCAAATTTAACCGTATGGATCTGGGTAAACTCAACGAAAATGGATCGCTTTTATATCAATGCTGATAATCAATGGGAAGAGCTATCAATTTTATTGTATCCAACAGAGAACTTCGTCCGTTTTCGAGTAAAGGGCAAAGGTCTCATTTTTCTACGCTGCACCTACAATTATGTGGCAGAGCCTGCAAAATTGCAACTATACCACACCACTATAAACTTCATTAGCAAAACGCAAATCAAATTTTGTGTCCAGCGCTTTTTGCGCATTCGAAAGTATTATGCGGGCACTAATATAGAGATAGTATTGCCATCGGGCTATGTATTGGGAGATGGGACCGTACCAGCGCTAATGACCAGAAAGTTGATTATTGTAAGTAATATTCGTATCAGATATATTAAGATAAAAATCTAATATAAAAGAAACACTATTAATTGAAGTGCTAGAGACTTGACGTTTAGAACATATATTTGCATTAACAACCCAAGATCAAAAATATATCTTAAATATTGTTATAAAGCGTGGCAAATCGGGCAAAACTGAATAAGAGTTTTTTAGATATGTTGAGAAACATATATATTTTTTTAATTAAGTAAATAGTAACTAAAAAAAATACATCTAATCTTAATTGTTACTAATTTAATTTAATTATTTTTATTTGATTTTAATAGCAAGCCAACAGTATTAATCAGAAGAGTAAACTTTTTCTGACTATGGACCAACTTCCGCCGGGAAATTTGTATTGCTATAATTTTACGGCTCTTCCTTACCATAGAGTGCTCAACTTGCAAAATGCAACGATGACTACTTATGATATTAACGAACAGCTGCGAAGCAGAGTAGTTACCTTCAATAAATTTAAGGAATCAGTTCCCAGTGTTTAATTGCCAATTTCCGTAATAAATATGTGTGAATTTTATATTAATTAGGCTGCGTTCTCATTAGCAAGTTAGCTGACAAAACTTTGGAAAGTCAGCAAGCCAGCCAGCCAGCCAGCCAGCCAGTCAGCCAGCCATGGCTGCAGCTGGAGTTTAGACTGGAGTTGTTTACGCGTCGCCCACCACCCAGCAGCTGCGCACCTTCCCACATACTGCGGCAACGGCTTGTAAAGTTCAAAAGCCCCGCTGGGGTTGAGTGCGTTCCAGGATTTCTAATTTAATGACTGACGCGTGGCAGTCGCGTATTTGTTTACGCCCCAAAGCGAAAGTGAAAGCCAGGGCCACCATTTCAGTCTCATATCATAGACTGTGGTATGAAACGGCAAATGGACTTTTATTCTACACAGTTGTTAACTGAACAGACGCCGTACTTAAATATTATTGCATATTAATGAAGGGACAGATGGGCGTGGGTGTGGGCGTGAGTGTGGGTGCGTTTTCAAAAAGAGGTGTTTGTGTGTTCAGCATGCCTCAACAAATACAAATAAATTAAAAACAAATTTTAAAAATGCTTTAAGTGATTCAAAATAAAAAAACTGAAAACAATCAAAAACAAGGATACCACATATACCCCATAGAAATTGGAGTTTCATTTCAGTTAATTGCAAACGGTAAATATAACAAAATGAATGTAATTTCATGAGATATGGATATGGATAATTGTTGTATAGAATAGGAATAAGTTATTTACAAGCTCTTTACGAGCCGCTGAGCTGACGTCACCTTAAAGCTGTGCTTTAAATTAAATATAAATATTCAAGAAATTACTTGTTACAGAAAAATAACATTGTGGGCTTGTGAAATGAAAAAAATGATCGAAAAATTGCACACTTCAATCTATTTGAATAACTTAAACAGCATAAAATATTTGCTGAGTGTTTCAGAGTGGAGAGCTTGACCATAAAATAAACAAAAAATATGTGATAGAAAACGGTAAAAAAAAAAGTGCATAAAATATGCAGAAAATAAACACATATGAAATTGCCTTCAGGTAAATGGGTAAAATTGCTGGCTAGGCTAAATTCCAAATATGTGATAGAATTTTCAACAAATATTCACGAAAATTGACCTGCCAGCAGCTAAGGGGACAATAAATGCTGAGGCGAGCAGTCACATGCAAACATACAACGCATATGCAAAGCTTATGATAATGTCTAAGTGTTAATATAAAGTCGCAGTTGCCGCCCAGAGCTCGGAGCTGGGCCAACAAAAGGCAAAGGTCTTTGCCCAAACTGCCTGCTATAGCTACACTTGGCCAGCAACATTTTCAATTTCTTCAGAACGAAAAAAAATGAATGCAAAATGAAAAATGGTACCAAAATATGCATAACGTATGCAAAAATAACAAAAGCCGAACAGAAAGCAAAGCCAACGGCATGAACATGTTTATGAGTATTTTTATTTGTGTGTGTATGTATTTGTTTTCCTTTTTTTATATTTTTGAGTGGTGCGAGATGGGTTCGAATCGATGAGACATGAAATAGCTTCATTTATGAATAGAACATGCAGCAAATCTTGTCCAACTAAAACTGCACGAAGAAAAACTTTGAATATAATATAAGACACAATTACAAAGAGTAGCAACAAGAATGTTTTATGTTTTCTAAATTATAAAAATATCAATATTGGGACATCTCATATGCTTTTGCACTTTCAATAATTTGTGCTTCATAATTATGAAACCATTTTCTTTGCAACTTTCGAAACAGACCTCGCTCATAGCATCATCACTCATGCCGCATGCCCATGCTTTACGGCTTTATGCATAAGTAATATCATGTTAGTGTCAATAGTTGTCAACGAAACGTTGTTGACAGTCCCCATCTGCTAAGCTGATGTGACCTACCAAAAAAAAAAAAAAAAATAGAAGAAGAAGCAATGAACGACCTTCCCACACACAGTGTGAGTTGGTTTTTTTTCGTACATTTCTACATTATTTTTTTTTTATTTCATTATTATTATTATTTTTTGTGTAATACATTTGTTTCGTGGCAGTTCGTTACCGCCCTATACGGCGCCCATCTACGTTCCGTCTTCTCCGCAAGGCTAACACATGCTACACATTGTATTATTTTAGATTGGCATTACTTTTGGGGCCATTGGAGATGCCTGTGCTAAATACAGCGAAGCTCGTTAGTTTTGCTCTCGGCGCTTGGATTCAGTTCTCTTTTTACTTTTTTTTATTATTTGCTGCGCTGCGTTGCCAACTTCCGGAGGGGCGCCTCACGTTGCCCATGGCGTGTCCTTCAGCCAACGCCTTGCTAGTTACAGTTACGTATACGCAGGCTTGTGTTGATATGTCTGTGTGTGTGCTTATGTGAGTTAGTTGGAGGGCCGCATATGTTACTTTATTGGCATTCAATTTGAGTTATCGCTATTTTTTCCTGTTCATATGCGTTTTTTTTACCAGTGAAAATGAATTTTTCTACATTTCGCATAGACCATTGTTGTTGTTGCTGCTGCTGCTGCTGTGGTTGTTGTTGCCTTGAATGCAACTAACCAAGAGTCTGAGATTTCAACAGCTAGCTTACTTTTATATTTGAGCACGTTTTTGTGCGCCGGACAGCAGCCACAGCCACACATACTCGACGTATAATCACATTTTATTCGAACTTTTCTTTCGGTTTATTTGATTTTATTTTTATGCCATTTTCTGTTTGGTTTGCCTTCAAGTTTATTTGGCAGAAATTTTTTGTTTGTTATTGTTGTGTGCGCTAGGCCAAGAGTTCCTTTTTGCCTTCTTTCAGCAAACGCAAAGTTCAAAGTTTATTTATATTGATTGGCTTTGCAGGTCATTTGGGTATAGTGTACGTCTACTAAAAATCATTTGTAAATACTTTTTGATTGTTGCATTTGCCTAAACTGCCACCTGTCAGTCTTGTTTTAATTGAAAATAACTGACAATCAACCTCAACTTTCTAAACTTAAAGCCGAGCAGATTTACGTGTTATTTCATTAAATGCAGTAAATAATTTAAGATATTAATTCTTATATAATATGCTTAAATTTAATTTTAATTTCTAGTATTTAAATTCTTTCAATGAACAATTTATATTAAAATTTAAAAGAATACCATTAAATAAATAAATAATCAAAATAAATTAAATTTATCTTATACTTGAGATGTTATTTGAATAGTCTTGGACATCTCTTAGAAATCGATCACGAAGTGAACAGAGTAGAGTTATTGGTGCTGGAGTCATGAATTTTGAAATATATACTCGCTGTAACACTATACAGTGTATCATACAGATACAAACTAGCAATTGAGTTACTGTTGATCTTCTCTAATGTCAAATCGTGAAAACTGTTTCTTCTACAGATTTAAAGATAAAGCGTCGCCGACTGCAACATTTTTACTATTTTTTTACTGATTCAACGTCAATTAAAGCTAAAGTCCATAAAACTTCATACATATTTATTTAATATATATTTTTAGCTGTTTTCTTAGTAATTGACAGGCTAGTCATTTTCGTTGTTCTTGACACGCCTGTCCCTCAAACTGATAACTGCTCATTTTGCAGCACTTGGCAGTTCATAAAGTTTTTGTAAAACTCCCAAAGCACAAACTTTGCGGCCACACAGACAAGTGGTCTCTATGGAGCGCCAATCGGAACGCCCATGCTCGCCGAAGCCGAATTTAATTAAATTAACAACACAAATTGTCAAAAGCAGGCGTTGCAAATGTTGCACGAAACTCAGGTAGACATGACGCAACAGCAAAAAAAAAACACGAAAAAGAGAGCAAATAAATAAAAAAAAAAACAACGACAACAAATAATCAACAGGAACAACAACGTGAATAACCTTATTAAAAACGTGTCAAAAACATTTTCATAAAACGAACTTTTTGCGGCTTGTCAAACTGCCAGTTGCAAGTGTCAAACAAAGTATTTGCAGAAAGGCTACGAAATCAATAAGCCAAGAAGTTTGCTTCCCTCACGCAAACGGCGAGTCCGGATAAATGTCGATAGGGGTTTGCTGCTGTTATGTCCAAAATATTCTATTGGCACGCAACAAGTTTAACAGAGAATAAAATATGCAAATGAGCTGCCAACAAGAAATGTAAACAATTGCCAATGAAAACTTATTGCTATTGACTGCAGCTAATTCCAGATAACACTGGCTAACATGAATTTTAAATTTTGATATTCAAATATTTAGCTGAATATTATTATTGGGAATATATAAAAACTAAATCTTAAGGTTAAACTTAAGCTATATAGAAGCCTTTTGGCTGAACTGCCTGTTGCCTTGTTAGTCGCTGTTGAAGCTAGAAAGCTGAAACTCAACCCTGTTCTTATCTCTCGATAAAGTACATATTTTTTAGAAGTCAGTATATTAATAAATAATAATCTATATATACTAATTAAACTAAAGCCTTTAGTTCAATCTTCGTAAGTGATTGAAGTCATCGAAAATATTATCGAAATTTTATTAAGTAAACCTATTTTGAACGTTGAGCCAATTACAGCGCTTTTCTATTATAATAAATTATGTTTTTTATTGTTATTTTATTATTGGAGAATAAGAACATGAAAAATAAAAGTAAAAGAAATTTTACACCTATAAAATATTATTATTATGTTTTTTGTATTCATTGTGAAGTGAATCCGTTTTTATTATAAGTAGACAACTCACATACTAATTCAACAAAAAAAACTTTGTTGCTCAGTGTAATTTGTCTTATTTGATATTCAACAATAACTGACTGTGCTGACTGTGCCTAGTTATACAATAAAAGGCTTGGGTCGCTAAGTTAAGAGCTCATATAATGCTGTAAGTGGCATGCATATAAATTTTGGTTTATTTAAAGGACGCGTTTATCGAAATGTAAATAAAAATTTATACGATAACATTTAGGGAAACTATTTTTTGGGGACAATGTCAGACACCCACATAAAAGCGAACTTTGTACCAATTGACGATAAGACGTGCAGAGCTTTGCCTGCTTCTTCTCGAATTCTTTGCCGAGTAACACACGAGATATCAATAAGCAAGAAAAATAAAATCAATTGTTATGATGCCATAACATATCACGCCCCATCTTCGTAGAGGAAATTCAGCACGTTGCAATGTGTGGCAAAGTTTTTGCCATTTGTGTTAGCGCAAAACTTGGGACCCTCGAGTGTGGGCACTGTTAAGGTCTAGGCTGGGCTGCGGGACGGCAAGGGATAGAGCGGGTGTGGGTGTGGCAAATTTTTATTTTTCTTCTTTGTGTGCGACTTGGGATAAACAAAGCCATAATTCAAGCAACGTTTACTCGCTCACAGCCTCAGACTTGCATAAACAAATTGTGCTCAACTGTGGCTGTAGTTGCGCTTGGGGCATGGGGGTTCGGCCATCTTTACTGTCTGGCCATCTGAGAATCTGCGGGAGCATGCTCGTCAAGCTCAGCGTAAACATGATAGATTTATAGTTGGCTCTGTTTCTGTGGTCGCCGACGACAACATTGCAGCGAGTGCGCAACGTGTAGCATACTTAATGGCGCTAGTCGGGTTGCCGCCAATGTTGTTGCTGCTGCTGCTGCTGCTTTTGCCGCTTCAGCTTAGCTTATCATAGCTCGTAAACACATGGAGTACCCACATAGATGAAGTACCCACAGAATCGCTGCAATCTCAGCTGTAGCCTCGAGTTAGGGTTTCTCGGCACTTGACTTTGTTTTCGTCAATAAATTTGGGGCAAGTTTTTTTGTACTTTTTTCTGGTGTTGTTTTTTTCGTCCTGCCGTCTCAGCTGCCATTTGGCAGCTCGGAAAAAACCACATGCTGGGCGCCTGTTGGTATGCCACAGTTTTACAGTTTCCCCCCATTTTCCTGCACTTTTTTCTTGCGGCGCCCAAAAGTAGGCAAGCGTTTCGCAAATTTGCGTTTAAATGGCGTGTTAACATTTAAATGTTATTTTTACGCCCCATAAAATGGCTCCATAAAAACAAGCAAAAGTATCCAAAAAATAAAAAAATAAATAAAACTTTCTCAACTGCTTTGATATTTACAAGTAGTATAGAATAAGCCAAACGGTTAACCGATTCGAAGAACTTTTATTAAGTTTTGAAAAGTCAATTGTGGAGTCACCCCAATAACTCTCCACTTACTAAAAATCAGATTGGCAATTATAAGTTTAAATCCAAGTCGGATATAACATAAGGTTGGCTGTTCGATTTGAATGCGTTGAATGCGAATATTATGATTTGTTTAGTTTATACAAGTTAATATTCATGGTATAATGAATTCTGCTATAAATGTTTAGAAAGGTCAATAAATTAATTAACGCTTAACATAATATTTAATTATTATAAGCTAACAAACTATTTATTATGCATATTATATATTATATATATAATAGAAAAAATGTATACATTTAAATTACGCATGCTTTAAGAATGAGTATTTGAAAGTTAAATTTTTTCTATAGTTATAGGGATGTAGCTGACTGAGAAATTCTCGTTCACAATCCAAAATAAAAATTTTACGTAATCAAAATCTTTCGACTTTCCAGTCAAGGAATTTATAAGACTAACTTTGCAAGAGAGGAGCAATACTATACTCTCTATAATCTGAGAAAGAAACGGCTCTTCATCGCACGCTACATACTTTCCGATTGGCTCATTATTTTAATTGGGGCTCTAGCACAAAAAGTGGCGTAGATTTCTATACTTATTATGTGCACGAATTCTATTCTACAGTTTTGATTTTGCTTACCGTTTAATTAGTAACAAATATAATATTTTACGAATTACCATGCCTCCAGTGGATACATCGGAAAAGCTGAACACTTTGTTTTGTGTTCATAAGTTCATAAAAGCAGACAGACTGATGGACGGACGGATGAAGAGTGGGCAGCAAGACGCACATTGCATAAAGCCAATATACTATTTTTACTGCTTGAAAGACTATGAGAATGGCAGACATACTACTTGAATCTCTTCTATTAATAGTAGTATTTACATATATCCCCTATACCTGCAAAAGTAAATCAAAAATCGAAATTTCGAACACGCACGCGTCGTGCTAAATCATGTTTTGTTCGTGCCCAAAATGAAGCAGAACGATTTCGATTAACATCAGCTCAAATATCTTGGCATATCCGTTTGCGAACGCCCCTAAAAATATGCTGCTTACACGGCCCTTTGGATGTATTTGCACAAAAGTATGCTTTGTTTTATTGCTTATGCAAATTGACCGACTAATTTTGTACGGACTGCCAAAGCAAATCCTTTTGCTTCAGTCGCTTAGTGAACCTTTTTCCATCGCCAGGCAACTTTATCTAGTTCGCTTTTCCTTTTGAGGTCATCCACACAAACAGCAGCACAGTTGTTCTTTCTTTATTTATTTCTCTTTACAAAATATAAACTTTATTTTCGCTTAATGCGCTTGAATGAGTTGTACGTTGCGTTCCGTTTGTTGTTGTTTTTTCGGCTTTCTTTCTTTATTGTTTCAACATTTTGCTTTGTTTTCTGAGATTTCTTTACTAAGCAGCGTTTGGCAGGTTATTTTGTTTTTGATACGCTCTTAGTCAAAATGCCTTAAGCCAAACTTTGTCGGCAAGCATTCGCCACAAACTGATGTCTTTCTCTCGCCTCGGGGCTGCAAATCGTCATAAAGCGAATTAAATGTCTACTTATACTAAAGCGAATTAAGTTTTCAATTTACTCTTGAATGGAAGAGTTAAATACATAGATTTATGATACTTTTGAAAGAAATGAAATCACGTACACGTTTTGTCTATTGGCAGTTCCTTTTTCAACTTCTAATAAAAAGTTGCCTGCAAATTGAAGGTGCATTGATTTTTAGACACGCATACCTTTTTAAAATACCTGGATTTTAAAGCACAAAAAGTATGCTATGCGCCAAAAGTAGTGCGGGTGCTTCCCATCTAGTTTTGATAAAGCATGGAGCACAGGCCATGCCTCGTTGCCGCCGAAAGGACTCGACTTGACGCCAAGGTCCTTTATCAAAGCGAAAGTTGTTGCACAGTTGCATGGCCAACGTAAGCACACACACATACACATTTCGCTGGAACTCGCTCGCTTGCAGGTCAATTATCGTGCTTTGCATCCCACGCGCAGCTCACCTATCCAGCTGCAATTGCAGCTGTCTGTTGTTGTTTTTGTTGTTGCGGTTTTGTTGCCGCTGGCGTCTGTGGGTATCTGGTAAAAACCGAAAGCCAAACAAATTTGTAGCTTCAAGTTGGGCCATTGCGTTGCCGTCGTGTCTGTTGCTCTGTTTTTCTCTCACTGCTTCTCTTTCTGTCCCTCTGTCTGCGCGTCTGTTTGGCGGTTTTCGTATGACCTGCGGTTAGCTATTGCAATGAAAAACTTTTGCTCTGTCGCTAATTAGGCATTACATATACGCCATGGTTAAGCATCTTGAAGTGCACTAAATTGCGCTAATCATAAAACATGCAGAACATTCCCCCGAGACTCGGTCCAAGTTCCATCCACTCCAGCTTAGTTGGTTGGCCTTTGTATGCAACGGTTTGTTTCAAGTGTTGCTGCTATGTAAATTATGCCACCAACTGCAATAGCATCAACAGCGGCAACAACAACAACTACAACAATTGCCCAAGAATTGTGGCAATGTGCACTCAGCGTCATTTAGTGCCACACCCACACACACACACTTAAGTGACGCCCACATTGTGCGCATTGACGACGCGTGCAACGAAGTGAATGCATAAGTGCAGAAGAAAGAGTACGAGCTTGGCAGTGAATTGAAGTGGGTGTGATTAGAGTGCGTGTCTGTATGGGTGGCAAACACACACATAAAGAGAGTGAGCCACACACACACACATGCATAAATATATGCGAGTGCATGCATGGCAACATTTCAAGACTTTCGCTTAAGTGGTTCACTATGTTAGTTTAAAATAGCAACAATAGTTGTCTATAAATTGGTTTGTTTACTAGAAATGAACAAGCTCTGAACACAATGAATGCACTTCTTGCAGCAACCAGCATGAGCACATGAGCTAAAGCTAGAAGCTTGCAATAAATAATATGACTTTTCAGCTAGAAAATATAAAAATTAAAATGAAATGCAAGCAATGAAAACTTGTTTTATTTTGTCACAATTTCTTTCAAGTTAATTTTAAAATCTGGTTTCTGTTTAGATGTCAAGAATTGTGGCTGAATTGAACAGTAGAGTATTTCTTAGTCAGTCATTCTCTATTGAAGCAGGCAAAAATCTATAGTATTTCTATATTTTATTTATAGGCAGTCGGATATAGTTGAAAACGAACAAACTATTGTACTTAAACGGCTTGAGCAGCTGAAGAGTTTGCCTAAGAGGAAGACAATTTTCATACACTAGCTTTTGTTTCAGTTATCTGAACAACAGAGCTACCTAGACAAATTATCTGCAATTTGATCATAATTTTATAATCAACAAAAAAAAGCAGTTTGAATAGTGGAATCATTCAAAAACAGACGAAAAATTGTTAACTTTTAGAAGAAATCTACAGTCACTTAACTGTCAAATTTGGAGAAAAATAGCAAGTTCCAGATTTTCCTATTTTCTAAGCCACAAAAACGCATTTAGATGTACTTTAAATTTTTAGCCTTGGCTTGTCAAATTTCGCTTTTAATACTAATATTTCTGTTATATCAGATATTGGCCTTTTCTCTAATTGACATGCGCCTGGTGGGCGTATCTCATAAGACGAGGGTACCTAAAATTTGTGTCTCTAGCTTCAAAAGCTTCTACTGACGGACACCACGTCAGACATCACAAAAAACCAATATACCCTTTTACTTCGTGAACATGTTTATTGATATGTCTTTAGCTATCCAAATAAAATTAAAAGCAGCGATTTATTAAGTAATAAGTATACACAATCTAAAAATAAATAAAATAGGTATATCATTATAATTTACTAATAACAAAATGTAAAAATATTTAAAGAAAATTTGAATGACCCAATACATTTATTTTGGCGTTCATATTTTTCTTAAAATAGAATAAATAGAATTAAATTTAAAATAAATAATCCTTATTTTAATCACTTGCTAACTTGGAGCTGTTCCAACTCGTGGAATAGTTGCTGCCAGCTGAAGCCCATGCGGCCGTCGGCCAAGTGCAACCGACAACGTTCGGGAATATGATTGAAAAGTTTTTGAAAGGGCGTATAGCGTGCCAAACAGTTAACGTCCCCAAGTAAAATTAATTTATGTTTGGCACGTGTGATAGCAACAGTCAATCGACGTTGATCCTCCAGGATTTCTGCCTCTCGCGCACGTTCCATATTCTGTTCGGCACTGGCACTGCCTGTCTTCGTACAACTGTAGATTATTAGATTCTTATCGCGTCCCTGATATTGATCAACCGTATTGAATTCCACACCGGTTAAATGTTCGCCCAGCTTGCGCAGCAACTCCACCTGAGCGCGATATGGTGCAATGACCCCAATGCGTGCAGCATCGTAGCCCGCCTCCAGCAGTTGTCGCAACAAATGCAACACAATGGCCGCCTCGCAATAGTTACTATACTTAGGCACACGACGAGGACGACCTGATTGTAATTGAGTTGGTTGCAATGTTTGTTCAACGGCTTCACCATAATACTGTTCGATGGAGGCGCTGGTATTGCACTGCTGTTTGGATGCATCAACATAGTCCTGACAGCGTTGTGCACAATCGCATGTGTCCAACAAAACGACTGCTTGCTCTAAATGAGTTTGCAACGTGCGTTGCACCCAAAGACAGCACTCGGCTGGTGGTTCCCATTGCAGTTTCGCACTTTCAACCTGTTCACTGGCGCATTGTAGTGCCTGGCCATACGTCAAGTGGTTGGCCAGACGTGTAATGCTGCGATTCATACGATATTGCAGTGTCAGCACAGCTGTGGCCTCGTCGCAATCCAAACGCTGAAATAGGCTCTCATCAGCGCCGCGCAGACGCGCCTCACGGCTACGCACCAGCGGTGGCAGCTGCTCCGGATCGCCGACAAGTATGAAACGGCTACTGTGGCTCAACGCACGTAAAACCGCCGGCTGCAACACCTGTGTGGCCTCATCCACGATGCAATAGTCGAACTTACGATGCTGGAACAGAGCATGTCCGGCTCCGAGACAGGTGACGCCTACAATGCTTGGCTTTTCTAGTGCTGACGTCAACTGTTCAACTGTTTCGCAATTAGCTGTCAACTGTGCCTCACTGATCTCCTGCAACTGCGGATGAATTCGTGCGCTGTTACCCAGACGCATCAGCGGCAGATTATAGGGCAGCAGACGCAACAACAGATTATCTACGGCGGAATGCGTTTGTGCTGTAATTAACACACTGCGCTCCATCAGATGCAGGAGCCGCACAATGGCCACCAATGTCTGCGTTTTTCCTGTGCCTGGCAGTCCCTTGATCAGCAGGTGTGTATCGGTGGTGAGGGCACGTAAGGCAGCCACCTGCTGTACCTTATTCAATGAACGCAGCATGGGCCCGCCCTTGCTGCCAATGATGCGAGGCAAAACCTTTTGCTGCTTTGGCAGTGTCCGGGCAATCACAATGGACCGCAATTGAGCCGCACGTTCACTGGGCGCTAAAAGTTGCGCCAGGTTCGTAAAATTGAAACTGGCAAAGCTCTGGGATTCATGCTTGTCCACTATGAAACTCTCCAGCACATAACGCTGGCCAAGATCACGCTCTAGTTGCACGCACAAGCTGCGCTGCTCTAGCGCTGTTATGTAGCCGGCGGCAATAGCCAGCCGCGAGCTACAGCTAATGATGACATATTCGCCCACCTCAAACTAGAAAAGGATTATTTTCAAATCATAAGAGGGAACAAGATATCTCATTGCTCAACTCACGCCGCTGAGTGTTAAATTCAGTTCATTATCCGCTTCCTCTGACAGTATCAATTTCTGTTCAAAGCGTCCATCCACTAGAAGTGCCTGATGATTCTTAGGCAATTGCAACTGTTGGATCGCGCGACCCTGGTGCTGCCTCTTGGCAGGTGTTTCAGTCCATAGCGCTCGCAGCTGATGTGATTTTCGCGCTTGTTGTTCCTCTAGAGCCAACAGACCACACCAGTGAAACACATACTCATAATCCGCTTGACTTAGATGATCTAGAACTTCTGGCATTAGACGTCGCAGCGGATGAGATTCACTCAGCTCAAGCTGAGAATCTGTACTGGCAAAGCTGCAGCAGAGCGTGGCATAGGCGCAATTCCCGCAGGCGCTATGATGTGAAATGGGTTCGGGCAGCTGTAAGGGCTGCAACAGCTTACCAGGCTGTTCGACCAGCGAGATGGTTTCTTCACCCGATGGCAGTTGCACATCGCGTGTTAGATAATGCGCCAGATCGTTGCGCAGCAGAATGAGATCGCGTTGCTCGTTGCGACCCTCGTGAACCTCGCGCAGAATGCCTTCGCGCAAGTACAGCAACAGACCACTGCGCGTCTCTTGACCCAGAGCCGAGTGCATTAGCTGATAGAGCAACAGCTGGCCCTTGTGTTCCATCGAAAAGCTGGCGCGTCCAGTTTTCAACTCCAATGGTATTGGCTGCTTTTTGTTGCGCACGTGCACAGAAACATCAACCTTGCCCTTGAGTCCGAGCTGCGGCACCCACAGATTTTCCTCAATATCGTGTATTTGATCAATCCGACCCTTGTACATTTCCGGTGGCTGTACAGAGGGCAGCTTGCCCTCTACATATTGCGCTACAAAGTCAACAATTGGTCCTACAAACTTATATAGCTGCAATTCGATCTCGGCGCGATTCAGCTGGCCGGCATAGAGCTGCTGGGCTAAAGAAGAACTATGCAGCATTTGCTGCAGTGCATCCTCCACTTGTGATTTCTGTCGCAGACGCTGCGATAGAACTGTTTGCAGCAGCTCGTGCACCAATGTGCCTATAATCATCTAGAAGATATGATTAGTATTTGATTCTGATTTTTATGGCGGCGCACTTACCACCGCATTAGTAGAATCAACACCACGAAAACGATCCTGCAGCACGGCTTTGCGTCGGCAGAAAAGCGAGCCAGTCACAGAAGTACTTGATATGAGCAGATCTGGATGTATTACACAATAGCCCTGCTCCTTGTTAACCACATACGCGGCCAGCGTGGGCTGCCACTGCGCTTTAACCGACACCAGATCACCTTGCTCTAGTGGCGTTTGATTCCATGGCGCCTGCAAATGGCAAATAGCTTTCGAATCCGCATCTTCATCGCTACGCAATTGGAGAACCAAATCATGTGACCTGGGCAGGCGTTCCATATCCAGCACCACACAGCGTTGCCAACTGTTCAGATCAATGCCCTTCGCTGTTGCGGCAGCATCCAATGCACTTACATCGAAATCATTGTCGTCGTCCAACAAAAAGTCATAGTTCTCCTGGTCAGTTGGAAGCGGCGGGTGGACATCGAGATCAATTTGTTTTTTGTACTTCTTGCATGACGCCGGCACATTATCAACCTTACTGGGTGACAGCACTCGCTTTGCCGCTTGCATAACAGTTTTGATTCGTATTTACCTATTTTACAATAAACTCTCGCACATAATTCGTTTCCCGCACATTCTCATTCAATCGCGCCAAAATTTACAATCCAGTGTATACACACGCGTAATTATTATTCACATATGTTCATTGACATAATACCGAACCAGCACTAGTTCGATTAAAGTAACGAACTTAGATAAGAAACAATCGGTAACTGGTTCCATCGTTCGCTCACTTGAGTCACAACCACGCTCGCTACGATGTTCGGCGCTCTTCATAATGCTCTTTTGAGTTCGATCATCTGTTTGCTTAAGTTCGATAGTTGTCTTCTCTGTTCTCTTGACTTCGATCATCGATTTGGTTTGGCGGTCTTTTTGAACAAACCAAGTTGGATTATTTATAATAAAATGTTTCGTCACTTTATAAAACATTAAAGCTGAACTTTAATGTAAATTTCAATTTGTAAATTCTTTAGCAAGCAACATCAGCTAATAACACGGGCCAACTGAGACGTTAAATCTCTTATACTTATTCACACTATTCAACATTTATAACCCTAATGACCGACACACAGACAATATTCTCTCATTAAACTAGCGACTAATTGGCTAAGAGGATAACGAGAATAACACGACCATGAGATAAAATGGACCACAAAACGAGCATCTTTACATAGTCCCAGACGGAGATTTGACCGTGTTGCAGAGCAAGTGAAGCACAAAAACACGAAATCCGTAACTGCTTGTGGCTGTCAACTAAATTTCATATGCAAATCCTTGGCTCTGACTATCGCTACCTGATAATCTACTTGATTTATGCGGCTGCACACAGGCAGACACTCGGAGACAGCCCATGGGCCCATGGGCCCATGGAACCGCCACATGCGCAGCGCTAATAATGCCCAGCGCCTGTGGCATGCCGGGCACATCATTAATCTCGGTCCATGCGGGATATGCCCGAGATGCCCGTCGCACTCGTCGCACCCGTCGCCCTCGTCGCCCGACTTATGCCAGATGGCACTTGGCTGTCCACTGCCACCATGCCACGTGGCTGACCTTCAGCATAATAATTCAATGTTAGTGCCTGCTAGCCGGGTTTTGTGCGGCTTGGCCCAAAAAGACACGTGCTAATTGCTAATCAGTATAGATAAGGCAACGCCCTTGCCAGCCATTAAACGATGATGCGAAGCGAAAGGCATTTTATTTTTATGACCACTCAGTCAGTCAGTCAGGCAGTTGGGGGATGCTGAGAGAGTGAGAATCTTTAAAGTACACCCCATTCTATACCATTTCATATGGTTGCATTGCTTATTGCGTTCAGCTGTTGTTGTCGCTGTTGAGTGTTTTCATAATGGAAAGCACAGATTTCGTTCCCTCTTGGTTTGGCAGCTGACAAATGATCTTTGCTTATGGAAATAACTCAAATTGTGTGTGTGTGAGTGTGTGTGTGTGTGCTTCTCCCTTCCAACAAGCACTCTATGCTTGTGTTATAGTTATAACCACTTGACTTTTGTCGAGGGCACTTTTTGGCTGTTGGCTCTTATATTTTTTTCAGTTTCATTTCTTTTCACATGTCAACAAAGCCATCAACACATTTCACACGCGCTCCTTTGTTTAAATGTCACATTACATAATGACACTTAACACATGGGCGACAAAGGGGGCCAGCACGCGTGTGTGTGTGGGCTGGCCACGCCCCAAATGCCATTTTATATGGCTGACTAACAAAGGAAAACATTTGCCAGGCTGGCTGTCTTCGTTGTCGCCACTTAAATGCCAAATTAAGTGTAATTTTTATTGTGTTTACAGCGCCGCAACAACAACAGCAGCAACAATAGCAACTCCAACAACAACAATGAATTTAACACTTGACAAATTTGATTTTTCCTGACTGACTTTTCCTTCTGCTTCCTTCCGCTGCTCCGTCCTTCTCACTCTCATTCGCTGTGGCTCATCTCTTGGCTGTCATTAGTGTTTGCTGTCGTTGCCTTGTAATTGTTTATGTAATTGTTATGCACATGTGCGATAGAGAGAGAGAGAGAGAGAGAGAGAGAGAGAGAGAGAGAGAGAGAGAGAGCTAAAGAGAGCGTGCAAACAGCGTGTGTGAGTGGCTGCCAGAGCCAACTCGTTTGGCTGCCATTTAATGGCTGCCAGTTATGAAAGATATACTAAAATGTCAGCAGACACGAACGTCAAACATTTCACAAAATTGAATCAAAGCGTTTTTATGAGCTTTCTTTATTTTTTCTTTTGGGAGGCGGAAACATTTTTATAAATGTCAAATAAACTTTCGGCTAATTGGCTAGACTATCAAGTAATTTGCCAGAAATCTTGTTAGCCAAATTGAAAGTAGATAGGAAAAAAGTTTAACACGCATCCTCAAGAAATTATTAGGCCAACCCCTATGAACAAGACATCGCTGATGAACACGTTTTTCAAGCATAAATTAATGTTTGTCAACTTTGCGAAAGTTATTTCTTAACAAAATAATATATCTTAATGCTGCTGCTTTCATATTTTTATCATAAACAAAATATTTATTTAAAAATTATGTGAAAAAAAGAAAATATTTGAAGTCTTCAAAAAGGTTTGACGGCAACTTGTTGTTGTCTTGACTAAATGATTATTTTAATACATTGTATTAAGACTAAGCGATGTAGTCTGAATCCGTTATAATCCATAGCAATATTTCTGCTTAGATTAAGTTGCCTAAAAGCAGCTGGACACTCAACTGTAAATATCTCAACAATTAAATCAAAGCATTTTATTTATTACTGAATTCTGTTGGCCTGTTGCTATTAGCACAACTTGAATTTTATTATAGTAAGTTTCCTACAATTTAGAGCTCAAAACGATTCGACTTAAGCCGCATTAGTACCTTAAGAAACTGCAGCTGAGATTTTTAGCAGATTGTACTATTACCATTAATTTTATTTGCTTTAATTACTTTTCCTTAATTTCTTTTCTTTTTAAAAAAAAATTTTTAAGCAACAAAATATGCTGTAACTTAGAGCAGTCATTTAAATCAAAGTGTAATTTTAATGGTCATGTAATTTACATTACCTTACAAACTGGACTTTTTCCTTCTGCACACACATACACATATACACACACACGCACATTTTTGGTTAGCCACTTAAAAGTCATCAGAGTCACATAACTAATTCATTAGGACTGTCAGAAAAAAGCTGCCAATTCTCATTGAAATGCCACTGACCAAACACGCATACACACATATTAACACACACACGCACACACACACACATTAACACACAAACACGCAAACTGCCAGTTTTTGTTGCCTATTTAGCGGCGCAAATATTTAGCTTGTCAGACCAGAATAATGCACACACACACTCGCACACACCCATACACACGCATATTTGAAATGCCTGGCATGAATTTAACTTAACCCCAGCATATCACTTGACTTTTCCCCGCCCATGTCCACCCATTTAGCACCGCCTTCTTGTTCGCCAACACACATTTGCTCATTAGCATTATTGCCTGGCTCCACAGTTTGTTTGTCTCTGACGTTTTCTTTCTGTCCCCCACGCGGCACCGCGCCACAACAAGCAAATGAGAATTTCATTAACGTTATTAATATTTTCATTGTTGAGCGTTTTGCATGCCTTACAGCTGCGCTGCGCTGCTTCTGCTGCCACTGCCACAGATATACATATAATAACTTGATTATGATGTTTGCTGACTTGCCTCATAATTTTTGTATTCTTTTTTTCGTGTTTCAATGTTTTTTACTGTTTTACATTTTCCATGGCTTAATAATTGCTCATTTCGGCTGAAGCTGGCTTTTGTTCGCTTTGTGCATTGTTGTTAACAATTATGAGGCCACTTAAATAAATTTTATTGCTGCCAGGCATTGTCCTGTCCGCCTGCTAACAAATTGACAATTATTTCGCCGCTTGCCTCGGACCCAAATGACAAACGAGCCTCAGCCCGAAACTTTTCGTGCCATTTATTAGCTTTTGAAAGTTTTACGGGTGTGATTTTGATTTAGCTTCAGGCCGAATCGTGGTAGATGGCAGCACCACCTCCAACAGCAACAACATTTGTAGCCTGGGCTAATGAAGTTTTTGAATGGCCAAACAGAGTTGAGTTAACTTAAGTTTTTGCCAAACAATTGACCGAGGCGAGCGTGCCGAAGGAGTGGCCCTAAACTTGGCAGCTGAGTTATAAATGGTATATTTATCTTTATTTACGTTTTAATAGTGAGCGCATTCAACTCCCAAAGTTAGAGCTGATAATTTTAATTACAGCAATAAGGCAAACTAATGAATCTCAAATTAACCTCAAACACTCATAAATATAATCGACTGGTAGTTTCGTCTATTAAATAACGAAACTAGAGCAGCTATCCAGGTTGGATCTATTTAGGACAGCGGTTACTATGCCTACTGATATATATTGCTTGCTTAATTATGTTTTAGTAAAGAATATTTGGCACGTACACAGAACTTGTCGTAAGCATCACCTTTCTCTGAGATTCTCATGATTTCAAGTGACGTTTCAGACTTTATTTGCATCACTTCCTAATTATTTGAGAAGCAAAAGCCAATATTACTGGATATGAAGCTAACTAGTTATCTCTAAGCTTATATGTCGTTCTGAAAATCAATTTGAATGGTATACTAATGTTTGATTAATATAAATTGTAGAGGCATATATAAGAATTGAAACTTATAAATTATATAAAGGCTTTTTTAATTAGCCCCTTTCTATAAGATTCTCATAGTATTAGGAGAGCGGCAAAGCTCTATATGCTTTACTTAATACTCATTTTTTTGTTTTATATAATAGAAACTCAATTCATCTGTAAATTTAATTCAATATAACGAACTTACAACTATGGCTCAGACCTGGCATCATCCACAAACTTACCTAAAATTATAGCCCGGATGCCAGCTGATCAGTTGCCTAATTTACTGCCAAGTAATGACTTTTATTTAGACAACACTGTTCAAACATGATCGTGGTATTGGCGACCACCTACTGACGCCGACAAGTGGACTGCGTGAGAGAATTCCGCAATTTACGTAATTTATGGGAAACCATGTTACTATATAAAAATTTTAATTAAACGGCAGAGCGTTCAGCATAAATCTCTGTAGGTCACTCGTTAGAACTCAGATGTACGTTAGATATATACAATTTTAGTAAATCTCAAGGGGAAGTATGGAGTTACTCAACTCTCAAATGTTAAGTTTTAGCTCCAGATCTCTAGCAGATTTGCCACGCCCCCATACATGATTATTGATAAACCAATATAAACGGTATCTGATGCCACATTTTTGTCTAAAAATTACGACCTACGACCCACTGTATACTTTAGACACCGCTAATTTGCCACTTCAATTATCCGAATCAATTAGAGTTATAAGTAATCATATGGATAATCGCCAAGTTGTTAGGCAAATCTATGCTCAACTTAGCCTCGCTTAGCTCCAATTTGACTCGCATAATTAAGCGGTTGTTTAACAATTTAAGGATTATTCTATCGGAATTAAATTGACGCTCTCAACTAATTCATTTAGTTCGCTCGCTCGCTTTACGCCCTCTAAAATGTCATATTACATATGAAAAAACAAGCGATTCGCGATATTTACGTCGGTTGTGCAATAATTGCGATACAATTAAATAAATAATTAAATTGATTGGACTGACGGAAATATTAAGAGGCAGCCGCAACCAAAGCTGTCTATCAGAATGCAATTATGTAATACAAATAAACAAAAATTTACCAGTCGAGCACAAACGACTGTTTAATACTCGTTCGCGACTGAATTTTATTACATATTTACAACTTAGGGATATGAAGGTGGATGCATATTGAATACGTCAGTAATTAATTTATAGAATATGTGTTTGGAAACGGATAAATTGTAAATGGATCTTTAGAGAAGGTCAACAATTACCCACGTGCTATATATATATATATTATTTAAGCTTCATATCGAACTACCTAACTGTCTAAGATATCAACAGGGCTCCAACAGCAAAGCTCTAACTCTCTTAGAAGATTTGCTCTTTTCCTGTTTGCCACGCACCAAATTGGTTTTTATTCATATAATCTGTAAAGGAGGTCAACTCATTTGACAAATTTTAGTCAGACGAAGCATATTTTCAAAAAAATAGTCAGTATAGAAGAGCATCACACAAACCCAATGGACTCTTTTTAATTTTATGAACCCGTATAAATATAATTATTATATAAAATCTTTGCACTCACCATTGTTGACCGTGGAGCCGCCCACGCTATTGACATTACCATCGCTACTCAGCGCCAGGGTTGTCAACGTCTCCAAGATGAGCAGAGTTGCGAGTAGGGTATACAGTTTGTGCAACATGTTGTCAACAAAAAATTATTTTTTTTCTTTCAGTATTGTAAAGTTATAGTTATATTTATATGTTGTTATGTTTCTGAAATTTGTTTACTTTTTAGCAACGCGTAAAACACATTTAATTTCATTAATGTAAATAACTGTATATATTTTATTAAATTCGAGTAATTGAATTTTTTTAAACACTGTTCAATTTATGTTTGGATTTATTTAAATGTTGTACATTTAATTAATTTAATTATCCTTGTTTTTATTATTTTGTTCTTTTTTCGTGATTGTGTGCTGCAAATAGAGGGAAAAGGAAAATTATGAAATGTCATGGCATATTTTATCGATGGCTCACATAAATTTGCGATGAAATTAAAGGACACGCTCCAATTTGTTTATATTTAATACAGCGTCTAAAAGCCGACTTTCCTGATTTATATGCCATAGCCAAGCGCGACTGAGTGGTATAAAAAAACAAGCAGTGCAAATTCTTGATTGAATTTTGCCTGACGTAAGCGGATTAAAACGAAATTCTATGAAACAAAAACAAAAAGAAATAAGAATAATAAAGCGAAGCATAAAACAAAAATAGCGGTCAAGTCATAAAAACGCAACAGACAAATGAAAAGCTACGAAAGGCATAGCCGAGGCAATGAGCAGCACATAAAAGGACAGCAGTCCAACTACAATGGAGAGCTATGGGAGAGCCAAGGATTGCCCTATGCCCTATGAACCAGACGCTGTCTGCTGGATTAATTCCCAGCTACTTCCGTCGACACGTAGCCAAAGGCCAATGGACGCCGCTTCAATTACGATAATAACTGAGCTATGGACGCAACACGTGCCCGGACTTTAAAGCTGAGCTTAAAAGCAAATTCCAATTAACATGTATTAATTACATATTTATTTTGCAATTATATTTGATCTTTGAATCATGTTTTCTCTTATTTAATTGTCTACCTTTTTACTGCTTTTTTGTTTTCTACCTAATCAACTTGCCGCTTTACAAAATGCAGATAAACGTAGCAGCGTCTGACCATTATGAACTGCCGCCAGCAACCTCTGGCCAATAACTCGACCAGTTGTCCGGCACTTGGACAGGCTCTCACCCTTTGGCTACCCAGCAAGTGCCATGACCGTCATCATCGTCATCATCATCATCATCATCATCATCATTAAATCCCTCGTCTCAGGGCATCATCGTTTGCTCTGCTTTGCTTTTGCATGTGTAAGAGGGGACGAAGCTACAGACACGTCGCCCTTACACAATCACATATACCCTGTAGCTAATGTTTTAAGTGTAAATATTATTGAAAAAACAGAAATAAAATAATAAGTAAATATTATAAGTAATAGGAACAGCAAAAAAACATGTTTTTCGACTGCTAGAAAAATCATTAAAATTAAAAAATATATGTATGTGTAAACAATAAAAATTATGAAATCAAGCACTAAATAAAATGTTTTATTTTTTCTCTTACAAACAAAAATTTTTAAAACCTAAATAAAATAATTACAAAAGAAATTATAATAAAAATTAGAATTCGGGAAAAAATATTAAATGCTTATAAATTAACAAAAATCTTAGACAATTAAAAAAAAATTGGGCGAGCTAATTAAAAACATTGAGCTGACAATCAAAATTTCTCTGCCGATATACTATCACAAGATATAGCTCAATGTAAAATAAATTAAAGATAAACTTTAGAAACAATTTAGATTAGCGAATAAATATATAAAAATTGCATGGTAAAATTTATAAAAAAAAATACACAAATAATGAAGGGTATCTACCCCATCAAGTAACTTTGTAGCGCCAGCTGGTTATCTATTTGACATTTTCTTCTGTCTGTTCATGTCATAAGCGCAAAGCAATTTGCTTCGCCAGCTGTAGCTCGCGCGCTGCAGACCGACAGCACGATACAGGACTCGACTCTAGTCAACTATTTTGCCATTCAAGTTTTCGCTCTATTGCAATATGAATGCATTTCAATTAAAATGCTGGCGATGCTTTCTTAATAGCAGCTGTTGTGTGGTTTATGCGCTGCGTTCTTGCTCTTGTTTTTGTTTGTCTTTGCTTTGTCTGTGTTATTGAAATCAATTTGTAAACTTAATTGAATTTCGGTTTGGCTTTAACTCAAAACTTTTCAACATTCACTTGTAATTTGCCTAAAAGTAGGCAACATACATCTCGAGAGAGAGAGCTGGAGTCGTGTTGCTTACATGTTTGACATGTGTATTAGCCGCCAGACGGGGGACCCACTATGTGCCCAGAGCCTTTTGCGCTATGCATATTTTAAAATGTTTGTTCACAGCCCAACGATTTGGTTGAAGGCAGTGCCACGCCCACACCCATGCTGGCGCGGCAAGCAGCAAGCTTTTTGTATTATTGCCAAAAGTTATTATGCCGTGGCATTCCGTGAATTTCGCTTTGTGTTGCATACCTTGCGGCTGACTGAAAGTTGCACTAGTTTTTTTTCTATCATTTATATATTCATATATATATATATATATATATATATATATATATATATATTCTTTTTTTGTATTTGCTTGAAGAACTTTAAGCGCGTGATTTTTGCAATTTGGCTAATAGCGAAAAGTCAACGTTGCGCTGTCGGCTTTGAATGCTCCCTGACAGTGAGTAATGGAAGAAAAAGAGAGGCAAACAATGCAACGAGCATAATGGGCACAGTATTTATCCTTTCCCTTTCTCCCTCTCACTCTCTCTCTCTTCCTGCCATTTTGTCTCGCTTTCCTGCTGAGCGCATTTAAATCAATATTAATAGCAATGTTTACGCCCCCGCAGACTGGCCAAGAATGCAACTGCCACACGCGGCAACACCAATCGAAGATTTACCTACTTTTTCTCACAGTTTTCTTCTTTTTTTTATTTGGTGTAGTGTATTCCTTTGGCTGGCCAGCCAGGCAGCCCAGGCAAGCGGTGCGTGTGCAGGACTCGCCTCCTGCCAAGTTCTGCATTCAGTCGCTTGTGCATAATAAATCAATTTACATTTTCTCTCGCCACACGCAAAAATGAAATGCAAATAACGGCAACAAACCATGAACGATGCAGCATATAGTCCTATATAGCATGAACACCAAAAGCAGCCACCAGAAATGGCAGGCCCAGGCCGAGCTGGATGCCGTGAGGGAGATGGCGTGCGGCAGAGAAAGAGAGAGAGAGAGTGAGAGAGAGAATGGGACATGGGCTAAGGAGCTGGCAACACTTTTCACCGCAGAGATTTACGCGCACTTAAATCACAGCCACCAGAATTGATCGCCATCAATGTACATAAGCATTAAAAATAAAACATGCACCAATTCATTCATGATAGCTGCTCGACTAGGTTATGCCCTACAGTCAAAGAGGCAGTTGTTGAATATTGAGAAATATATATATTGAAATAGTTTTCCTCTTCGATCGATAGATATGAAAAATGAAAGATGAGACAAGCCATTGGCTTAGAATTGGGAAATATATATATGTATATATATATATATATACTACTACTTACTCACACATATCCGACCTCTCCCTCTAAAAGTAAGTGAGAATGAGAGATAAGATAGACAGGTGAAAAAAGTGATGTAAGAGTGAGATAGAGAAGGGAGAAAGAGAAGCATGAGAGAGAGAGAGAGAGAGAGAGAGAGAGAGAGAAAGAGATAGACAGAGAAAGAGACGAAGTTCTCTGTCTATCTCTGTCTATCTCTGTCTATCTCTGTCTATCTCTGTCTCTCTCTCCCCTTTCTTCGCTCTCTCCCTTCTCGATCTCACTCTCATCTGTCTCTCTTACCTCTCATTCTCTCTCACCTTTATCTCTTACCTGTCTTTATGACCGCTCTCTCTCTCTTTCTCTCACCCAACCACGCATCTCTTTCTTCTTCTCTCTACCTCACTCTCTCTCACATTTGCTCATTCTATCTGCCTCTCCACGGCTTATAGTCCTTGTTACAATAATATCATATACAGGGTATTAACAGAAACAGCTTTGAACGGAAGCTGCCACGGCAGCCGCCGGAGCCGCCGGCAGTTGAACATTTCAGTAAAAGTCGAAGAGTTTGCACTTAATGTGACACTTAATGAGCATAAAATATGTTAAATACCAACAGTTGTTGTTATTGTCCCGCTCAAAGAACAGTTCCAGATGTGAATGGAAAATTGTTGATGTGCGCCAACAGTTGGCCACTCAGATCATGTCTTAATCATGCTGTTGCCTTACGGCAATGTAAGTAGTACATATTTAAAGTTCAACAGAATTTTATAGAAAATAATTGTTGTCATAGATACTCAAGTATTTGCAAATAAAAAAAAAAGCAAAAATAAAAACTTTCTGTTTATGTAGCCCTCTCTTTGACAAGAGATTTCCAAATAGATTTAGAACATATTTCTTTTATTGCAATATCTCATTCAAGTATTTGAGCCAGAGATAATGCAAAATGCTTAGCAGAAGTTTACATTTAAAATATAAGAAAACCAATTAAATGAAACTAATGACAAAGCGCTTAATGTCGTTAGAAACCCCTTTTAAGACCAATTATGATTTGGGAGTATCAACAAAGATTTCAGTCGAAACCACTATGGAAAGAGTTAAACTTCGCTAGCAATGGTACCAAATATACACAATAGTTTCTTAACGAAATCAATAGACACTTAAGTAGACTATAATATCAGTTAAATAACTTGGCTCTTAACATCTATGCGCAGGCGTTAGCTAAAATGATCCTTTAGATAATCCTTTCATGTCGTTCTTATATTTGCCTCTACATATTACATACCTGTTGTAATTTGTATAGATTTACGTACAGCCTTTAGGCAGCCATCTTAAATGCTAAAACGCAATCAAAAACTCGGTTTATGTCAACTGGCAGTTGTAAAACAAATACAAACTAAAAATAAATACAAAATAAAAATAATTAAAAAAATATTTCTAAAATTGTACATTGCTTAAATTATTAAACTGATTTCTACTATATATTAAATATGCATTGATTACACAAAATTGTTTTTCCGTGCGAGAATTATTATTGAAATACAATGGATACAACTGCTCATAGAAATGCATTTATTGGCTGTTATTTGACCACAATTGCAGAACACGTGCAGTTCTCGAACTGCACTCGAATACTTAATGGTACTCAGCACATGGAACACTTTAACGCCTTGGCTAGTCTAGTGTTCAGAGTGAAAAGTTCAGGATTAAGTTTTCAGGCAATGCAATGCTTGATTTTTCATGCGTAGCTGTAGTAAAACTTGCTTAACGAGTTGAATACGATGAAATTGCCATGGGGCAGAAATGGATTTGGAGTAGGAGTTGATGTCGGTGTTGCTTAAGCGCTGCAACGGAAGCAACGCATAAACAAAACAACAAGAAAGCACACACAAAAGGCAACATTTTGCAGCATTTTGGTGCTGCTGCACGCATTAATAAACACAGCAGACAGCCAAAAGTGTTTAATAACTCACTGCGGCAACAAGGGGCGAGCAGCACTGCAATTGGTCTTGACTGCAAATGGGCAAATGAGCGAATGAGCAACTGATCTGGCTGACAGCTGCTTGCAACAACTTTGTGCCCTTTTAACATTGTTATATTGATTTATTCAAGGCAAAATTTCCGAGGAAATCCAGCGAATATCAAAAGTTTTTGAAAATAGGAAAACAACGTAAATGTATAGGACTGCTTTTTCAGAAAATATTTCAAATATAATACATATACATATATATATATACATAACTCAAGTATTGAAGCATAGAGAAAGGATTTATTTAAATATTTTATTTGAAATTTTTTTTTAGAGTGATTTGTTGGCTTGTCCTTCTAATTCATAGACTGCTACTCATTTCTTTCATAAATCTTATTTGTATTATCATTAGCTCCATTTCTGTAATAAGATTTTTGTTCATAAGATATTGTTTTCTATATTCATAACTATATAGTTGATATTATAATGCTTTGTAGACAGCTGACTGAATAAGTAATAACTTAAAAAATTTAATGATCTTCAAAAACCTTTCTACCATAAGAACTATCGATTTTATCAATTACGGAAAAAAGCATTGACTAATTAAGCCAATATTTCTTTTAGCCCCTCTCTCTATCTCTCTTTCTATTAATTACATATTCATTATTCTTTTTAATATTTAGAAAACTTCAAGAATACATATTAAAATATTTGACATAAGTTGGCTTTACCTATATATCAAATCGAATTTATATATTATCTATTCAACATTCCAGAGCTTAGCTTAAAATAGCAGAAACTGTTAGGCCTGACTCACAACATTAATAAGCTCTTGTCTTTGCTCTGCTTCATTTCTCTAGGCATAAAAGTTTTAAGAAATAGCCCAAAGCCCAGACAATGTACGAGGATCAGAAAGTAGCTATCATCAGTTAGCTAAAGTAATATTGAAATCGAATAACCTTAAAACTTTAAAATATAAAAATAAATCAATTATACCTATGTATTATATAATTATGCAGCTCCAACATATATTAATTTTTAAAAATAAATATAGATCAGAAAGTTAAGATCATTTATACATTTCAGTTGCTAGCCATGTCCCTATTCAGTAATCTGTTATTTCTTTTGATAACTCACCGTCTCAATGTCTTTGCTGCAGAGGGAGAGTTTCAGGCAATCAATTTATAAATAAACCAACGAGACGACAACGCGACGCATTTTCATGTTTTGTCGCTGATCTGTTTTTGCAACATTTGCACAAGAACTTAATTAGGCAGATGCGATAGATACGATAGAGAGCAGACACAGTGACGCCGGCAAACACGCACATACACACAGTCAAACACACGTACAAACACAGACATGTATGTTGATGTACATCTATATACTACATACATATGTATAGGTGCAGTAATTGCTTAAAATAGCATCATGATTAATTGATAAGGCAGCATCTATCTAGTAATTGCAATTTCAATATTAGGATTACAATTCTTGTTGCCCGCTGCACTTGAACAACAACAAACGAAATACGCTTCCAACGTACAGAAACAGAAGCACACAGAACGAACTGCGATGGATGGAGGACAACCGCGCGTTACGACAGCCGATTTGGCACTGAAACGAAGCGACTTACGAACACAGCATCAACGGCAGCATCGACATCAGCAGCAGTAGCAGCAGCAAGCCGACGATGCCGAGGCCGAGTACCATTCATAGACCCGAGACGAAATGCAGACAAAATCCATCGTTGGTCTTCGGCGTCATGTTAGGCGAAGGCCCAACCAAGGCACTTGGTCCCAATACTGTTTTAGAAAATCAGATTGGCTAAGCAGATGGCATCATGCTATATTATTCCATTTGATAGCTAATTCACTTATCATAACATATCACTTAACCATATGCATATCGCATAATACAATATTAACTAATAAGCTTCAGCCAAAAGAAAGCCGTAGACAACCTAATTGGACTAGGATACCCTTTTTATAACATATATACTATTTATATAAATACATATAAAAAAATATGTATATCTATATGTATGTGTGTATATAAAGTTCTTCTTGCTTTTTGGACTATGATATAGAAATAGGTAGAATTTTTGTTATGCTTTGATTATTTCAAATCGGAGCTCAAATTTATTGGTAAAGATATGAATTAAATCTTTTTCAAAAATGCTTCGTTTAGTACTTGAAAATTATAAATGCATTTTGGGATTTAAAAAAAAAATTGAATAAGGTTTTGTAAATATAAAATATGAAAAACTATTTAAGCAATTAGAAAATTTTCTTGATATTTAATTTAAAAAGGCGTAGCTCTCTTAAAAACCCGTTAATAAATAAATAATAAATAAATAATAAATAAATTTTTAAAAATAAAATATAGAAAACTATTTGAATTAAATTCTAAGTTCCATTTAGTATTCTTAAGAAACACTTGAATATTTTACAAGATTTTTAAATTCAGATTGTTAGTGTCAGTTGAAAAATACTTAATTTCTTTATCCCATTTATTTTTCTAAGCTAAATGATTGAATTGCTATATATATATATATATATATATATATATATATATAAACACAGTATTTTTTAAGGCATTGCCAAAACGATGGGAATGCAGTACACTATCGACTTTTAATTCCTCATAATGTGACTATGGTTTGGCTTTAATTCCATATATATACATGTGTTGTTAAGTTACTAAATTTGATTGCACAGGTTCTACACTTAATAATAAAATAAAAAAAGTAGTTTTTAAGTTTAAACATTACTTATCAAAATGATCAAAATTATCAAAATTTATGAGGCAGCAGATTAGGAAAATAATATAAACAATCTAAAAAGTATTCCATAATATATATATATATATATATATGTTAAAGTAGATAGTCTATAGCATATATATAAAAGTAGATAGCTTTTAGCATATCTTAAAATATATAGTCTACTATACATATATAAAACTAGATGGTCTATACTATACAGCAGATGGCATTTTTAAACATAAACAAACAATATTGCGGCAGCAGCGTTTTTACATTTCAGTCTCTGCATTTAACATGCACATTTAACATGCACATGTTAAATGTTAATTTAATGTATGTTCATGCTTTGAGTGCGTACCAAATCTTAATGCCCGTTGAAATATGCATATGCTAAATGTAATGTGTGTGTTAGACGAATTTAGAAGTAGTGCTAGTTTTTATGGCCTCCATGTGAGAAAAATATGTACAAACATTTTAAAAGGGGTGCTAAATGGAAGGGCATAGAAGAATAAAATTTATGATTTATTTTAAAAATACATTAAACAAAAAGAAAATATAGTTTTTACAGAAATCAAAAGAGTTGCGCCTAACCAGAGCAGTTTTAACATATATGCTTGTAACATGCCTATCCACTCTTAAGCTGTTCTGCTCAATGCCATGCCCCAAGTTGAGTTAACAGCAGAGGCAAGATAACATTATATGGCCTGTAACAGAGCTCTGTTAATACTCACCCCTTGAAATCAAAGCTTAATATACTGTTATGTTAGAATGTTAAAATTTACCACTATTACCCCAAAAGCTTTGCAGAAGCTTTAACAGTTGCGATGTTTAGCTTTCAACTCTGTAAGCTCAACTTTGTTTCGGCAGTTAACAGAAGCTTTTCACACTTGACGCTTCCTTATTGACTTTGGCAACTGACAGTTCGAAAGGCAACGGTAAAAGCAACGAATGTCCGGGAACAGCTGATTGTCAAAATAAGCAACCCCCTGCCCGACCCATAAGTCGACGTTGACAACCATCAGCTGGAGCTACAGCAGAAACTTTCTGCTCAATGTTTCAGTTTGCACACGAATGGAAACCCGTGGAACCATGCGGTGCGTCACCAAGTGACGTCCACACTTAGTCAAAGCAGTTACGCGCGACTCAGTGTGTGTGCGTGTGTGTGTCTGCTTGCATGTGTGTGTGTGTGTGTGTGTGTATGGAGTAACATTGAAAAACGCCTGGGCCAGACAATTGCCAAAAAAAGTGTAAAGAGCAAACAACGAACAAAGTGAGCCTTGACCTCAAGCAATGCAAGTGCAATACGAACAATAACATCACAGCAAAGCCAGCAGCAGGCAAAACAAAAGCTAGACAATCGGAAAAGTCAGAAGTGGGCGCAACACGACGAGTCACTGCGAGTCAATTAAGCAACTGTAAAAAAGCTAAAATAATAACGAGAAATTAAACGTGCATCAAAACGGAGCGAAAGCGAAAAACCTTTATAGAACACTGACGACAAAAAAGAAGAAGAAAGCAAAAAGGAAAACTGTGGCAACAGCAGCAGCAACAGCATCCGCTGCTCTGGAGCATGGGTTCATGCTTTAGCAGCTGTGTTACCGCCACCGCCACCGCCACCGCCACCAACTCCACCGCCACAAATTCCACAGCCTCGTCGTCTTCCTCCTCGGCTAGCTCCACCACCTGCGTTACGGCCGTCGCCAACAGCTGGCTTCTTTGGTAAGCCCCAAACGCCCTGCCCACATCCACTGTCCGCCCCCATTCGTATAGGGCATACAGTTAATTAAAATTGCATTTTGTTTACCTTGTGGCACACATACACGCACAGAGAGAAGAGCGTGTGCTCTGCCAGGGCAAATCCAATAAGCGTGCTGCTGACTTGGCAATCAATAGGGGCTTAAAGGTAGCGACCCCGCCCACCGGGCGCTTGTAATTAGTGCAATTCGTGTGCTCAACTGCTATTAAACGTCACGCTCTATGCCAGTTCTTAGCTTTAAATTGCATTGGCAAACATATTTTACGGCGCACCACCGAGCACCCGCCGGGCTCTGTGGCAGGGTCAACAGCCTAAAAGTATGCAACGGCTGAGTGCGTGCTGCCGCAAAACAATGGCCGGAAGGGGCTTCACTTGCCCCATGCCCATACACATAAGCAACACAAACGAATGACAATTCCGATTTATGACACTCATCCAATACCCTCTACCTCCAAGCTTTCACAACATTTTATAGATGATGAGAGGGCGAAAAAGTGTTAATAATCCGACTTACGTAAGTTAAGAATTTCACCTCATCTAAAGTCTTAGCTTCCCTTTACATATCTTAACTTCTTTGTCAGATTCATAATGCCATTAGACCCATTGACGACAGATGTAGAGTAAAGCTAACAGATTTCATTGTTCTTTTCACAGGCGCCGTCCCAGGGCGAGAGCTCGTGCAGCTGCCGCAGCGGGCACAGATGAACCGGAAGCAGAGCTGCTGTCGGCCACCAGTGAACGATGCCAGCGACGTGGCCTTGTCTATCGCATATTAAAGTTCAAGCGGAAACAACAATGTCCACAATTTCTGGACAGGTATTGGGAACAGCAGCCCAGCTATGCGAAGCTGCAGAACGACAGGTGAGCACAGCTAATCAACGACTCAATCAGTTGAACAAATATTGTCTTCTACTAGTGCCCTGACGGATATACAGTTGCAAAATCTGGATGTACACAAGCTGCTGAATGCCACGGCGACGCCCAGCAAGGAGACGGAGTTGCAAAACTATACACGCATGGCTAGCTCAAGGGCCAGCTCTTCACTGGACCTGGAATGGGAGCATGAGTACTCACAGCTGCGGCAGTATCAGCAGCGACAGCAAAAGGAGCAGCAACCACAACAGGATACACCGCCCCGAGTGGCCTCCCAGCAATGCTACGCTTCTCTGGACCAATTGACGACGGCTGCGTCGCTGGCCGCCAGTCATGGACGACATGCGGCAGCGCGTCAAGCCCGACTGAGCGGCCAGCGTTATGGTGGTTCCTTTACGCGAACCTCCTGCTGCTCCTCAACACAAAACTCCTGGTCACACATATCCACGCCCGAGTCGCTCGAATGGGACATCGATGCCGAGCAGGAGCAGCAGCGTCAGCTGCGGCAGGAGGATGACAACCTGGACGAGGAAACTCTTAAACTATTACATCAAATCGAACAGCTCAAACACCATGTGCTTCAAGAGACTGGCGACGGCTTAAGCATGGGCGTAGGCGCTAACGTAGGCGTGGGCGTGGCCGTGGAGGAGCTCAGCGAAGGACTACAATTTCGAGCATCACATTTTGGTGTGACAAATGGCTCAGAGCTGGAGATCCATATTAGTTGATCTGTGCACTGTATATATAATTCGTGTAAGACATGTAAAAATACTGAACAAGAGACCTACAAAGGACCTGCAAGGAATGATAGAGAAGTGCTTCTAAAAAGCTCCAATATAACTGACGTTTTAAAATACCTTTTAATAGCAGATATTTAATGCTTAAGTTGGAATCACTCCCAATAAGAAACATTTATGAAATGTCGAACAGAAAACTTCACTCAACATGAGCAATACTTCGGACAATCGAAGAGGCTCTTGCAGATATGTGAGATATTTAGCTAAAGTAGCTATAAGACAAAGTATAGATGTTATTACGATAATTTCGACGTCAATTAGTACGTTGCTAATATGTGTAAAAGCTGTTATAGAATATTATTTGATCCGATTACGATACCTTATGAAGCCTGACAGCGGCTGGCTATAGAGAATTCTGCATAAGACCAAGACATATGTATATAAGATTATAAAATATCATACGATCTGCAAGTGTACACTGGATATAAGATCCAATTTCTATAAGAAACATCTGACAAAAATATATTAAGTTACCTATAAACTTTGCATGCGATGTCAAGGAAACTCGAAAACAAAATTATTGCGCAATTTAAGTGCCTCGCAAACTACACACACAGACAGACACACACACACAGCTTCTTTTGACTCTGGTGCTACAAAGTAGCCTTACTCACACAAGAACTATCCTATGAAAGATAAAAACAAAGATTTGGAAACCGAAGAACTTACTATATTGCAATTACAAAGAATATGCTAACTTTTTATTATGTTAATAATATTTGCTAAATGATTTTCTAACAAAGATTCACCCACTTGAACAAGAGAACTTACAGAACTTATATAGCAGTTAAATATAATTAAATATGCTCCAGTTCGTTATGTTTTAGAGATTTATGCTTTATGCAGTTGATGAAGTTATGACGATGGATATGCTATTAATGCACATAAATGCAAGAAATAATTATATTTTCAAAGTTTATTAGGGAAAATGCAAACAAAATACAAAGGTACGTCCTTATAGAGCGAGTATTACACATGTATGTATATGTATATGTATATGTATATTTAGTAGTAGTTGTTGTTGTGGTTCAACTGCGACCGACAAAGAATCTTTTCCTTTTAAGACTAAAACTAAACTGATTAAAGAAACGTTTGTAGAAAAGAAATTTGTCCACCTTTTGTAATTCATTTTACTTTTTTTTTGATGTTGTTTTGTATTTGGCTCGTTTTCATTGCGATGCTCTTAAGTCTTTATGGCAGTTCTCGTTGTGTCCCGAGCTCTAACCGAAGATGCCGGTTATCTTATTCTTTAATTTTTCAAGCGTACTGGGCGTCGGCTGCAATTGAAGAAGAGAGATCTGTGTGTAAGTATATGTGGTATATAAATTTAAAAGGATTGCTTCAAGCGGTTATTCTAATTGGAAAATTCTGATCGCTTATAGATCTAAGCCCTCAACTGAACCTATCGATTTTTCTTATGGCTTTGGTAACACTTTAACTTCAAAAGACAACAAATATTTTATATTTTTTTCTTATTTTATGTTTTTTCTTAAGATTTTTCTATAAATTTCTGGATGGACTAATTTCAAAAATATTAGAAAGCATCAAGTGCATTGAAATAAACCATTCTAATCGTTGAAGAGCTCTAAAAATTTATTTAACTTACCGTAGTTTCAGCTGGTTGCGCCTGTTGCAGCTGACCATAATTGGAGCCATAGCTATGGCCATAGGCCTGGCCTGTTAAGTCCTCGACTTGTTGTTGTCCGTAGTCATCTTTGTCTTCCAGCAGTTGCTGTTGCACTTGGCCAGCATCGCTGTCCTGTTTGTAGTTGGAGTTCCAAGCAAGTTCCTGTTCCTGCTGCTGTTGTCCACCATCGATTTGACCTTCATTCCATCCCAAGTCAACTTGCTGTTGCTGACCCAAGTCCTCGAGCTGAACTTGTTGCTGTGAAGCAGGCTCTTCGCCCGCAGCACGACTCCATTTGCCTAACGTTGCGCTGGCCGAGGCCGATGAACCATCGGCTCCGCCACTGGCTGCAGCTGAAACGCTGCCAACAGGCATATTGAAAGTGTAGTCCGTACGACGATAATCGTAGCCTACGTTGGCATTACTTGGAATGCCGCGATGATAAGGCAACGGCGGTGGCGTGGACACCATGGGCATTGGGCGAGGCAGAGGCGCCTTCGTTTCACCCTCCAGACCGGGCTCATCGTCTTCATTGTATGACTCCTCATAGATATGAGGCGGCTGGTCTCCGCGATCCTTGGAGAAAATTGGTTTCTGCACGGCGGTAGCATTGGTGGTGCCTGCATCGACCACATAGCCTGCATTGCCTTCAGGCAGACTGATCAATCCCTGACTTAGCAGGTACAGTGTGCGACGCCAGATACTCAGCTCCTGGCCATACTTCTTGTACTTAGTTTGCAGCTTTTGCAAACGCCAGTGCTGCTTGGACTCCCAGTTTTGCACCTCGGACTCTGGCAACAGCTTGCGATGATTTAAGTAGTTCAGATATTGGAGTTCCTCGTCGCGGAACTGCTGCAATTCAATAAGTGATATGCCATAGTATCGAGCCACGGCCATGATGCGTTCGAACTCCTTGAGCTGCCACTCCTTGATATCACGTCGCTTTTCATCATCCTGACGCTGCCAGTCGCGCAACTGACGCAGCGTCATATTCTGGGTGCCAATGAATCCGTACAGACGATCGCGCTCCTTCTGCTGCCAGGCCGTGAGCACAATGAGATTGCGATGTTCAAGCAGCTGCTCCTTGGCCATGTTGCCAACGTATATGCTCTGCACGGGCGCCAGTTGTTCTAGCTCCACGCCATAGAGACGGGCTAGCTCATGCTGATAGTTGTTGTCCGCTGCGAGAAGCTGCAATAGCTCCCCAGCGGTGATAATAACACTGGAGCCAATCTGACGTAGACGCTGACGCTCCTGCTCCTTCCAGTCACTGCCCACTATCAGGCTATCCACAATTAGACCCATGTCGGCCAAGCGCTGCAATTTCTCATGAATGAAGATGCGTAGCTCCTCAACGGTCACACGATACTGCGGCGCCAGAATGGAAACATCGCGCAACAGCAGCTGCTCTAATGCATTGCGATTGATGGGATGACGCACAACGGTCTGGTAAATACGCTCCAATTCCTTCGTTTGCCAGGACATACCAAAGCCTCGCTCAATCTTGCGCAAATCCAGGAGACGCTTCAGCTCATTCTTATACCACAACTTTAGCTCTTCAATGCTGATTTGATATTGACGCACCACGTCGAGCAAATGCTTCTGGTCATTAAGCAGCTTCAGTTGCAGCTCCTCAATGGTCCACTTTTGACGACGACGTAACTGCTGGTTAATCAAATCCTGAATATGCTGCTGCTCCTTCAGCTGCCACTCCTCAACGGTTATGGAGCCTGTGATGAGGCCTTCATCGGCCAATTGTCGGGCTGATTCCTCCAGCCACAAATGGATGTCCTCGACGGTGATGTGATATTGCTGTGCCAGTCGCTCATAGTTGGGCTTGTTGCGTATCAAGTACACTTGGAACTCCTGCCAGGTCATGGGCTTCAGATGGGCTTCACTGCGCAGTCGTGCAGTCAAATATTCCTTCCAGGGCTGAGAATTTGCAGACTGATCCGTAATGCTTACGATCTCTTCGTAGCGAAAATTATCTTGCGGCTTCTCGATGACACCAATTAGCGATAGACGTGCCGTTTCCTTTTGCACCCACTGTTCGACCTGCTCCACGGTCAGATGATAGTCATTGGCAATGCCATTCAGACGTGACTTGTCGCGCTTCAAGAAATCCACAAACTCTTGATAGGTAGCCGAATCCTGCTGTTGCTTGAGCCAGTTGTTGAAGCCGTTGCTAATCTGTTTCTGCCATTGAGTTTGCTTTTCGAATTGCACAAGTCCTGAGTTCTGCAGACGCCGCAGCTCATCGTGCAGCCAATTATCGACCTGCTCAATGCTCACGTGATTTGTCTGCGACAAGCTCTGCAGATGGGCGTGATCCTTGCGCAGCTCACGCTCTACATCCTCATAGTTAAGGTCCTGCTGGTGCTTCAATAGCAGCTCAATGAGACGCTCCTGCTCGGCAATCTGCCATTTGGCCAATTTCTCCACCTTGGCATTGCCCGTAGTCTTCAGGTTGATCAGTTGCTGGCGCAACCATTGCTCAATTTCCTCCACATTAACTGAATATTGATTGCCTAATTCCCGCAGATGCTCGCGTTCCTTTTGCAGTTCCATTTCAAATTCCACATAGCTGATGTGAGTTTGCTCTTTCAGTAGCTTCTGCAGGCGCTCCAGCTCCGTCACTTGCCAAGCGCTGAGCGTTCTCAGCGAGGTCTCCGTGTTTCCTCTCAAACGTTTTAGCTCCGATATCATCCATTCCTCAATTTGCTCCACATTCAGACGATACTGATCAGCCAACTGATTCAGATGCGCACGATCCGCCAACAGCTTCTGCTCAAACTCGGCTGTGGACAATCCATTCTTATATTCGGCAATCAGCGACTTGATGTAGTCGCGCTCAACCAATTGCCACGTTTGCAGCTGCTCAATTTCAAATTGTCCCTTCTTCTGCAGATCGTCAATGACCTGCTTGATATACGTCTCAATTTCCATAACGCTCACATGATGCTGCTCAGCCAGGTTGAGCAGGAAATGACGATCGTTCTGCACCTGTAAATATGAAATTGAGCGTTGTTCAGGAAACAAATTATTTACAATTTAAAATATTTATCATTTGAATCTATTTTAATTTCAAATCGATTTTCCTAACAATTATCAAAAATAGTTTTCCAACCTTAAATACTTCAAATCTTAGTTTCAAAATAAAGTGGCAATAAAAATTGTTTACGTTTGGAATTTTAGGCATTTATGGCATTGGGAAAATTATATCACTTTAACCGTTCTATTTAAAGTTTTATTAGTCCAAAAATAGCAGCAAAAATGTGTTAAGTTATTTTACCTCGGCGACTCAGTCATTCAATTTGAGTTTGGTGAACTATAAATAAATGAAAATGAATAAGCTAATAGACGACCCATTACTATGCAATTAAAATTTGTCCAATTAAGAATTTGAAATTGAGTTTATGATATTCAAATGAAAGAACTATTAGGGATTCTATTCTCGATTTTCCTAGATCAATTCCATTATTTTATGAGCTATCCGGCATACAATTATGCATATAATTGGTTAGGATTCAACATATAACGTATACGCACCTTGGTCGCGAACTGTTCCATTGTTATGTTGGACTGTGACTGAAGCAGCGACAGAATGCGCTGGTGTTCGGCCTGCTGCCAGGCTGTCAGCTGCTCAATGTTGAGCTTGCCCTGCTGCTTGAGGCGTTCGATCTCGGACTGGACCCAGCGTTCGATTTCTTCAACCGAGGTGTGGTACTGGAAGGCCATGGTTTGCATGTGTTCGCGATCGTTTCGCAGCTCGGCTTGCAGATCCTCGGCGCTCCATTGTTTGTTCTGCTTGAGCAGCGTCTCGAGGCGTTCACGTTCGGCCAGCTGCCAGGAGGTGAGATTGTCAATCTGCAGCTTGCCCTCGTCACGCATGCGTGCCAGCTCCTGTTTCATCCAGTTTTCAATCTCCTCCACCTGCACGCTGTACTGTGTCGCCAGTTTCTCCAGCAGCTCGCGATCCTGACGCAAGCGCGCCTCCAGTTGCTCCGTGGACTTGTATTGCTGCTGTGCTAGATTCTTCAGATGTAGACGCTCCACTTCTTGCCAATTGGTCAGCTTCTCGCTGGGCTTGAGCAAGCCCATGCCAATGAAGCGCTGCTCCTCCTTCTTCACAAACTGTTCGATTTCCTCGATCTGCACGTTGTGCTGCATGGCCAGACTCTGCAGACGTGCCCGATCCTCAAGCAGCCACTTGTGGAACTCCTCGACCGTATAGTCACGCTCCTGCACCATGTTCGTCAGATTTCCACGCCATTCCAGCTGCCAGTTCTTCAAGCGCTGCATCTCGATGAGGCCTTCACTTTGAAGTTTCTGAATTTGTTGCTTAATCCATTGCTCGATCTCTTCAACGCGCACTTGGTTCTGTTGAGCCAGGCTGTACAGATGGGTCTGATCCTTGCCAATCTTGGTCTCCAGCTCCTCAATGGACAAATCGTTCTTGTTGATCAGATCCAGCAGGCGCTGGCGCTCAATCTTCTGCCAGTTGTTCAGCTGCGTCTCCATGTGCAGTTGTCCCTCACGCTGCAGACGCTCGCCTTCGGACTGGATCCATTGTTCAATCTCGGATACCTGCACATTGTAGGTCTTTGATAAATCGTTAAGACGGGCACGATCGGCCAGTAGCTTGCGTTCGAATTCATCAATAGAATATTTGTTTTGCTGCACTATCTTGGCTATTTGCTGGCGTTCAGCCACCTGCCAGTCCTTCAGGGCCTCTGCCTTGATCAGACCCTCGCCTTGGAGGCGCAGTAGCTCCTTCTTGAGCCAATCCTGAATATCCTCCACGCGCACCTGATACTTGTTAGCCAAGTCAAAGAAGTGCGACTGATCATTCTTGATCTTCGCCTCCAGCTGCTCTACGGTCAACGTGTTGTGCTGCACCAAAGCTTGAAGTCGCTCGCGTTCGCGCTGCTGCCACGAAGCCAACTGCTGTTCCACATCCTTGAGCAGACCCTCGGATTGGAACTTCTTGAGCTCGCTCTTAATCCACGATTCAATCTCCTCCACGCGCACCTTGTAGGTGCGTGCGAATTGCTCCAAACGTGCGCGATCATTAATGATGGAGTTCTGGAACTCCTCGATTGTCAACTGATTCTGGCCAATGATGTTGCGCAGCTGAGCGCTAACGCCGACCTGCCAATCCTTGATATGACTCTCCAGCTGCTGCTGGCCGACCAATTGAAGGCGCTGCAGCTCCTCGCGTTGCCATTTCTCCAGCTCATCGACACCCACGCGATATTTGGCCGCCAAATTCTGAACATAGCTGCTGTCTTGGGCCATTTGCTGCTGTAACTCGCTAAGGCTGCCACGATGCTGTTTCAGCATGGATTCCAGGCGAGCGCGCTCCGAACTCTGCCATGCACTTAATCTGGTCACCTGCTCGTTTTGCTCCTTGATAAGATCGCCAATGCGCGCGACCTCACCGCGCAGCCACTGTGTCTGACTCTGCATGTCGCCTTGATACTTGATGGACAGATCCTTGAGCCGCTGCTGGTCGTTGAGTATTGAGCTCTGCAGCTTGGCAATCGTAGCGTTGTGCTGGCGAATGAGCTCATTTAGCCGCTGCTGCTCCTGAGCATTGTCTGCAATCAGTGAACCGGACTCGTGTATAGTTATTTGATTTGGTATTTGGGGCACTTGTGGACTTAGCGAGTCGTTGACCTTATTGAAGTAGACATAGAGGCGCTGCAACTCCTGACGCTGCCATTGCTGCAGTTGTTCTTGCGAGATGCCGTTCTTCTGCGCCAGCTGACGTAACTTAGCGCTGTTCTCCATTTGCCAGCGATCAAAATCTTGGGACGTGTAGCTATTCTGATGGATGAGCCAATCAAGGCGACCACGTTCTTGTTGCTGCCAAGCAGTGGCATCCTGCACCTGTGCCTGATACTGAGCCAACAACGCCTGATAACGCGACAGCTCACGACGATGGAACTCCAAAAGAACGGGCAGAGTCGTATGATAACGATGAGCCACAGCCATTAGACGGTCCTCATGCTGATGCTGCCAATCCTCAAGACGCTGTGGCGTTGTTAGATACCAGAAGAAGTGTTCACGCTCTTCGCGCTTCCACTGCTCATCGCGCGGCACCGAGGATTGTCCAAAGGGTCGGTTATTATCGTAGACCAGCTGACCGTTCTCCCAGCGTTGATGGGCTTCCGAGCCATCCACAGAGCTGGTGCCATCGGCATGCGTCGTAATGGTCTTATTGAATCGCCTTACTGTCACCGTTGACCTCGCGCCGGGTGAACTGGACTGGCCAAAGGATGGCATTGCCGTTATTTGGCTATATGAGGGCAGAGGCCTGCCACCATCGATGCTAACCACCGATCTGTAATCCACCACATTCGGCTCCATTCTTTGTCCAATCCAGTCCTGCAACGATGACTGGCGAGTCAGAGTTGTGGCTCGGCTCGAGGGCATAGTGATCGGATTCTGTGGGTAATAACCATGAGTCAACTGAGCATTTGCATTACCGCCATAGCTGTTTGATATCTTGGTGGCTTCAGTGCAGTTGCGATGCACCAAATAGGTCTTGCCATCTATTACCTTCACCTCGGCTGGGTATTCATAGTTTTTGACCTCATCGAAACCACTTAAATCGACGGCTTTAAACGGATTCAGTTCCACAATTTGCTGTGTGCTACCAGTTGCATAGTTCTCCAGCACCTCCGCTGCTTTGCTATCGAAAAATGCTGGCTGCACAATGTTGTTATAGCTGAGAAGTCCCTGGCGCATATCATTCACCAGCTTCTGACTTATCTGCAGGCAGAGAGCATCCAATTCGCTTGCACTCTTGCCACTGAGCTGCTGGATGTTTGCTAGAAGAAGAGGAAACAAACAAATTCAGTATAACTCTAGCTTAAGCCATTTACCACCCTTCTATGCGATTCGCCTTCATTCTTCTCAAACAAAATCTGCGTTCTTTCACCCCAAACCTTGAGACCAACTAGAAAAACTTAGTATAGGGTCAGTTCCAGTTTGCGATTACGTCCTCTGATATGGAATTGCACTAGATTAAGGAAACACATGGTGTCACGGCCAATAATGATGTCACTTTTAATTTCAGACACAAATATAAAAATAATCTTGAAAATGTCAATTGAATATTAAGCATACTCTGGGTCTTTCCAGCAATTAATTATGCTTTCTCTTGGCGTTGATACCTCTATCACTAAGTAGACCGATTAAGGTATTATGTTGACTTAAATCTGAATTGGGCGCAGTGAATAAACTAACTGATCTCTAGATGACCCTTTCCCCACTATCAGCCTTTCATAATCATATATGTTGTGTAGATTAAAGTAATCACGCCTTGTTTTATGGTGTCCGGTAATTAAGAAATCCATTTAAATTTAGGTAATTCATGTTTACTATCTACTTTCATTTGAATATAAATCAATGAACTTCTGAACACAATAAATGCATCTAAGAATATATAAAACAAAACAGAAATGATGCACATAAAAAAAAAAAAAAATATATATATATATATATATATATATATATATATATATATATATATATATATTTATATATACCTTATAAATCAAAATATATGCAATTACATTTGTATTAATTTAACCATATTTATGAAATGAAATATATTCTGATAATAGAAAAAATAAGAATAAATATATATATATAAGGCGTGTCTACACATGTGTATATTCCGAATTTCAAGTCTTTAAAGCTGCATAAAATATATCAGAATTTCTACAAAACATGGATAAATGCATAACTGTTCCGTCTTTTGAGTAAGGTCTTAACAGTAACTCACGTCGCTCTAGCTCTAAAACTATGGAAGATAAAATTCTACACGCGTAGATATATCTATTATATATATTTGATCTTGGATTGTCAACTTACTAGCATTTCTGTTATTCCAGATAAAGTATTTCCTGCCTTGCCACTCTCCCATGGGCCTAGATATAGATAGATATATCCTTTATATTCCAAATTTCAATACTCTAAGACTTTTAATACTAACATCTCTATTATACCAGTTATAGTATTGCACGTCTTCCACGCCCCCAGTGCATTGAAAACGCTTAACAATATATAATGAGATGAGAATACCCACGAGTAAATGTTCTAAATTTCAAGTCTCTAGCTTAGAAATACGGACATTGCACAAAGCTAATATAGTCTTTTAGTTCTTGAACGAGGTCGAATTAGCTGATACGTATTATAAAGCTTCTTAAGAACTGCTAAGACTATTATGACATTTGCGCTTAGATCTTTGCTAAGTCACGAGAGATAATCCGAATTTAAGCTAATTGGCTAAGGTATAAGAATCTAATCTGATCTGTATAATCAATCAGCCAAGTACTCACCACTCCAAGGCAATGAGTGCCCCATGATATTGCTGCTGCCCGTAGACATGGCATTGTATTCCTGAGTTAGTCGATTGGCAAACTCGCGCACCTCATTCAAGTGATTGTAGGCCCAGCTGTTTAGCTGCGTTTGACCCTGCAGCAAAGCCTGCGACTGTCCGTTGACGCCGCCAACGCTGCTGATGCCGCCGCCGCCGCCAAACGATGAGGAAGAGCTGCTGCTATAGCTCGATCTGAAGCTGTTGTAGCCCTGGCAGCTGGCCAGTGCCAAGAGCAGCGCACACACGCCCAGAGCTCGCATTCTGGGCTAACTAGAGCGGAGTTCAAAAAGAAAACTGTGTCATTCATAAATATTAAATGTGTTACAAATAATTACAAGTGTGTACTTATATTACGTAGCTAGGAAAAAATACAGTAAAATGAACAGAAATTGAAAAGTTTTTGTATTTGGTTGATAACCGCATGGCGCACGAATCTAGTTCAGTCTACATAGCCAGGGATTATCACACAACTGAGGATCAGAAAAGGTTAGCCAGCCGATAATGTTAATGGTAGCACATCATTTTTTTCATTCTTTTTATTTTCGTCGAAGCAGTAGCTGCTGTCTTTGAATGTTTCACATTTATAATAAATTTATTTTATTTTATTTTCAATTTTTTTTTGGGTATCAAGTTGAGCAGCATCTTTCATCCGGTGCGCAATGTGTTTGTTGATAAGTCTGATGAGTCTAATGCGTACGTGGTAATTTTTGTTATTTTATACAAATATCATTTCATTTCAAAACTTATATATAGCTGGTATGAGCACAATATTGATTTATATATGTCTACATGTCGATTGATCCTCGAACCATAAATCAACAGCTCACGATGCATAAACAATGTTCCATTTGTGTCACATATGGTTATATATCTATTACGAACATCATTTTATTTCTGGAACAACTTATTTTGGGGGCTAACGCAGGTAGTGCAGCCAGAGTGCAGGCGGTGGCTATTTTTGGATGCTCTAAGCAGTAAGATATATGCGTATACATATATATACTAATAAGAGTGCAATCTGAATTTATATATTGTACTCACTCTCACTTAGAATTCACACTGAGAGCGTTCTAATTGCGCTCTGTATTGTTAATTAAAGAACTGATTAGAATTGGCAGGATCAGCACATAAGACACTATTTAATCACTTTCACTATAGCCGCCTGTACCGTTAGTTATTCCACCGAATTCGAAGAAAAGTCGATGCGCTGCGTTGCGCTGCCGAACAGCAACTGACAGTCGAGCGCATAGTGTAAAGCTTTTATTTGAAAATGTTTGAGAAAGGCAGAGAACGAGCGAAGGAGAAGGAGAGTAAGAGGAATTCTCTGCCTGCCGTTATCAATTGAATGAGTTTGGTTTTTCGAAAAAACAACATATGAAAATGTACTAAATATAAAACTCAGATCATTTTGGACGTCATAGTTCAAAGACAAAAACCGGTATTGGGATCTTCTAATGAGCTCATTTGTGACTCAGAAGCCGGTAGCTCTGGCCGATTTGATTTTGTTTACACCCAATGACACTAGATCAAATATAAAATGAATTTATTCGCAATTCATACACGTATATGATCTCATATAAGCCACTGGGTTGCTCAGAGAACATTTGTTACATGACAGCGACAGACTACTAAATGCTTTATGTGATGGATGTCAAGGGAGGCGCGTCATTTGAGTGGGTGTCTCAAGTGTTTCGGTGTTTAAAAGTGATTCAAAACAATTAAGAAGAAAATAGATACTTGCATAAATATTATGTAAATACAAAATTTTAGTGGCCTTGCAAAAGCCAAACAAAAATTTTATCATTTCAATCGAATTGGTCAAAATAAAAACCGCAAGGGAAAACCCATTTAGATATATTCTTCACATCCTAGTTGATATTGATATTTAAAATGTAGAACAAGTTCTTTATACTAAAAACCACAAAATAATAAGCTCACAGAACCACAAGACACATACATATATTAAATATAAATTTATACTTTATATTCAGCTTTGTGTCACAAAACATTTCCATAAATCATAGACATTTTTGCTTCACAAACTATAAAAGGTTTTTGCAACAGTTGAATGCATAAATCGCTAAAAATACAAATATAATTAAATTAAAAATAATAAATTAGTTAGTCACATAATTTTAAAATTCGTAGAATTTAAATCGTTAAATGATCAATTTGAGTGCATTCAAATTTGATTAGGTTATCCGGTTTTTTTTTTTTGCACAATTTTTCAACGCTGACTAATCTAAGATCTGTCAGCGCCATCTAGCGCCAAGTAGCACGCTTAATTAAAACACAGTATCAGCGGGAATAAATCCCAGTGTTGAACAAGCGAGTAAGTTCTTCGTTAGAGATGAGCATGCGAGTAGTGCAATTTAAGAAACTAATTCGATGCTTCTTAAATTGAACTAAATATAAAATATAAATAAAAATTTATTATATATAAAATCTACAGATACATTTTTATGAGAAAACTCTTAACATATTGGATTGTAGTGTAGCTAAAAGAAGTTGTAAAATAGAGAATATAATTATTCTATTTTAACATATGTACATTTTATAAGCTTAGTAGTAATTTTTCAGACTGCTCTCAAGCATAAATAGCTAAGCAAAAAATTTTTAAATTTTGTTGTATAATAAAATATATCAAAAGTTTGAATTTTGTTCTTTGGATTTCATTGCAGTGCTTAGTTCTCCCACTCGTTCAATATATCGTATACGCTGTCATCGCTAGGGAATGGGCTGGTATCTGTGAAATACGTGGTTCATTTGTTTTCAAAACGCCTATTAAGAGGCCTAAAATGTATCAGCTGGGCATCGTATACAAAACTACTGTAAAACAGAAACGGGCTCATAACTAACACACGGCCCAACAGAAAAATGGTTAGTACGTGGCATAACTGATATTTACGTATTAAAGACATAACCTATTGTTGGCTTAGGCGATGGCAACAGGCAAAGCAAAGGAAGAGGACCAACCAGCACAGATTCAACAGCAACAGACAACGCTTCAGTTAACATATCGCTTTGCCCTGTTCTTCATAGCTGGCTGCTTCGCAGCATTTACCTTCCATGCACTCACATCGTCGTCGGGATCGTTGTTGGGCTGGCGACTGCGACTGCATCATTTGCCAACTGCTCATTATTTACAGACGCGTGATGAGTTTGCTGTATATTCGGTGGATGAGCTAAATGCATTTAAGGAGTTTTACGATAAGAGCGTTAGTGATAGTGTGGGTGCTAGCTATACGGTGGCGGAACAGACCAACATTAAGGAGGCCTTGGGTGCACTGCGTCTCGCCCAGGAGATGTATATGACGGGCAAGGATGACAAGGCAGCTCGACTGTTCGAGCATGCACTGGCCCTGGCGCCCAAGCATCCGGAAGTGCTGCTTCGCTACGGCGAATTTCTCGAACATAATCAACGTAATATTGTTCTGGCAGATCAGTATTACTTCCAGGCGCTCAGCATTAGTCCAAGCAATTCGGAAGCTTTGGCCAATCGCCAGCGCACAGCAGATGTGGTTCAGACACTCGATGAACGACGTCTCACCTCTCTGGACGAGAAACGTGACGCTCTATCAGCTATACACGAGGCGAACTCTGCGTTGCGGCGTGCCAAAAAGGAGGCGTATTTTCAGCACATATATCATTCAGTGGGCATTGAGGGCAACACAATGACACTGGCACAAACCCGCTCGGTGCTGGAAACTCGAATGGCAGTCGATGGCAAATCCATAGATGAGCACAATGAAATTCTGGGCATGGATTTGGCCATGAAGTATATCAACGCCAGTCTGGTGCAGAAGTAAGTAATGTAATATGGCAAGTATAATGCTTATGACTAACTATGTTCAATTCCAGATTATATATCACACTCAAGGACATCTTGGAGCTGCATCGCCGCGTGCTGGGTCATGTGGATCCGATCGAGGGTGGCGAGTTTCGTCGCAATCAAGTCTATGTCGGCGGACATGTGCCGCCAGGACCTGGCGATTTAGCCATACTAATGCAACGTTTCGAACATTGGCTCAACTCGGAGCACAGCAACTCGCTGCATCCAGTCAAGTGAGTAGCTGATATTAAGCATGGCAAGCTTCAAGAGTTAATTCATTCCTTCACAGCTATGCAGCTCTTGCCCACTACAAACTGGTGCATATACATCCGTTTGTAGACGGGAATGGACGTACCTCGCGGCTGCTGATGAATACGCTGCTTATGCGCGCCGGCTATCCACCTGTGATCATACCAAAGCAGCAGCGCAGTCAGTACTATCATTTCCTTAAGCTGGCTAATGAGGGCGACATACGACCCTTTGTTCGTTTCATTGCCGATTGCACTGAAAAGACGTTAGACTTGTATTTGTGGGCCACCAGCGATCTGCCACAGCAAATTCCAATGCTCATTCAGACAGAGAGTGATGGCAATGTATTAGCCAAGCTGCAGTCACACATTGTGCACAATTCACCGGAACTATACGAAACTGGTTCCGGATCTGGTGACAAGAAAAATGGACAACATGGAATGCCTTGACCCCCAGTGCAAAAGCAAACCGAATGGCTGCTCAATACATTTAGTAAATTATATGTTGTATTTTGTATGTATTTAGCGTAAAACTTGTGTAATTTGTTAAACAAAAACAAAGCCGTTTGTCAGACTGTGATCGTATTTAAGCTAAAAGATCTAACCAAAAAAAAATTATAAACAAAATGCTTTATAGATAATTATAACTAATGCACAAAAGCAAAAATGCATAATATAGAAAATATATAAGTAAACCAAATTTTTTTCTATATAATACTCTGTTCAATTGCGAACATATGTATGTGCGTATATTCATATGGATATGCTCGCAATTGAACATACTTCCAGTAGTATGTAGAACATATGTATCTATGCACACATACAATTGTATGTACATGACAGAGGACGAACATTCCTGAAAACTTTTCATATAAATGATTTAGAATCTATAATTTATGTTCGTATTTATTATAATTTTGTTTATTATTAATATTTAAATCTTAATATCTATGCTTACCTTGTAAATACATATCCAGATACAACCATATTTATACAAAATACTGAATTGTGTATATTTATTTATATGTCAATAATACACTATTTCATTATTAAAATACGCACAGTTCCTTTTTATAGGTTTCAAATTAATGTTCTCGTAATCTGTCGCAGTTATCATTGATTAATTCCTTTAAATAAACGTATGCACCTTCACACTCGCTCTTGTAAACAGAACTGAAATTGAGCCGCGGCCATGGCGTGTTTTTTCCCTCTTATTTTGTCCATGCTTCTTCCAATGCAAAAACAACATGCAACATGGAATGAAAAGTAAATCACCATTTTTTTCACTACTCACAGTAAGAACCAAGTCGAACGCAAAAGAAATGGAACGCAACAACAAATTTAAGCTGTTTTTGTTTGTGTTCTTTCTTTTATTATTTTGATTGACACTGCAGGGCATCATTTGTGTTAAGTATTGGGGATTTACATGTGTATATTTAAGGTATATATATAAGGTATATACATATATATTAAAATAAATATATATGTGTTTGATAGCATCGTGCAAAATCTGCGAATCATCAGGTTGTTGAACACTTTATCACGCTTGATAATGAATGAAATGCTAGTTTTGCGTATACGAGGGTAGTGCGAACAGTTTCCGCTATTAACATGGAGATAAAAATGTACAACCATATTTTTATACTTTTGATTATAAACGAGTTAAAAAAAATACAAAATCACAATTTACACAAAAGGTTAATTTTATTGCGTTATGTTCTAAGCAAAATTAGATATATAAAAGTCTGATCTGTGATCAACGGTATTGCACATTAATACAGGTATGTATATCACGTGTGAATGATAAGTTATATATGTACATAAGTTTTAAAGTACAAGGCACAAGTACAAGTACTGATCTTTTGAAAAAAAATTAATAACAATAAAGGCACAAAATTTCGATCATATAAAACTTAATAAACTATTAAGAAAATAAAATAATTACATTTTTACAACTTGGCGCGTTCTAGATAATTCTTATAGGTCACATCACGCCACCAATAAGGACGTTCATAGACTCCTGGAGTGGACACGATGGTGCGTTGCAAATGGTGATAGACCTGATAAGTGACGTAAATAAATGATAAGTAAAATTCTTTGAAATGTTTTGCACTACTTACATTGCCATCGCTCATGCCCAAGGGAGAGTTCAAAATGAAGTCTGTGGGTGCAATTGCATCCACTAAAGCAATAGCTTCATTCTTCAAGGTTGAGAGTAGACCCAAGATACCCTGCTGATATAGCTCGATCTGTGAGCCGTTGCGGAAATAGCCGCCTTGATAGAACAGAGCAGAGTATTTGGTAACCAAATTGGCGCCGTAGAAGGAAAGCACATTCAATAGCACCTGCTTCTCGGCAGAGGCGGGCAGACTGGTTACAAACTTGTAGAAGACATAGTACATGGTTCGCTGTATAGGAAAGGTAAGCATTATATTACATTAAATACTAAGGCAATCTTGCTTATATAATGAACACACACCTCTGCATAGATAATGGAAAGTTTCTGAGCAGCAAAAACTTGAATATTGTTGCGTGTCTCAAAGGCGTCCTTGCCAGCAAATTGCAGCTCCTCGAAGCGCTTAACCGCTGCATCCAGTTGCCAAGCGGTAAGCCAGTTAAGAGCCTTCAGCAAATCTGCAAAGCAAAGTGTATTAAGTATATAATTTTATATTTCAAAATTAATTATTTACTGTGCACGTCCAGAGCTTGTTCGGCGTTCTGCTCCTGTCCATGTGTCTGCAGTATCACATTCATATCCTTAAGAAATGTGACTGTCTCCAATGGAGAAGCATCCACAAAGTTGGCATTGCTGCGACGCAAGCTAATCAGCCAATTGGATGCCTGCTGTATGAGAGTATTATTTTCGCCTTCATACGTGCAATTGGCATCATTATCATTTCTCAGATCGCCCAAGCCGGATGCACGCAAATAGCCATGGCCGCCACAAGCTTCACGGCACTCCTGGATGCCGTCGCGAGCCGCCCAAGTGGCACAGGGTTTCAGTGCCGATGAGATAGCATGTATTTCCATGCCTTCCCGGGACGTATCCTCGCCCATCATGCTCCGCATTGTCATGTCCACGTTCGCCTTGCCAATCCAAAGTGCAACTACTCGCAATGCAATTGCCCCAGTCAGATGTGGCATCAGACGGTATTGCTGCGACTGATACTCAATCACTGGCCATTCCACATTGCTGTCGGCGGGTCCAAATTGCCGACGACTTGCCGAGTAACGTGTAGCAATGCAAATAGCCTTACTAAGCGCTACATAAGTAATAGCTGTTATATTAACACGACCCGTCGACAGAGCACCCAGGGAGGCCCCCAGACGTTTGCGCTGATCCTTGATAGGGCTGCTATAATTGCCCTGTGCATCAATGTCACCCGTCTTCGACAACAAATTGGCCTTGGGTATGCGATATTGGTTGAACATTACAAAGCTGTAAAATACAAATATTTAATTTTATAGTTGTTTGTAGTTGTTTGTCTATGTGTTTCAATTCTTGTTCTACGCACCCATTGTCAATGCCATTCAGTCCAATTTTTTCGCCAAGATCGCCAACAGTGACGCCCGGGAGGGGCAACAATGTTCGTTCATCCCTAATGGGCACCAAGAATGCATTCAAGCCCTGATGCTTGTCTGCCGGCACATACAGCTGTGCATAGACAATGGCATGGGTGCAGGTCTTGCCCAGATTGCCAACCCAGCATTTGGCTGCCTCAAAATCGGGAGTATGTATAATAAACTCTTGGGACTTAACATCGTAAGTAGCGCGTGTGCGCATGCCTAAATTTTGAAAAAAAAATAAACAAAAGAAATTTTAATAAATAAACAACTTGAATAGTGAATATATAAATACCATTTGCATTCGTGCCGTGAGAGATCTCGGTTAGGGCGTAAGCGCCCAATATGCGATCATCTGCTATCTTGGCTACATATTTGCCCAGACGCCCGGTACCATTCGATACCAAAGTGCTGGGAAACATGCCATTAGAGAGCGAGAACTTGACCGAGAAACTAAAATCGTAGCTGAATATAGCCTGACCAAAGGCCAACAGCAAATGTGGTGTATTAAGATACTAGAGAGATGTAAACGTAATTAAAGTTAAAGACTAATTAATTATTAAATGCCTGCCACTTCACTCACCTCATTAACATCGAAGAACTTTTGTTCCCAAAGCAAATGATGACGCTTGTTGGCCAACTCCCTTGTACGTTCCAGACTCGGTGCCTCCGGTTCGCGTTGGAAATCTGGATGTTTTTCCATCCATTGCCATATTTTGTGCTATTTAGATTGGTAAAGTTAATTTGAGATTATTAACGATTATAATCTGACCTCACCCAAGTGTTTAACTAATCGAATACTTATTTTTAGATAAGCATTTAGATAAGCCACATTATTTGCTACAATGCCTTGGTATTTGTAAATATAATAAGATTATTTGATATTGATTTTTTTAGATTTTGCACAGTGAAGGTCAAAGTCTTGAGCATTTTTATTGTGCAGAATAAAAACGAATTTTAAAGTCATTCAAAGAGAATATTTCCATTGGGGGTAAGTACTTTAAAAATAGTATGTATTTAATCTGAATTTCTTTGCAATTTTGAAATATTTATAAATATATTTATAAATTAATTAAATTTTAAATGAGTTTTAAAATCTTAAAAAAAATATATAGTCCGCAAATAAGCTGAACTTGATTAAGCTTAAATTTCAAAAACACATTAAGAATATAATTAATGTTATTGCATATATCAAGTCTGCACTTTGAACCACAAACAAGTTGCAATGTGTAATATTGTTCCAATTAGACTGATAATGGATTGGTGTAAGCTTCTTGAAAAAATGGAGCGTGTCATTAACAGAGCGACACTAATTTAAACTCTATATTGTTTCAACTTAACTGATTTAATCAACATTGAACATTGAACTTTGCACGGCAACTCAATTTGATGTGCATTTCATTGAATATTACATTTATATACGGGGCTTAAAACGAAATTTCATATCACATTTCACTTTACCTTTAGACGAATATGGTCTTCGCCCTCCAGCAGCACATTCATGCGTTTATAGCAGAAGCTCGCCTTGTCGCGATACTCCTGGAGCGGACCGCTTCGAAAGTTGGGGAAGATCTTTTTGTCCTCGTATATATTGGCTGGAACAACATCGCCCTTGTCGCTGTAATAATCCACCAGGGATTTGATTATATCGCTCAAGTTATTTGCGGGCGCAACGGCAACGCTCTCCTCACTTTGTTCGTTGACCATTGCGTAGACAACAACTGAATGAAATTTACAGCTGCAATTACTTGTACTCACTTGGTAATTTTAGGTGCAACCATGTTTTTTTTGTAGCTGGCGCCTCTGCTCGGTGATATTTGACGTGTTAACGGTCAGCTATACACATAAACTGCTTTAAAACTTCATAAACCAGTGCTATTTAGAATAGTTTTTAGCGGCTGCTTATCCGTTGTTGTTTTTGTTTTTTTCGTTTATTATTTATTTTTACGATCATTAAGCCGAATACCCAAATGGTTTCCGTTGGCGACGAAATACGTCGACTAGAGCTATCCAGTGAACCGTTGCTGATAAGCGGCCTGATAACACATTTGTGCTGACCAACACCTTACATATATAACTAAAAAATGTATTCGTGATAATTGGCATTGGCAAATTCTGTAGTGTATAGTATCTGTTAGATTAAGTTTGGGCCATAAATGCGGCTTTTGACCAACAGCTGTTTGCGCCATCTAGTGTTGTACAACGTGAAAACGTAATGCAGTCCACTGGTCACACTAATTGAAAATGGCGCGAGCTTTCAATAATTTGAAAATAGATATTAAATATTAACTATTGAAATATTATTTGAAATTAAAGTTAGATAAATTTAGATTGGCATACATATGTATTTGCATTTTTATTTCAACTTACACAATTAGGTAACATGCACGGCTTTTGCTTGGCTATTTAAATAAAATTCTATATATATTTGTTTATTATTGATTATCATTATCTCATGCGCTTAACTTTAAGTTTCTATCGCTAAGTTTTTTAATTTGCAGCATAAATTTCGTAGTCTAAACGGAATTTGAATGATATTGTACTTATTATGAGTGTTTTCGATTTAAAACAGTTTTTCAAATCATTGCAATAGGCTAAAATTTTTGAAGTTTCAGTTTTTTTTTTGTATTTTGCGTTGTAGACTCCGAATTAAACTAATTAGGTAACATGTAGTCATTGATAAGATATTTGTAAATCTCATTATTTTCGTTCTAGCGTCAAAACTTCTGGCATAATTTCGTTATGTTGCATTGATACTCTTATAAAAAGCCATAAAAAAATTTGCTGCACTACAATTATTACGTTTTTCTCATTTGTTTTTTGGTTTTTTTAGTTATATATGTACGTTGTATAAGCTGCTACAATATTGTGGCTAAAATGGACTAATTGACGCTCTCAAATGAATGTGAACATTATGTGATATTCGAATTTTCTGATACAACCGTCTATATCTATGTAAAAGTAATGATTCACAAATTTCATATTTTGGCTTAACGTTATAGTAAATATATATATAAATATATTAATTGATTGATACACATAATAATCTTAAATAAACAGTAAAATCGTTCAAATTAGAGGCAACATAAAAAATTGTGCTACACAAAAAAATTAGAATTAAAATCTCAAACTAAACATTTTGCTAAAAATTAAACTAAACGAGATTGCAAATTTTGCAGGCATTTAAAAAAATATATCTGGCGAGTCGAACAGATTCAAGCTCTTCTCCATCAATGTACCCGACAGCAAATCCAATTCGACCTGCTCGTCATGCACGCCACGGGCACAGGGCGACGATGTTGAGGCCTGCCCGTTCGGCTCATATCATCGACTCTGACAGGAGCTAGCCGCCGATGAGTTCGATGAAAAGGCCGACTGTAAGCTGGTCATCGAACCTTTATAGTTGACCGAGCTGAGCACTTCGTAAAATACATTCAGCTGTGAACCCGATGGACTGAACCAGTGCATTAGATAGCTATCATTGTGGTGCATCACATGCGAACCTTGCACACTCTCCTTGTGTCGGCAGATGAGAGTTGGCTCCTCCCTGAAATAGTTGACGCCCTCCACAAAATCTTGCAGATCGAAATAGGAGACAGCCGAATCTGAAATAGGACAACAATATGGATGAATTTAGGCCTTACGTATGTCTAACTGCTTTGCGGACCATTCTTATCGGGCAGCTCTTCGGTGACGCGATAGAGCGTAAAGTGCAAATCGTTGCGCATCACATCAAAATCCCAGGTGAGCACACTCTTCGGATCCGTATTGCGTATGAGCAGCTCGTGTGTGAAGCCCGGCTTTAGCTCCACAGTCTTATAGAGATTTTTATGATCGTGCTGATGGGCAGCAGACAAACGTTTTCCCTCGCTGGGAGGCTCCACAATGCAGGCGGAGGCGGCACGTGATGCAACAGGCGTCTCATCATCATGATCCTCCAGCGAGTTCATCTTGTACAGCGTCTTGGGCACAAGGCCGCCTTCGTGTATCATGGTCTGGTTATAGAAAAGAAGACATAACATTTAATAACAGCAATTAAAGTGTATGTGTGTGTATGTGTGTGATTTTCCTTTCTTTGTAATATTTGTTATTCAAGGTACAAAATAGTTCATTTCTGTGTGTGTGTGTGTGAAGGATTACACGGACGCTGAGACAAACAAAATGATACGCTTTCATATAAACTTATGGACTTGACATAGTTCGCAACATAGCATTGGACAGAGAAACAATGTGAATAGAGTGTACTAGGTACATGAACATATACAAAATATAATAATGTGACTTGGCTTAGGAGAGTTATTGAAGCTGCTTACACAATCGCATTCAGCTAAATAACAATGCGTTAGATATTTTCTATTGACTTGTTCCACATGCGTTAAATGCGTCTATTTAGCGTCGAAAATATATGTTAAACGGGGAAAGGAAATTGGTTAAACAAAATTTACAAAAAAAAAACAATCAAATATTATATCGTAGAAATATTTATATATACATATATATATACAAAAATATATATGAGGTTTTACACACGATTTTCAAATTGATTTTGATTAGAGTTGAGCGGAAATTACCTTGCAAGGGCCGCCCAGAAAATCGGGCACAATTTCCTCATCAATATATTGAGCGAGGCCGTCCTTCATGTGCTCACAATCGGGGCCATAGAATAAGAACTTCGAGCGTGTATGTTCGTCTATGAAAAATGATTGTGAAATAAACACAAATTCCAATTGTTTCATTGTCTAGGGAAACTCACCTATAAAGGCGCTGACAATTGTCCAGGCGATGGGAAAGACGCGCGGAGCCCGCACTACCAAAACGCGTCCCATCGTCTCTGGATAATTGCGCTCAACAGTTTCGGTGATGTAGAGCAAAGCCTTGATGCCGGGGCGCCACAGATGGCGCATAGACAGCCCCTCCAGATCAACCAGGAGCGACCAGTTCAGTACGGGCTTATCCAAGCGTTCGGCCGATTCATTAATCTTCTGTATGCCCTCCTCGCAGATGTGTAAAGCCTGTTGACATGAATGAAATAATGAATGAGCCAAATGATGTGGGCCATTTAGTAGGTGTAACTGACCAAGCGTAGCAGGCCCTCCATGCCCAGCGACTTGAGCAAACCCTTGACATCCATGTGACCCAGACGCAATATGTAAATTGGTCGTCCGTCCTTGTCGTGATGATGCCAACCGCCGGGAAAATGTTCGATAACAACAGCTGGCTTACTATACTCCGCAAGCAGGGCGTCGATGCGATGCTCGCGACGCCATTTGAGGGAATCGCAGAGCATCGCATAGGCCTGGCTAACGTGCCAGTCGCGCGCTGATAAGAAACGCAAGATGGTCTGATAACTGGGCATGCGCTCCAGATCATCGACACCATCGAGCATTTTTCTCAGCTCCAACAGCTTTGACTCCTGCATCGGCGACAGTTGACCCAAATTGCGTGCAATAAAATCACCATCAAGCAAAATATCATGATGCTGATCTGTGGTAGGCGATTTGGGTGCATCCAATGGCGGCACCCAGCGATCCACATGCGTAACGCCCTCCTCCTTCAGCTGGCTAATGAAATACTCAATAATCTCCTTGCCCTTGAGCGTAGTCTGCGTATACTGTTTCATGCCCATTTTCTCCATTGAATGCTCGAAGCCAAAGAAGTTCTTAATATCCAACGTTGCCGTCTGATCGAAGCATGTCCATTCGCTGTTATCGGGATGGGCATAATATCGGCAGCGCTCAAAGATCTCGATGCGCGACGAGAAGCTCTCGTTGACCGCCTCGATGCTCAGCGTACGATTCGTCATGTCCAGATAGTTGTGCTGCAGAAAGAACACAAAGTCCACGCCGATCAATTTCTTAAAGATATACGGCGCATCGACGGCCAGCTTGCAGCGCCGACTCGTATTGCGCTTGGCTCCATTCTCCAAGCTCTCGTCCTTAATGATTTCGCAATCCAGCACAATGGGCATCTGGGGGCATGTGGGAAAGCGACGCTCGTAGGCCTAAATAATGATAAATTGTGAAAAATGTGAATGCAATGTGAAAATGCCAAGCAACTGCCAAAAAGGCTGTTTGCCCTTGAGCAGCGGCCAATTTGTGATATGTAAATGAACATGAACTTGGCCTAGGGCCACAGACCGCAGAAATACTCATATAGATTTATATAAATACACATAGATCTATACGGCTGTATGCATGTATGTACATACTTATATGTTCATATCGCACAATCCAAATATTGGCAATACTTTTTGCCAAATTACAAAACAGCTGCTTGTTTATTTACCCTCGCTTTATGGCAGCAACACAGCACACAACAGCAGCACACAGAACAGAGTTGCTGCTGCTTTACTTTAATTTTCCATTAATTGAATGACGAATATTTCATATATATAGATGTAGGCCATTTTTATTTTCTTTCAATTTATTTATTTTAGGGCTTTTCGCATTTTGTTTCCATTTAAATATTTTAAATACATTCTTATTTCTTTTGTTATATATTTTTTGGAATTTTAAGCTTTCTTTTATTTTATATATATAAATTTGTAGTATTTTAATTTTCTTTTAATTGATATATTCTATGATATTTTAAATTAATTTTACTAATATATAAATATATGGCATTTTTCATTTCTTTTAATTTATATATTTTACATCATTTTTAGTTTTATTTAATTTATATATTTTATATAATTTTTTATTTCATTTTAATTTATTTAGTTTTTTTTTAGTTTATATATTTCATATATAATTAATTTATTTATATTTATTTATTTATTTTAATTTTAATTTGTATATTTTATATAATTTTTAATTTATATTTTATGTCCCTTTTTAATTTAAAATTTTCATGGAATTTGTTATTTATTTCAAATTAAATATTAAATATTTTTAAAGTGTTTTAATAAATTTCCCATAAATCTCATTACAAAAGCAATTCATTGTTTTGTTAGCGAGATGAGTATATTGGTTAGAGTGAATGCTTCTTGTGTTGGCAATTTCTATATGTTTATTTAATATTTATATCTATTCATAGAGAGAAGTGTCATAAACTAAATCTTTACACTATAAATTTCCATTGCAATAGTGACGAAATGCTTGGCTTTCATGT